GGTTCTATAGTGACTTTTTTCGTAGTCATTTGCATATTTTAGTATTATGCCCCCAAAATCAAATATCCCCTACTTTTTTTGAATAGTATATATATTACTAGAACTGAGATAATGCGTAAACCTATCAATCTTCTATGAACAATGAAAGCTCTCACATTAGAACGTAAAAGGTTTCTATGCTGCAGTGTAAGACCTGTGTTACTTATAAACAATTGTCGATGTGTATTATATACACTCCGAAAAAACCCCACCACGGAATTGAATTATTAACAATGCTTTATTATAACAAATAATAACAACCATAAAATTATACAATCTAGGAATACCTTTAAAATAAATTGAACAATATTATTATATAAAATATGGAATCTACATAACAATTATTATAAAATAAAAATGTTTTAGTATGTTAGAGCCAGCCCATTCTTTTTTAATCGTCTTCTTTCTTATTGGTTGAACGATTGTCATTGCATGCAAATTAGAACAGTGGCTCGATCTTGGGCATAGGCGTAGTGCCAGTTAGTCCAAATATTGTATTTATTACATGTGTAATAATGTCATCTTAAAATAATATTAGCTATCACATTTAGGCAGCTTTTCATTAAAATAAAACCTCCATAGAACGACGGGGACCACATAAATACGAATGAGTTCGTATTCTGTTCAAAGCTCCAGTTTGCATTTAGAACGCACACTGGGTGAGGTATTTATGGTGGACAATTTCCATCCCGTCGTTTAATTTCATCAACGGCCACGATTCCTGCTCTATCGTTTCTTTCAGCTTTTATACCGATTCGGAAGGAAGATGACGCTGGTGGTATTAAGGCGTTAGCTACTGTCCAATCATTACTAATGCTAATTGTACGAATCCAGTAAAAACAGTTTGAATATGAATTATTGTTGAATTCTACAATAGTACAAACTGATAGCGTATGTGAGTACGCTGGGTTGATCTTGTATTTAAACGAAAGGCATTTGGGGACAGTAGAATTGATCTCTGGAGAAAGAAGCACTGTTTTCGTTCCTGGTTGTTTATTTGTACCATCAGCTTCTAGATGATGATCTACAAAAATAAAACAACCGTTAAAATACATGTCTACACCATTGTTTTGGTAGTCTGATTCAGGGTAAATCTGACCATAATTTGTACTTTTTGGACAATAGCCACTCTAAAATGTAACCAGATTGATTTATTTAACATTTAATAAAGAAAATGAAATCAAAATATCAATGGTCGATAATCTATCGGTTTTGATTCAAAAATGGTGTCAAAAGATTACAGGTGGCGCTGGCTTGTTTTTACCATGTCCCGTTATATCGTCTGCATAGGATACGGAATTGGACCATCTTTGGACTGATATTTAACTTTCATAATTGTGTACTTTGAAAGGAAATACAAACCCCCGCCAATTACGACACAATACTTTTTAAAATACTTCATTTGAACCAACAGAGATAGAGCGACCAGCTTGGTGGAAACAAAGAAATTTGAAATTACCCTGTTCTCCGGATCTGGCTATATTAGAATCCAAAGGGCTTATTTTGATTTGCCAATCACCGGAATCATCGTTTGATTGTTGATAGTTACACAAGTTTCCACCATCAAAATTACAAGTCAGCTTTGTTACACCTAAAATGAAACGACTGAATTAGTAATAGGGAGTACAGGAAAATCGAACAGAACCCCGGCAGACAAACTCGTGGATATGACACGTAAAGTGCGGATATTGCAAGCAATGAACAATAAGAGAGAGAGAGAGAGATAGAGAGAGAGAGAGAGAGTCTAACGTCCACTCGACACAAACTAGATAAATTCGGGACTAACATATGGTTTAATTTTATTTCAATAATTCGCTTGCGCGTAGGAAAGTGGGAGGAAAGCGGAGGACTCGGAGAAAACCCACGAGGTTAGACAGGCGACCCTACTCCTTGTCACGTATAACCGGGGATTCGAAACCACGCCAGTTGACTCAATGACAGGCTTTATGATACAGCGCGCACGTGCTAACCATTCAGCCATCCAACCCCCCGAACAATAAGAGTACTTTTAAGTCAATTGAAGGGCGATACAAGACGGACTAGTTATAGCACCGGAATCCACAAAGAAGAGGACGACAGAAATCAACATTGGCAAACAAAATTAACGTGCAAAAATGAGTTTTAGAAAGAATTAAGAAGACATACCTAAACAACGTGAAGTAGTTATATGTATCTCATCAATCGCTATTCCATTATTACTCCTCTTTACTGATTGAACAACAAATAACAGTTGTTGTATATCATTATCCAAATCAACTTCAGATAATCTCCAACCAGTAGATATACCATTAAACTGCACCAAAAGAACACCCGATGCATTCAATCGCTGGCCAATAACTTTCAAAATGGCGTCACTTCCGCTATGGAAGTTGAACCAGAAAGTCAAGCAACTGTCAGTTAATAAGTTCAATATGGGTGATGAAAGTGTAGCCGAGTTTCCGATTTCTTCATATGGTACATAACCGTACATATAATATCCTGTACAGAAAAAGAAAACAAATTAAACATTTATTCATTGGCTCGATGAACGTTTGTATGTTGTCCCCACTCTGTTACTAACTTACTAATAACACCAAATTCAACAATAATTTAAATGTTAAAAAATGATAAAGAACCAGGTGACCATGTGCTAAAAAGTATAAGAAATGTCTGAATATTAACTTAACATAACGCTGTGGACCCATTACACATGTACATTCGTTTGGTGTTTGAGGGGTACATGCAACTAAATTCGTCTACTGAAATTGCATATTTTAATACTGGTCAGGATGGAACGTTCTTGGTGTTTTTTTGTAGGGCTTAATCTGTACAATAAGCTATTTTACCTGCTTGGTTTTTCAATGAAACATCAGTTGAAGGTCTAGATGGATAATTTGATCCTCCCGATCTTCTTGTCCACATTAGAGTTGTGTTCGATTGATCTGTATATCCACAAACTGCGACTGTCTCAAAATCACAATCAACACTGGACTCTGAAACAAGGAAGGGCAAATTTAAATCGACGTTTGGAAATACGTTAGTGTTTGTATCTTTAAGAAGCCGTTGCTACCTTTCGGTGGACAAAACTTATAAACTAGAGCTCAGAATAGATCTTCCGAATTATACGGGAAGCCTAATGCAGTTCGCTCAAGATCATCTCCTGGTTGCAACCGACACAAACTTGTATTCAGCTATGCAAACTACAAAAACGTGGGTGTACTTATTTCCAATATGTACGATAAATCCATACATGTAATGATCTCTTAGATAATAACTTTTTTCACCCAGGAACCTTCGAGTTATAACGTTGTTGTGGTTGTTTAAAAATGTTTTTGGATTTGAGAGAGAGAGAAATGGGGGTTTAACGTCCACTCGACACAAACTAGGTCATTTCGGGACTAACACATGGTTCAATTTTATTTCAATCATTCGCTTGGCGTAAGGTTCTTTAGCAGTGGGAGGAAACCGGAGGACCCGGAGAAAACCCACGAGGTTGGACAAGCGATCCTACTCCTTGTCACGTACAACCGGGGAATTTTGGATTTGAATACGGTGTCTTAATTATTGATTCGAAAAAAACCGACACAACGGAGCATGTTTAAGGTAATCTGGAAATAATGCCTTTGGTGTCTCAACTTACGTGGAGTCTGTATTGTTTGTTTTATCCAATCTATATAATGATCAACTCTAGTATAAACACCAGGTTTGTTCATTTCTCCACAGCCTTCACCCCAACTAGTTATACCCACCAACTGCCAGTTATCATCACCTGTACGACACATCAATGGTCCACCACTATCACCCTGTAACAATAATTATACATGTTCACATACATTATCTTTCACAAGAATAAAAATCGGGATCGTCGTTGAAGGGAAATAGTCATTTTAGCCAATGTACATATAACGATCATACTTTCGCATACATCACCGTATCTCTAAATATTCAGATAGCTTCAATATTTCACAGAAATGGTAACAGGATACCAGAGTCTTCGTTGTTATGAAGATGCCAAGGCATATTAGGTATTGCACCAAAAACCGTAAGTAGGAATTGTCACGACTATTAGTGTATTCTTGACAAAGGAAAGAATGCAGGTCTGGCTGTAAAATGAACACGTGTAGCATGCAATTCATCTGTTAAAGATCTCGGTAGCCTCAATAATGGGAGCATTTGTGATGTAGGTGTATAACATTGGAAAAAGATTCCGATAATTCAAGCCCATAGTTGATATTGGCCGACCGATCAACTAGAAATTTAAGGGAGGAATACGAGGAAGCTTTCTGAAACATTGTGAACAATAAATCATTACAACCGGTTTACCGATATGTAGGAAATGAAATGGGGCTTAAAGAACTACGTTTTCTGCAACAACAGGACTGCTTAATTTTAACTGTCGACGAGTACAAGGGTAGACCCACACTAATCATTGATAGGGATGACACCAGTGCGGATTAATGAGCTTGCAATATTAACTGTTTTCCTTGTGCAAATTAATTCTAGAACATTTGTTTTAAGTATTAGAAAAATAAATAAATGTGCTTGAAGTATATATGGATAAAACATATTTCCTATTAAGTGGAAATGGATATAAAAAATGAGTAAAGGCATCATTCTGCCCGGACCAGTAAAAGCAACAACATCTTATGTAATCAATGATTACAGCCATCTAATACAGAGGTATAAGTAGGCATTCACAAACAGATTAGGGTGGTATCTTGATGTTTCGTCCTATCCGATTTTAAGCCGATGGTAGCGACACCACGATTCTCACCTTGCAAGCATCAATGATCCCAGTTTCATATCCAGCACAGATCATAAAATCTTTAAGTTTTTGAGGATAAATAGCTTTGCATTTAGACTGTGGCCACAGTTTAATCTTGGCGTGGTGTAGATTTTCGGACGTTACCTGTAGATGAACATCTGCGAAAAGAAATAAAAAAAATATGTCTGATAGCCAAAATATTTCTCTCTGTGACATCTCACACAGAGGCGTTGGTAGAGTTTGTGAGGCGTTTTTTGTCATTCTGTTGTTCCGACATTAATATTTTATTGATAATGTTTTAATATATAAATGCAGTAGCACAAAAGTTCCGCTAGTTAATTCATCTTTCTGCAGAAGAAACTGGTTATAATTTCTCATACTCACCAGTTTTAGTAACACTGATTAAATTCAACTCAATATTTTCTCTATTGGAGCAAGGGACACACTCGAAATGGATTCATAGCGCTTGGGGATTTATTTTGTTTTTCTTAGTTGCTGCCTATCTAGTATAGAAATACTTTTTTTGTATTTACATCTGTAATAACATGTGTGCAACAAAACGCCCGAAACGAATTGGTAGAGACACTGGTGTTCAGGTTTTTACTTAATATGAGGCTTTATGTTCCACAGAAATAAATTGCAACCTTTATTTTGCCAAAGTTTGAGATTAACATGAACACAAAAGTTTTTAATAAAATAAACGTAACTTACTCTGTGTATGATTAACTCCCCAGCCAGCTATATAACATGGTAAAGATGACGACCAACTGTGTAGACGTGTCGGAAGACATAGTGGTCGTATATTATCAGTAAATACTATAGGTTTCTGCAATCTTAATAAAGCTATATCAGCCCGGTAGATGAAGTTGTGATCTGGATGAACAAGAATTTCGAATACTTTTATTTTCTGCGCACCAACACCTGTCTGATTCAAGTTCACGAGACCAACCGAAACGGATGTTGTTTGAGGGGAATGAGAAATCCTGTAAAAGAAAGTACTATAGAAAATATTGATTTTAACTGATATCCCCAAGACTAAGTATTTAAACTTTTCCTATTTAAATGCTGTACACAAAATGATGCCTCGTGGATTCTAAATAATGGTAATTCAAAATAGTGATAATGTACGTAGGACTGGCTTCCAGTCTAAGGAAATACTCGTTATGTCTTGATACTGTACTAATGTGATCCGTGTATATCTTTTTGTCATCAACTTCTCCGAGTAGCAAGCATGAGATCGTCAGCGGGATTTTATATAATTGCTGTCACCTCAGACGTGTAAATTTCTGACATTATCTGCGATTTAGAGCAAGTAAAATGTGACGATTGTACATAGCAACAACTTTCAATAGTAAAGGTGAATTCCATTATTCTGTCAGTAACAAACAATCAACCAGTGGCATATTTTCGACTACACCTGGACAGTAAATCACACTCTCGCAAAAGTTAGAGTCCTAACCGTTGTATGATAATGTAGGAACTTAAATAAAACGAAACGAAGAATTGCATACATGCCGTGGACATTAATATTGGTTTAAAAAAATAGATTCATCTTACCCTTGAACACAATGTCCGGCAGTAAGTATCCACAGATCAGCTACAATTGTTCCACCACAGATAAGGTTTTTACCCGAATATATGGCTGCAACCCACGGCCATTCACCTCTAACTGACTGACTTCCACCAACAATGAACGCTTGTGGTAGGTTCGTTGGTTTCATACCACAAACTGAAACAATGCAAAAGGTATGGAATCCTTTAGATTTCATAAGATACGAATTATTATGCGCAAAGGAGGGGATACCGATGGGTTTCCATATCTTTGAATTAATAACGTATGATTTGACTCGATCTCTGTGCCCCACTATTCCAAAATCGTAGCCATCAATAAATTGGAGAAACTCCCTATTCCCAGCACATATCTTACTTCAGCAATATCTTCAATGAAATGTTAGATAGGATTCTTATAATTTTATACATTACTTACTGCGATCTTCACAGGACAGGGTAACTGTACTCTTGCTCATACACGTGGTACTGGAAAGAAAATTGGTATGAAATTTATAACGTGCACAAACCATGCAACGAAACAGAATAACTGAAAAAGTACACCTGTATTTAAACTTGTGTCCTTTAAAAACTGTCCTTACCTTAGCTTAAATTTAGAATGAAAATTCACGCCGTCATCAGAAAGCTGTTGGTTAGGTACAGCGAAAGTGACATCAGTTGAAGGAGCCGCTCCAATACTCAGATGGCCGCTGAAATATACGATTAACAGATGTTAGATAGTATTCACCGAAGATCCTAGACCCCCCCCCCCTTAAATTATTCCAAAATGATCCATACCTAATCAATAGCATTATTAATGTGATCATACTTACGGACATCCGGCAGATGTACAAGCATAGTGGGCAAACTCTGTACTCAAGTTTCCTTTATTACACACAGGAAACCATTTCCCAGATTTCATCACCAGTAGATGGCCACTTGCAGATACAGAGGCTGTAATTTAAAAATAAAATTAAATAGAAAATCCACTTGTTTAATATTTGTATAGTTTTCCATATAGGAAGTCCACTATATTTATTAATGTAGCAACGGTGACTCAGTGAGTAAGGCGTTGGCTAACTAATTGACCGTCAAGGGTTGCCCCTTGTCAGTGGTGCAGGACGGAGGGATTGTACACCTATGTGCAAGTAAACGCACCATTGACAGTCGCAATTTAAAGATACATTATGGGAGATTAGATAATGTAAAGGGAATGTGCCGAAAATTTCAGTCAAATTGATCCACTCTGAACCGAGAATTTAGCGATTTTATTTTGGGCCTAGCCTCGATCACCATTACAAAAGTCGGTACGATAAAATACATAGTCTCGATTATCCATTTATTGATTTAATCAGGAATGAGCGTTGATCAGCAGATCGGATCCTAATCCAAGAAATATCGCAAGGTAGCGATGACATCGAGAGTTGATTATGGTCTGGATAAGTTAATTAATGACTAATTAATAATTTAGATAACATTTCAGGCCTAAAGAAAGACCTGCAATAGGAAGATTTAGCTCTTGAATAATGTATGTTTAATATTTGTGTAGTTTCCCAAATAGGAAGTGCACTTATATTTATTAATGTAGCAACGGGGGCTCAGTGAGTAAGGCGTTGGCTCACTAATTGACCGTCCGGTGTTAGCCAAGAACGTTCCCTGGATTTTCCAGCGTGGTTACCCCTTGTCAATGGTGCAAGACGGAGGGCCTGACAAGGAACAGTCTCTAGTCGTTTGGGTACGACGAAAAAACGAGGCCCCTTGTACACCTACACATGCAAGTAAACGAACCATCGACAGTCACAATTTAAGCAATTTAATATAGTTACCATAATATTTCTATACTGGCTTAATTATTTCCATTGTGTATTATTATACTTACTGCACCCGTCCTCATCTTCAGCATCTGTACACTGTGGTATACCATCACATTTCTGATATTCTGGTAAACACGACCCATCAAAACAACTTACTTCATTAGACTTACATAAAGCTATAGATTAGAGATAAAATCACTATAAATATTATATTGTAAATGTAACAAGGTATACAATACATATACTTTGCACTAAAATAAATCCCAGTAAAACGATGTAAATCTTACCCACTTATATTTACAGTTAGCCTTGTTAAAACAAATTTAGATCTAAAACATTTTACTGTTATTAACAATAAAAAAGGAGGAAATATGTTTGGGTTTGTAAATGATATTTATCAAAAAAAAAAAAAAAAAATGTTTGTAATAAATACCACACAAGTTTTCATCTTCGTTATCTAAACAATCTTTTTCTCCATCACAAAGCCATTCTTTAGGTATACACACTCCACTGCTACTACAAGGTACCCAGTCAAAGGAACAGGTTAACGACACTGAAACTACAGAGAGATAATATTGGGGGTATTATCAGCCGTTCATGATAGACTGAATATTGTATTCTATACAAATACACGGCATTGATAAACAGCGTTAAACAATTTTATTTAGATACTTGAAATAGGTCAAATAAAAGGGAAAAAAGAAGAAAATAATGGTATATTTCTTTCTTACAGTTTGTATATTTATAAAGATCCTGGAGCCCCTGCTGAGCAGAAGTGCATCACAATAAAATAGTGATTTATTATGACGATCCCTGCTATATCATTATTTAATTTATATAAATCGCCTCTATTTACTTAAGTTTGATTAATTTGCTGGACTATAACTCTGAGCAGAAGTGCACCACAATAAAACAGTGATTTATTACATGACTATTCCTACTATGTCATTATTTAGTTTATATAAATTGTCTCTGTTTGCTTAAATTTCATTAATTCGCTGGTCTATAACTCCGAAGATTGTGATTAAATATGATAATTATTGATATTAATTTGCTTGATTGAATACCCACAAATTCGCGCTATTTTGTTCAGATTATTTCTGTTGATTGTGTTTCATAACCAGGACATACTCAAAATCAAGTATTTCGTCGAGCAAATCCTTCAAACTTGGCGCATTCTTAATTTTTACATTAATTTCATTCAGTATGCAATTCAAACCAAATGTTATTTTCCTTTATTCAACGTGATTGTATTATACATTGTCAAACTAGCACAGATAAAATTCGCTGAAGCTGTTGACATTTAGACAATTGGGGAGGGTTAAGATTTTCAGTACAGATTAACATCAGAAACATTTTACATTTATATCCATAAGATTAGCAAACTGTGATGTCACACTTACCATTCTGAGATTCCTCAAAAGTATAAATCAGTTTAAACCCCATTTTAGTAACGATTCTATCACTATTAAATTTGACATATAGATCACTTCCAGAAGATGTGATATTTGCTGGAATCGTCCCACCACAGTAAGTACCAATTGGTGTGCCGACTGGTAACGAACCATCATATATAGAAATATGGTCCCATTCACACGATTCCTGATATTCTAAATCCAAGGTTGAGAACACCAGACGTATAACCTGTAATAGTTACAATACGACATGGGTGTTGATTTATTCCTATTAATATTACGTCATATTAATATTCGACAGAGACATTAATTCATCTCCATTAAAGGGGCATTATGTAAGATTTAGATAAAGATTTTGCCGTTCTAGCTTTAATAGTTCGAAAATAGTTAAAGCAAAATGAATATATTGAAAATCTCATTCAAATTACTTTGTTCTGAGCGAAGGTATCAGATGTTTTGACAATATGTGGCATAGATTTTTTATTATCGTAACAATGGTAATTGTTATTTGAGACTTAGCAACGCTTCGTCATTTTTAAATTAAATCATTAAATGACGACCGTTTTCTAATCCGTTTAAATCTCCGCCATCCGATGCTCTGGGTTGATTATAGGCTTGTCATGGGAACAAATGTCTAAATAGTAGTTTATATAACTTTTGAAGCCAAAATAAAGACTTGCAATAGGCAGATTTAGCTCTTTTATAATGCATCTTTAATATTAAAATCGTGTAAGGATATTCTGGACATCATGTTTTGAAGCTTGATAGATATTGCGAACATTGATGTCAATACCTTCAAGTCTCTTGGACAGACATTGATACCATTCCATGAGAAACCCGAATTCATCGCACGACAAATTATTATTATGCAATGGAGAAATATCATTAATCAGTTATAAATAATTCTTAAAACACTCAACAAACCTTGTCCAGATCAGCTTGAATAACCCACTGACAATCCAAATTATTAGCATAGTGTCCTGTATAGTACCCAGGTGAGACAATCTGTCCAGATGATGTTTTCTTTGCCATTGGAACGCCAGAACACGCTACTGCCATAATATCTGCTGTAGTTGAAACTGGTACCAAGGTTGTTGATAAAGCTGCTTTTTGTTGTATCGTTGTTGTTGGAGGTGGTGTCGTTCTTGTTGTTGAAGGTGATATCGTTGTTGTTTTTGAAAGTGGTGTCGTTGTTGTTGTTAAAGGTGGCATCGTTGTTGTTGGTGGCGGTATCGTTGTTGTGGTTGCAGTTGGTAACGTTGATGTTGTCGTGGAAGATGGAATCTGTTTTGTTGCTGCAAGTGGTAGCGTTGTTGATGTTTTTGTTGAAGGCGGTATCGATGTTGTTGTTGGAGGTGGTATCGGTGTTGTTGTTGGAGATGGTATCGTTGTTGTTGTTGGAGGTGGTATCGTTGTTGTTGAAGGTGGTATCGGTGTTATTGTTGGAGGAAGTATCGTTGTTGTTGAAAGTGGTATCGATGTTGTTGTTGGAGGTAGTGTCGTTGTTGTTGTCGATGGCAGCGTTGATAATATTAGTTTGGATGTCGTCGTTAATTTACTAGCTATTTGTACCGTTGATAGTTGTTGTGTTGTTTCTGTTGAAATAAAAATCATAAGATACATATCGCTGAAAATACAAAGACTAAATAAGGTCAAGTTCTTATCAGTTTAAATATTTCACTAAACATATACAGCAACCGAAGTCTTAAAAGTTCAAAAGTACAGAAAATGATTATTTGCCACGCGATTGTCCCAAATAAAGGACAACCACGTATAAGGTAACATAGAAATGAGTAAGCATACACTACGGCACTTGTTGCTGCTTACGGCGAATGTCATAACACGAACTTCAGAAGCAGGTTCTGATGGGTGGATGATAACCACGTTTTATAAGAAAACTAAAACAAATATTAGTTTGGCGTTGGGAACTTCTCAATATAAATTATTCGCACCAGTAATTCACCACCAGTACATTAATTTACAGCTTACCATTCTTAATTTCCCTGGAAACAGTTAAACTAAATCCACTTTTAGGAATAACCCAGTCTGAATGGAAGTGAAGATATAGGAGATTTTGGGTCGATGAATAAGCTGTATTTACGTAGGAACCGCACAGTTTGACTATTTCTTCTGCCGTTGAATTACCATCGCGTAAAGAAAGAAAATCCCACGAACATAGACTGTGCTTTTCTACTTCAAATGTATCCAGACGAACTGTAATATACTGAGAAAATAAAATATTATACACATTATAGGTAAATGCAAGGAGATTCAAAATTCCGTGGCTAGCGACACTATGAAAAATGTCCTTACTATTACCGTAAGGACTGAGATTAACCGACAGAAGTGGGGTCCTTACTCAGTGTCAGTGCATTGCTCCCAGAAAACCGTTTTTTGCTTTCATTTTATTGCCATTTTAAGGATTATCACATATATTTATAATGAAGTATTTGTATTCAAGTTTACCCAGCTCTCATGGCAACTACGCAGGTCTGAAATGGTTGTGGTAGAAATTAGCAAACGATGCTGCAATTTTTCATAGATTTTCAAAGAAAACCTTTTGTGGCCCGCTTTCACATGGGTTACGAATGCCACGGACCGTCCCGAATCCAAACCTTTTCCGATTCGTAGATAAATCGTAGAAGGTTCTTGGAGTTCGTTAGTAATTTTTATTTGGTTTTTACATATTCGTATTGTTCGTAGTTCGTCCACGTCATGTCAAAAACTGTCGTGGTCGGTCTACGAATTTCGATTCGCCACTATTCGTGGCATTCGTAGCCCATGTGAAAGCGGGGCATTAAGGGCATTAAAACTCACCGAATATTTCGTAGCTTCAATCAGAAGTCCACAATCTTTATTAGTAGGATAATGTTGGTTTTGACCGTAGTTTGGTGATATTACAGTGATAGTGTTTTTAATATACACATATTGTTGTTCACAAATAATAACAGTGTCGCTAACCGTTGTGGTACTTGTTTTAGTTGAATCTAATGGTTGGGAAGTTTTTGGTACTGACTGGGACATATCATTAATGAAAGTTATGGTTGGTGGGATTATTGACGTGGATTCGACTGTGGAAATTAATGATGGTGCTGATGATGTTGGTAATGTCGACGATGACAGAGATAGTGATGATGGCGCCGATAATGTTGTTGGTGTTGATGATGTTGATATCTTGGATGTTGATGATCTTGTTGTTGATGTTGGTGATGATGATGTCGCTGATGGTGATGCCAATGATGCTAGTGATATGGGAGATGTTGATGGTGCTGATGATGCAGCTGGTGTTAATGATGTCGCTGATGTTGGTGATGTTGCTGATGCTGGTGATTTTACAGATATTGATGAGGCTGGCGATGTTGATGATGTTGGTGATGTTAGTGAAGTTGGAGATGTTGATGATGTCGATGATGTCAATGATATTGAAGATGTTGTTGATGCTGGTGATCCTTGAGATGTTTGAGGTGCCATTAATGTTGACGACGCTGATGATGTTAGCGATGTTGATGATATGAACGATGTTAATATATTGTATGTTGATGATTTTGGTGCTGTTGGAGATGACGATATTAGTTTTGTTGAAGATGGTAACATTGATATCGTGGATGTTGATGAAGCTGAAGATATTGTAGTTAACGAGTGTGTGGTGGACGACACAAGCCAACTTGTGGAATTTTTAACAGAACTGGAGGTGTTTGAATTTGAGTTAGCTTCACTTACAGCATCTGTAAATATAAAATAATTTTCGATAAGCAAGGAGGTATCTTAAGCAATGTAACCAAACAACAAATACGATTTGGTAGATAAAATATCTTACCGGTGTCAATGACCTCGATTAAAGCTATGAATCCAGTCTTTGTAATCATGAAATCTGAGTTAAAGTGAAATCTTATGGAACTTCCCGTTGAATTGTAGGATACCAGTTTGGTACCACACAAAGTGCCTAACTTGGAACTGGCATCACTGCTTCCATCATAAAGTATTAAGTAATCCCAGGAACAGGCTGAGTTGTATTCAATATCTACTGCTAGAAAGGATACTTTTATAGTCTGAAATATATTTATATACAGATAAATCACAGGTCTGTATTTATTGAGTTAACGGGCCGTCGTAGTAAAGTGGTCTGGGTACTGAACTCTCGGTTTTAATGAACCGGGTTCGAATCACCACGTGGTCGGAGAAGTACCTTAGCAATTTGTCACTTGTCGCCTGTGGGACTAACAAAAAAAGTGTATTTAGTCGTTCAGATGGTAGAAGAACCGAGGTCCAACCGCTAACACATTGGCGTACACATTAAACAACCCTTGACAGAGTCCGGGCAACATCCCATCTCGCATTCAACTGTAGGGACAAAATACCATATACGTGTCTCAAAATAACCATACTGAGTTGGCGAGACATTAAATCGCATTCTAAACTTACCAATGTCATATGGACGTTCATTAGTATTCTAAGATAAACGTTCTTGGCAACTCAATATTCTTACCTTGTTAGAAGTTGTATATATATTAAGTTGAGAGTTAATATTTAATGGATAATGCTGATTATCACCATAATTAGGAGATACTATATATACAGGATTGGTTATTGTTAAAGATTCGTTTGAACACATTTGGTAGGTTGGAGGATTAACACTTGTAGACGTCTGAGGTGTGGAGGTAACTATTGGTGTGGCTTTGGTTGAACTGCTGGAAGTACTCGATTGGGATGACATTAATAAATTTGTTAACAGAGCTGTTTGCGCTCCAGCGGATGTTGTCGCAGGTGAGGTAATACTGGGCTGATATAACGTACTGGTTGGCATAGTGGTGTCCGACGGGGGTTGAGTTGTAGCCGTTTCACTAATCGAATAACTTCCTGTTGAAAAGTTGTCTTCAGCTGTTTGGTTACCATTGTGATTAGATATAATGGTAGTTGCTGCAACCGTAGTATTGGTAACAGAATGTGTACTTGATTCTGTATTCACGGTTAAAGAACTGCTGGTAGATACAGCTGGGTCAAGTTCATTGGGAAAGTTAGAAAATGTTAAAATTGCTCTGAATCCTACTTTGGGAACCACTACATCTGACACAAACACAAACAATGACGACTGTTTGATTTTAAAAGATGGCGGTATTTGATATCCGCAAAGTTTATGTATCACCGGAAATGATTTATCAGTTCCATTGTATATTGTTAGAGAATCGTAGCCACACGATGGGTGAGATTCCACTTCAAAACTTTTGAAAGTGACATTGACACTCTGAAACAAAGAGGATAATTGAGTAAAGGTGTGGATTTGAAAATATAATCCACGTAGCATTTGAATAAAAGACAATAGAGCCATAAGAAGTAGTATTAATAATAGGAGTCATTGGTGTCGTGCACAGGGCAAAGTATGCTGAATCGTTTTGGAGTATCTGGTAACACTTATGACGTGTTTTAAATAAAGAAGTTACTTTGTACGTGTGTATTAAACAAATGTGAGTTTACCGAATAAATGAATAGAATTAATGGTTTCTTGAGATTTTGGGCTTACCTGATTTTGTGGTTTTATCAACCACTGACATATTCTATTATTAGGATAGTATGATTGAGGTCCGTAGTTAGGTGATGTAATATATGATGTTCTACTGATGACGTATGGTGAGGCAGCACATGGCGCATTTGGTATACTTTGGGGAGAAACTTTATCTGCAATGAATAATAAATAAATGGAATAGTGATTCTCTTAGAAGTAAAAAAAGTAACCACGCATACGAAATGCATTACTAAAAGAAGGATTTTTTTTACAAAATGTTCTGGATCCGAATTTCAATGAAGGCCAGACGCGTAGGTCGTTTACGTAAAGAAATCTAAGAGGGACCTTATAAAATACTCCTACCTGAATTGCACATGTAACCACAGAAATAAACAAAAAATCAATAATTTTTCACGGTTGAGGATTCTTTCATGGATTTAATGATCGCCTAAGCCGTTAAAATAAAAATTGCAAGTTGGAAAGAGGGGAGTTTACCTTTAATAACTCTAAAGATGGTGGCATCAAATCCTGGTCTGGCGATGATGATATCAGATTTGAACTCTATACACATTTGACTTGATATTGATGTAATATTTGGAGGTAATGTGGTTCCACAGTAGCTGGTAGATGAACCACCCGAACCGCATGCATCATCATAAACCCGCATATGATCCCATGCACAATCTGAATGATACTCAATATCAATATGATTGACTACAAGTACTACAACCTGAAACATGCGCATTATAAAAAGTATAAATTTCTACTCTCGGTTTGCAAGGTTGTTAATGGAACTATCACTGCGCCTTATCATGTCTTGTCATGTGGCGCAATCACCTAGTTTCCAGACTGGAAATATATCTGACAAAGATTTGGATGAATGTGTGTATTTCCGTACAGGACAAGATCATCGGGAAATCAGGCTGTGGTCTTGACTAAATGTGATTAGCACAATACACTAGATAATTGATACGGGGGGGGGGGGGGCTTAAAATAATAAAATCTGGGACAGAAAACAGATAAAATAACTGCCTTTGTTTAATAGGACGTTAAACATAATTTCCATTGTTCATTTCATTAGATTTTGTGATTAGTTCAAAAAATATTTTATTCAGGATTGAATAACAGATAAAATCTATATATTACATATTATTACATACTTACACTGTTGTTGGTTGAAGAAATGTTCCATTGACAATATGTATTAAGTGGATAGGTTTTATTAGTACCATAGTTTGGTGACGTAATATGACTAGATGGTATGACGTCAGTTAGAATGATATTATCACTACAACATGATACATATTGCACTAGATAAATAAATATTGCCAATAATCCTGAAACATAGAAACAGATATTTAACACTTAAATGACACATACAATAATATGAATATATGTGTAGAAAAGGCAGAGGTTTGTGTTATTCTTTTGTTATATTAACGAAACTAAATGTTTCGAATATATTATATATGCCCGAACCACCACACCGAGGGTTGCTCTTTTCTGAGTTACAATGTCCGTGTATCTCTCTAGTGACCTTGTCTTTGTCGTGTTGGGTTCTAGTTACCTTGAGTTTTGGTGTGACGCTGTGCTATTGCACTTATTATGTACATGTATGGAAAAGACATATTTTATCTTGATATCCTGGTCTGGTGGATAGGTAAATAATGATAATCTATTCCATATACAGGAATAAATGAATTGAAATGAAATGGGGTTTAAGGTTCTTCTTTTCTGCACCGACTGGGCTAATGAAGACGGACATACACCACGCGGTGTGCTATGAGAGACATTTGGCCCGGACAGCGACGCTACGGCATACTGGTATCGAATTCCAACTGCCAAGGGTTTTTCTTTTACGTGCATACCGATGTGAACACAGGACCTCCGTTTTGCGTCCCATCTGAACGAATAGACTCTGTTACACGGTAATAGCGATATTGATCTCAATGAAATATTCGGGAGTGTCAATCTATAGTGTATTATATGGTGTCGCAGATTACGATTATATCGTTAATAAAATAGTTACAATAACCATTCATGATATTTTCAAGCGATAAACACATATAACATTCAAATGCGAGTTTGTTAATTTGAATGAATACTACAATTTAATTGAATTCGAATAATGCATGCTCTCTTCTGATTCACACATATATTCTTAATAATTTTCAATAGCAGAAAATACAAGTGATCATTTTATCAATATTTTCAATGAATGATTGACATGTGCGTGTTTTAATATAATTCTTTTCTTTGTAGAAGAGTCACGAACTATAGAATTATTACAATTTTACTAGATGTGTAGTATGGTGTCTGTATGTCAATGCAAGATGGCCACACCCACACCAAATCAAAAGAAGTTGATATTCAATTTAATATACAAATTGCAATGAAGTGCAAAGAAAGTGACTTCGTGTGTAAATTGCATTTTTTGATCGTGACCATGGAATTAATCTATGATTCACAGCTGATTTTACATTGATTTTATCGGACCAATTTCTTTCTTTGCTAGGGTTGATCATCGCCATTTGAGAGAAGTTGAATCCCTTACAATCAAAAGTGGTTGAAAAGATTTCGCATAGATGTTAAAGCCGCCGATCGCCATTTGAAGAATTTCGAAACTCTTTACACATCTGGGTATCACGTGGCTAAGTGGGTAAGACGCTGGCTCGCTAGCCTGCAGGTCGGGTGTTCGATCCCTGCATTGCCCGAGAAAGTTCTACCAGATTTTCCAGCGTGGTTTCATCTTGTCAGTGATGCAGGATGGCGGGCCTTACAAGGACAGCTGTCTAGTCATTCGGATGGGACGAAAAACCGAGGTCCCGTGTACACATTGGCGTGCACGTAAAAGATCCCTTGGCAGTTGGGATTCGATATAAGAGTAGGCCGTAGCGCCGCTGCCCGGGCAAAATTTCCCCCATAGCACACTGTATGGCGTATGACCGTCATCATTAGCCCAGGTTAGGAGCAGAACAGTAGGACGTTAAACTCCATTTCATTTCATTTCATTTCATTTCTTTACACATCTTCAAAACTGAATATCGGTCCAATATGATCCAATACCGTTGAGAATTTACAAAGATATGGTGAGCCAAAAATAATAGGAAACGCGCACTAAACATAGTGTGATCTGTTGATGAATTAGATAAAATGCTTGTTTAATAGTATTTTCTTTTGGGGATCGCTACAAAAAAGTTAAAAACATATAGACGCCATTTATACATAATAGCACAGAACAAGCCACTCTAAAAACTTCAACACGCTTTTATTTTATTTTTTTTTATTTTTTTTTTATTCTTTTTTTTTATTATTTGTTTCTGCATGATTAAATCAGATTTATAAAATGGGGCGTAATATAGGATTATTCCCCAACTTTTACCTTATACTTATAATAAAATTAAAAAAATAATAATATTAAGATAATAAAGTATGCATAACATTCTTGGCTGATGTTTGTTGTTGTGTATGGAGCGGAATTCTCGGTATTACGGTATTATTTTAACTATGTAATGAATATACTACTATGTTTATTTTAATGTATGTAACTTCTTATCTATCATATTCAAAATTTACACATGTAAATTGTTATTTTACATGAAATATTCATTAAATATTTAGTTTGAATTTGTATTTTGTTCTATTTCATTTCTTACTTTAAAATCATATAATTTAGCATTGCTATACTTAAAGTAGCTAATTCTCTAATTCAATATCATCCAAAATCTTCGACATTGAAAACACGAATTATTTGTCAATTTAAATCAACATTGGTGTTGTGATCTTACGGGGAAAAGATGGGCTTCTGATATCCAATATTTAAGACAAAATAAATATTTTACCGTTGGTACAAGGGACTTGTAGAAAGAGGCTATATATATTCCACAAGTCATATTCTTATCCGTAGAGCATGCGCAATAAATACTATCGGTATAGAGTGGAATAACCAGACGCTACAGAGATTGCCATTGGATTGAGACTTCTGGCGTATTTCGGCGAATATAACTGATTAGAAATTGCAGTAAAAACAGAAACGATTGAATGTAAATCAGTTTATATACATTCACATTACATTATTATATACGTTGCAACCCATTTGTGTCAATTTCTAGATCCAAAATATTAGCGATTTAGCTCCTTTAAGTAAGAGTTTACATGCATTGAAGTAAGCATATACATTAACCATTAAGAGAATTGTGTAGTGAATTCCGCTCCACACTAGAGTTGTTTAACATTTATTGCGTATTTAAGATTCTTTTTGTTTGGGTTTATAGTTAACTACGCTATATTAAAACACCATAATATATTATTCAATAGAAATACTTTTCAAGGACGTTTTGTATTTCATGATAATAAAATTTGTTTAAAGCATTATTGCGTGTGCACTAACAGGATTTAAATACCAATAAAGCATATTGGTACAAAGAACAGTAGTATTTTTTATATTTAATTTTCAAAAATCAAATAATGTTTTCGTTTTAACAAAATACCCCACGAAATCGTCGATACAAAATCTAACCCATAGCCCACTGAATGACGTATGTTTTTCTTCATTAATCCGGACGGTGCAGGAAAGTAGGACGTTAAACCCCCATTTCATTTAGGAGATAAACAGCGACTTTTAGAATTTAGAGGACTTTTATTGTCCATTTGATACCGCTTAAATCATTTCCAATACTTTAATTGACATTGCCGATATCATGCCGATATTATATCTATTACTGACGTTTCATAACTTAAAATCCCGTCTTCATTAGCCCATGCAATCGGAGCAGAACAGTAAGAAATTAAACCCCTCATAACTTAAAAGCGCAATTTTGATATCTTTATTGAGAGAACATAGCTTAAAAGCGTAAAACATTTTAGACGTACCAGGTCGTGGAGACATATTTTTAATAGAACGATGATACCACGAATTACACTATTATTTCCATTTTTTCTGGAAAATTTGATAGGTTCATTGGACGAAAATCTGTAACTAATTGTCTATTGTGTCACCACATGTATTATTTATTAAACAAAGGGGCAAGTACATGTAATTTGATGTCAGCAATGATCGTCTCCTTTTAAAACAAATTCTATTTTTATCACACGGAACTCGTTTACAAAAATATTTTAAAAACAGGATTAACCAAGTATTGTAAGTTATTTTCATCCCAAACGAAAAGTGTGTTGAGATCCGTGCAGAAAGATTAAAGATACATTATGGGAGATTAGATAAAAAGCTGGTAGTTCTCGCTGTAATAGTTAAAAACTAGATAATAGTTAAAAACTATATCCACTATGAACCGAGAATTAAGCGACTGAACTCAGTCTGCTGCTTCTGATGAAAAAAAAATGGATAATGTAGACTATGTTTTTTATCGTACCGACTTTAGTAATGATGATCGAGGCGATGCCCAAAATTCAATCGCTAAATACTCGGTTCAGGGTGGATCAATCTGACTGAAATTTTCAGCGAATTCCCTTTACATTATTTAGTTTTTAACTATTATAGTGAGAACTACCACCTCTTTATCTAATCTCCCATAATGTATCTTTAATTCGGATGTTTATTTATTTTAGAATATGAAGTTCTTTTTTCTTTTGTGGGGGAAGGCGGAGGGGTGTGTAAAAAAAGAATACCATAAATAAACCGGTCAGTGACGTATATCCATGATTTCAAAGGAGTGAGTGTGGCAAAATTTTAAAGCTACGTGATCGTATATTTGAGAACAAAGAATTTTAACTAATTCACTTACTATTATCTCCAATTTACATTTACATTTATAGATCTTTTGCGTTTGATGATTACCCCTTAGGATTTACTATATACCACAGTATATTGATCTATGGCCGCGCCGTTGCATGGAAAACATGTTTGTGTTGTTTAAACACATTATAGAGTGTATGTTGATCTGTTTCCATAGAAATGAACACAACTTTAGGTTGTTTCAATCCAAACTCTTTTTAGATAGCATGTACAGCAATAGATTCATCGGTGGTTGTACCGTTAGATAAAAAAGGCGATATATTAATTCTAAGAATGAATGTATACCTCTTGTTCTTGTATAAATCATCCTTGTAAACTGCATCAGCTATTGTTTAAAATCCCATTTTGATGAAAGTCGAACACCCATCTTTGCTTTTAATTTCTGCAAAACAACAAAAACGCAACAACAATGTTAATTCTTTTTAAAAACTTGTCTAAAAACTAATGCCAAAAAAACGATATTTTCTAGTATTAGAGGTTGTAATTTTGTAACGGTCGCCATCTTGAAATCTAATATGGCCACCATTATTAATGTGCTTTCCAATCTCAACTTCTAATTAGAATAGTCATTTTAGTAACCAACAGGCACTACTTATTAATAAAGAGATCCATCGTAATTTTTTTTTTGTTTTTTTTTTGAGGAAAGCCCATTATCTTTAAATCTAATATGGCCACCATTAAAAATGTACTTTTCAATCTAAGAAACATAGAATATCCATTTTAGTGACTAAAATCGTAGGATGTAGAAGTAGTATTAGTATACCAGTATCTTTAGACGTAATATTAATGGAGAGGGTTATCATTCGTACTCATTTTAGAGGAAAAACCGCCATCCTGAAATCCAATGTGACCGCCATTAATAATGTGATTTCCAATTTCAACATCTAATAAACATCGAATAGCCATTTTAGTGACCAGCATTTAAAAGCATTCTTGTACCTTTTAGGCATTACTTATTAATAGAGGGGTCCGTCATGATTTGTTTTTAGAGAAAAGACCGCCATTTTGAAATCTAAAATGGCTACCATTAAAGTCATTTAAAGAAACGTTTCTAGAAAAGTATTTATCGGGTGTTTATTTCCAATAAAAGTATGGCAATTTTGGTATATATGGAAAGTAGAAATATCCAATCTTACTAGAAAAATACTGGATTCCTGAAAAACTCTCATGGGGCACATACAGGACAAAAATGTAAGGGTTTCCCTAATCGACAGCCCGACGATTAGGAATGTCTGCACGCGTGACGTCAAAGGTTGTACGCGGAGATTGAGCGCTTGGTGTACATGTTGACAAACTTTACGAAGAGTTAAACATTCAACACTTTCTGAGATAAAAATCACGGAAAAAGGCCCCGGCAGTGGATAATCTGAAAATTTAATTAGGCTTCGATATTTGTAATAAATAGTCAGCGATTAAAGACAACGCCGTCTTGTGTGTGCAATGAATTCTCCTCCGACTTCGCACCCGTTGCTAGGTACCGAGAGAGGTATGTCACGTGACACAAACATGACCTCTCTTTTGATCGGTTTTTTATAGCCAGGTATTCCCTGACAATTGCAATGTTTTGAGAAGGATTTGAAGCAAAATTATGATAAATTAATTAGTTTGAATATGTTGTTAGTCCAAATATATTATCAAATGACCCACTTTGTACCCGGGAATGTATATTTAGGTGCACGAAATCGTAGGACACAAGGTACGTTTATATGCATTATTGATTTTATGAACTGATGAGAGTTTTAGTTTTACAAATCAAGAAAGAGTAATCATGGATCAATACCTTAACGAACCTTGTGAAATATAATTAAACGTTCCCAGATGACAAAATGTCTCTTTAACGGATAATAATTAATCTTATGGCATATCTCACGTCATCTTTTGCATCTTAAAAAACAAACTGTTAAGTTTCGTGACATTTTATGATTTTTGATGTTCAGTAGTATAATATGACACTGGACGGTTTCCATTTACCCAATTTTATTCAGCGTTGCTGCATAGTATTAAAGATACGTTCCCAGAAAAGTATTTATCGGGTGGTTATTTCCAATAAAAGTATGGCAATTTTGGTATATATGGAAAGTAGAAATATCCAGTCTTACTAGAAAAATACTGGATTCCCTGAAAAACACTCATGGAACGCATACAGGACAAAACTGTAAGGGTGTCCCTAATCGACAGCCCGACGATTAGGAGTGTCTGCACGCGTGACATCAAAGATTGCACGCGGAGATTGAGCGCTTGATGTACATGTTAATAAAGTTTATGAAGAGTTAGACGTACAACACTTTCTGAGATAAAAATCACGGGAAAAGACGCAGTGGATAATCCTAGAATTTAATTATGCTTCAATATTTGTAATAAATAGTCAGCGATTAAACACAACATCGTCTTGTGTATGCAATGAATTCTTTTGATCGTTTTTCTTATAGCCATATTATTCCCTGACAATTGCAATGTTTTGAGAAGGATCTGAAGCAAAATTATGATAAATTAATTAGTTTGAATATGTTTTTAGTCCAAATATATCATCAAATCACCAAGTTTATACCCGGGAATGTATCTTTAAAAAAGTTTGGTATATTAGTTACGTGATGTCTATTCAATGAGTAAGTAAAGTGGTAATTATTCTGTGGCCCTCGAGAAGTAAAACCGATATCAGATTATTCTTGAACCTCACCTCCTTTTATGTTATTCTGGGTTTTCCAACCTAACCCATCTATTGTTATGCAAATAAAAGACATTCGATCTTTTATGTCGATTTTACATCTAAATTGTGATATTTTGTTCATCCATTACAGTAATTGAGCTCAAATCTAGATTCCTGTGCTATCTAGATGTTTTACCATGTGATCAGAAGCGGGGTGATCTATGTGGTTTTATGTCATTGTGCAAGTAAATTATAACAATTAAATCTGCCTATTGAAGGTTTTTATTTTGGCTTCAAATGTTATATAAATTATTGCTTAGACATTTATTCACACGACAGGCGAATAATCAACTCTCTAGACCATCCGATGGCGGGGGTTAAAATGGGTTAAAATACGATCACTATAATGATTTAATTAAAGAATGAAGAAGCGAGGCTGGGTCTCAATTAACAAGTAACATTGGTGCGATAATAAATTTGTCAAAATTTCAAACAGGGATAACTTCGCTCAGAATAAAGTAGTTTGAATGAAATTTTCAATATAATAATTTTGAATTATCTATTTTGGAACTATGATACCAAGAACGAACAGCTCTTTATCCTTATCTTACATAATGCATCATAAAACGTACAAAAATGAATTTACATTATAAGCATGTTTAAATACTTCTATTTTAAGGTTTGATAGGATAATACAATTGAGTTAAAACTCCTTCTCCGTTGTTTTATTTATATATAGAATACATAAATTATAGTATATTTTTTACATCGTTATAACGGTAATAAAAAATGATATAATTATATAATAACTAATTATTAACTAATTTAATTATTTATTTAAGTTTAACAACTAATTTGCGTTTAATTGTGTTTATTGATTGTTTGGTGTTATACTGTTTAATTGCGATATAGAGAGTGTTTAAGCATCCTGCTTTGTTAGTTAATAATTTTAAGTGGTCGCATTTACTGGAACTGAAAACGGAAAGAAAACAAAATTTAACACTTTAATAATAAAGACGGGGTGTGAGAATATCGTGTATGATTTATGTAAAGATGTCAAAGTTTGTATCTATATGGTAAAGATAAACATTGCGCATATTTTTTTCAGTTTCGTTGTATTTGAAACACATATTATTATGTGACAGTTAATGGGTCATTCGCTTAATCCTTTGTATCTGTTTCAAGATTCTAGTTACTAAACCTGTATCATATGTCAGACGTGACAAGCATCCAGTTTATTATCTATGGATACTATCTAATATACCTAAAGAATGTTGATAATGTTGGTCGAGTCTGGGCAGTCTTAACCCATGAGCAAGCTAAGCAGTTGCCCGGGAGTCTCGCGAGTGTAGGAGCCACATGCTAATCTATGTGAATTAATCTTTGTCGTACACAGGGGCTAAGTGAGAGGGACGCACTGACGAGCTTTGAGTCATGGTTTTTAGTTTTTGTGCCCCCTTGAGTTTTTGTGCCCCCTCGCAAATGGCAAAAAATTCACGCGGTTTCAATGCGGTTTTTAAAAATTGCCCGTGTTTGTTATGATCTCAATCTCTATATTTAACCTTTAATCTAGCACGTGGGGCCTTTAAGTAAGGCTATTAGTATCTGCGCGATGGTTTCAGTCGCACAGGCGCTTATGTCATATAGATCGGCAAGTGTGAGATAGGTCTATCCTATGTATGGGTTTGTTGGGGTTTTTTTGTTGTTTTTTTTTTTACTTTAGGCTACACGTTCTATATATACAAATGTAGACAGTGATATATCATTATCGTTGACCAATAAATATTATCGGCATTTTACATTATTTATATTTACCTATTTACCTATAGGCTTAGTGTGTGTATAAAACATACGTCATCATCATATCAAGCAAAATGACAGGACGGGTAGTGTTTATGGTGTAATTAATAGTTTAAATACTGTTAAACTCCAAGAAAGCTGCATGGTAAAAAGTAATGATTGGTTTACCGTCAATTTATATATATCTGTTCAAAACTTTTTATAGATATCAGCGTGGTTTTCCCTTTTTGGCGGTGTAGGAAATGAAATGAAATGGGGTTTAACGTCCTACTGTTCTGCTCCGAACTGGGCTAATGAAGACGGTGGCGGTGTAGGACGGGTGGCATGGCAAGGAACAGCTTCTAGTCGGTCGGGTGGGACGAAAACCTGAGGTTCCGCGTACACGTTGGTGTGCACGTAAATGATCCACCGAAATAAGAGTAGGCGGAAATGCCGCTGTCCGTGTCAAATAAATCTCATAGCACACAACATGACATATGGCCGTTTTCATTCGGCCGGCTGTTGCAGAAAAGTAGGACGTTAAACCCTATTTCATTTTTTAAATTAAAAAAAAAGGATTACAAAAACATTTCGCAATTTGTAAAAGAAATGTCTCGTGGTGCATTCACGTATAACTAACAGATTGATTCATTTTGACATTTCATCTGTGCTGAATTCTGTTCTGCTTGTACTACATAATTTTATCAAACAATCGGGATGCATTTTCTAGCAAGTCAAAATAAGTTATACTTACCACTGTAATGAGTATAGCTAAGAAAGTATCCCTGCTACATGCCGAGGTTGTAATTTACATGTTCAATAAATGTAATGATAATGCTCCGGGTTCGAACAGTAATACCGCTTTACATTCACTGCTAAAAGTTTTACTTTACAAACCCTCAAAGAACAAGAGCCAAATAAAAGATCTATTATTTAACCGAAAACTCCTGCACATGTATAGGGTATATCGTTCCACGTCACCGCACAGTCCTTAATTATAATACAAATTCCCATGAACTTTGTCCCCTCGGATTTTCCAAATGAACACTTTAATATATGAATAAATAAGTTTATTGCTTATTAGAGTTTACATGGTTGGTTGTCATTTCACCGTCCCTAACACTTAAACACGTCATGTGTCAAAGCGGATTTAAGCCGGCTATATGAATGTAGAATTGATAAAACGTAGAATAGTGAAGGACACAGGGCGGAGATTACCTGTCGAATTTCGTCACGCCTTCATACATCACTCTCCTAAAATAGTCCAATATAGAACGTTTACGTTTCCTCATGCCCCATAACTATACTTTGTATTTTCTGCCATTTTTTGATTTAGATGGTAAATCAGCCTTCGGATCAATAACTATGAAAAGGCAAAAAATTATAACCACTTATCATTTAGGCATTTAAAATATTTACATAATTATCCATTACTCAAAACTATTCATGCATTAAAAACACAGAGAAATGTGCAGATATCATCATTATTATAATTAGGTGTGTGTCCCTATTTATGTATTGAACGCTTCTAGTATAACGGAAGTGATTCTTGCATAGAACAAATATATTTCAGTAGTCTAGATGGTATTGTTATGTATTTGACAAATACCCTTAACCACTGTTTTAAAAACCCTTCATTTTATTACTAAGCGGGTCGTATAATAATCTCTCTTCAAAATATTTGGCATTATTAGCTAATAAATAAATACACTTGTCTCAAATACGGGAGTAAATTTTAATATAAAAGGTTTCAGAACAGATATTATAGTATTTATATACTATTTATATATATACTATTTCATCGGATATGCACTGTGTGCAATATTTCCTGGTAATAAGTAAAGGGTGGCCCTGTTTGACTATATAGTGAACAGTTATCTTAGCATAGGATTCTGTTCCCCCATTTTAGACATAAAGACCCCCTCCGTCCTAAATGATTTGACAAGTGGTGTATATAACGATATAAGTAAAAGTGATATACATACTACAGAACATAATAATTATATCATAAAATGATTGGTATAGAGACTCAGTCAGGCGAAGTTTCTAACTTATACCTACAAGTAATCCCCTGCTTTTGTGTGAAGCAGACCAGAAATTCTTTAATATTATTTGGAATGTTTTTATATACTATGAATATACAACCTGTATTGGACATACATTACTAAAGAGAAGTACGTTATCAATACACAAAAAACCTTTAAAAATACTTTAAGTACTTATATGTCAGAAACTTGTTTTATTTAGTACATTCAAGTATTGATAACCCCAGCGTTTTAATTAAAAGGAATTTTGTCCACATGTTTTGGCAAGAAATTAAATATTTTCTTGGTTTCAGTATTTATTTTTGTAACTTATTATAATGATATTCTGAATGCAGTTCTTTATTGTGATTTCATATTGTGTAAATATACAGTACACGGTGCGCTGTATTCCACTTGTACGCTCTTATTACGAAAATATGCCATATGTGTGACATTTGATAGAAGATAATAATGCGATTTTAGAATTTTATGAATCAACAGTAGATCTATGCTTATAATATAAACGTGGGATCTGTTAAGCTGACTTTTAACAAATCGTTTTTAAAAACGAAAAAGATAACGAATAAGCAGTTTTATAATATGCCAAGCTACTTATGATATCAAGCGTAGGCTTTAAATCATTCGTACACCCAACCCTCCAAATGATACAATATAAAAAAAATGATGAAACGTTGTAAAAAAAAACAACCCAGTAATAACAAGACAATTAATGGTGACCATAGAATAATTGTGTCCTTTGTATTTCCAGTTCAGTTCTAAATACCATTGAAGTAATTTAACTATTATCAATATCACTATAAAAAAATATGTGTGAATTGACGGGAAACTTTGCAGACTATTTGTTTCTTCCACATATAGGGGCGGGTTGGGTAACTCTGGGCCCTCGGACCAACTGGTTTCAGCGGATGCGAAGATGAATTTTGTTTATTTGGAAAAACAATATGTCTGAGACCCAGTCCTACCCTGCTCCTACACAGTAAAATACAGATTCTCTCTATCCAGTTTGTGCGTAGAATGACTGGATATACATGGACTCTTCAATATCAATGGGTTAAAATCAACTCATATAAAAAGTGTTGAATATCTTGTTGGTCTAATCTATATGAAGTCTGAATGACTGACTAGTATGATGTGAAGCCTTACAGTCATTGTTCTCATAAAAATCATGCCCAACTACTCACTAGAATTCATCTCTTAATTGGATAGAGAAGGGGTCAAGACGGGTCAACTGAATAAAAAGTATGGGTGTTGTTAGATTGTATTATAGAGTTCATGTCAATCTTCATGTATGTTACCGCTGAAAATAACAAAAATAAAAAACGAAAAGAAATTAAATGAAAGGGGTTTGAACGGCTTACTTTACTGCACGAACCGGTATAATGTTATGAGGCAAATTTTGCCGGAAAAGTGGGCCACCCCCAGATTTGGTCAAAGGTCACGAGAAGTGATCAGGGCTAGTGCTAAACCTAACTGCAATGTGTAGCCGAGATAATTCTTATCCACGGCTGCAATTGATACACTATTCGAATCTTTGAGCAAGCAAAATTAGGTTCAATTGCAAAATTTTCAACACATATCATCACAGTTTATGTTCCAAATAGTGAAGAGTGGAACACTAAAATCATAATCTTATCTTACCGAACAGTTTTCTGTATTTTCGAGTGGCAATGCCCCCATGTGATTCTGGTTCGGTGGCCATTTTAAATTGAACAGAAATTTCGCATAGCAGTTGGGTTTAATCAATCATATAATTATACCGTAAGGTTTATTATATGTTAAGCTATGTACAGTACAGTTTGGGGTCAGTGTAATTGGCACACAATTCCCAATATTAGACCAACTTTCGTGCAGTAGTTCAAACATAATTTATCTAATTCCATGTAGACAATGTGACAAGCAATACGTAGGGGAGACTCAAAATGCACTTAGGGAAAGAATTAACGGTCACCGGTCAGACATAGTCACAAAAAAAGACAAACCGGTCTCAATTCATTTCAACCAACCAAATCATGAACATTTCTGATCTCATTGTCACGCCAATAGAAAAGACCAAGAGCGACTTTGAAACTACAGAAGAAATTAAAACGTTTAGGCTAACAAGAGAAAAATTCTGGATTGACAAATTGAAAACAACAGCCCCCCCCCCTCAGGTTTGAATATTCATACGACTAGCGCAATAGCCCCTTTTGTAGTTCCATTTAGCGCAACAGCAGCAAGTGCATCCAAAATCATCAGAAAACACTATACTGATCTCCAAGAAAATCACCCGAAAATCTTCACACAGAAACTTATAATTGCACATTCTAAAAATAGAAATCTGAACGACACCCTAGTGCACAGTAAATTAGATTAAATAAGACCAGTCTCCACCCTAACCCAAAGCAAATCATATATTAAGTCCTATCCCTATCCCTAACCGTTAGTAAATAAAATCAACTAGATAGAAGAATCCCTAGCCCTAACCCGGTGATGTGGAACAAACACGATTTTTTAGAAAATCTAATCTGTAGTAAGAAACACACTAATGTGGCTCTCCCCCGAGAGCCTCAAATTTATTCTTTTTCCTTCAGAAACAAAAATACCAGAAGCACCATCCAAGGAAGGCCATCAGCGCCACCAACTCCAAAAAACAGTGAAATCGCCTTTGTATATAAATCTTATGTATTGTATGTATTTTTAATAAAGCTAGGAAATATCACGAACTAATTTTTCATCATCATAGGTCAGTGCTTATGTGGAGACTTAACCTCTCCCCCAAATTCTTAAACCTAACCTAACCATGGACCTATAGCCCTAACCCACAATCTCGTCAACAATCACGTGCTCTAAACTTATTTAGCGACCTTGTCGAAATCTGGAGTTGGCCTTAAGAAATAGATGTAGCCCGACATCGAACTTTTCCGTGCACACCAGTGTATACACAGGGCGCCTATCACAGGGCACCTGTTTTTCAGACTGGTAAATCCCGAAGAACTTTCTCAGTCAATCCCGGGATTGAACACGGGAAATCCTGATTAGTGCGTCAGCATCATACATACCCACTGAGCCGCCGTGCACCCCGAAACAGAAGGGCTGTATAATTTAACTTAGAAGGGGTCCTTCTTGATTTTTAATACACACCTTTGACTGAGATATACCCAATAAGGTTATTTAGTTAAATCTATTCTTTATTTTCAAGTCACGATAAGTACAGAGTTCATAGAATCTTACCCACCAGTATATTATTGAAAGGTTAATTGCCAAAACCGGATCACCACGGTAAAACATATTCTAGATAAAAGCTTCACAAGCACCTATTGCTCGGATAATTACATTAACTGGCTCAGGTGGCCGAATGACGATAATAAAATACAGTATCATCGATCCTAGAGGGTATTCAAGATATTTTATTTTATTCGGGCTGAATATAGTATAATTAGTGAACTCATTTAATGCGCCGTTTAAAAAATTCAGTTGTATTATAACTGAGGGAGCTATTTTCTATTTATCGCTTGATATAATATACACAGTTCGAAAATTTAATGATACAGATCTTGTCCCGTCAGTAATCGACCTGATCAAACCTTAAGAGAAAGACAAGAAAACGGGCCTTGCCAGCGATATCAACCTAGATGAAAGCGGACGTTTAGCCCTGAGTAAGATGATGAAAATAGGATTCACAGCTGTTTAATAATGTGAGATTGTGTTCAGTATTGGTTGCCTATTTGAGAAGCTGGAAGTACATACATACAACCCCCCCCCCCCATCCCAAAAAACCCCCCAAAAAAACCCTCACACATAACCACATCCGTATAAGCGTAAGCTATAGATATCAACGTTTAGTGGTTTTTGTTCTACTTCGTTCCACTTAACGTGGGAATTTTTATTTCTATACAAACAGTTTTGTTTACAGTATTTTTCTTCGGTCTAAAGGCTTTATATTTGTTCACTAGATAAATATTTTGATCAGCTACGATAAACTTATTATTAGGACACAGAATAGTTAACCTCCGCTATTATTGATAAAATATGGCACAGGCCATTATATGCCATTTAATAGAAGAGACGTATGATTTGTGAACAGCTTTTTATTTAGAATTTTATTAATCCACAGTAGGTCTGTGCTTATAATTAAAGGTGTGATCTTTGAAGTAGACCTTTAAAATTTCGTTTTTTAAAATCTAAAAATGACGGAGGTCTTCGTATTCAAGCTGTTACTTACGAACATTGAAATAAGAATTTTACGATGGTCGTTTAGACCTACAGAATAATCAGTTTCTTTTTCTCGGATTGACTGACCTAGCCTACTGTTTACACCCGCCAGCAGCAATACACGTCCATGCTAAATCTAAAATTGTTGTCAACAAATGTCACAGATGTTTTTACAAATATTATTATGAACTCTAGATGTACTTGAAGCAGTAACGGTAAACGGGAAGTACCGGTACCTAAAACGCGTTCGAAACTTACTATCTGGACATTTTGCAATTCAATTTTATAATCTTATGCACAATGAGCAATTTTATTCCGTTTCAAAAAGTCTTACACGATCATAGTCAATAGGGTTCTTCCTTAGCATGCTCTACCGAACAATCCCACCAAGTGTTAATGAATCCGATCAAAAACTTTGTCCAACATTTTGCAATTCAATAATATAATCTTATGCACAATGAGCAATTTTGTCGCGTTTCTAACTAAAAGTCTTACACGATCATAGTCAATAGGAGTCTTCCTAAGCCTACTCTACCGAACAATTCCACCAAGTGTAAATGAATCCAATCAAAAACTTTGTCCAACGTTTTCCTATTTCTAATCATTTTTCGATCCGCAGATTCTGGAAATAGGTGCAAGGGAGGGAACTCCAATTTCAAGATGGCTGCCGCTGGAGCTGCCCACTTGAGTTCTGGAAAGATTAATTTAGGAGTCTTGAGAGATCATTACCGTCGGGAACTGATAGAGTGTATTGATAAATGTACTGGCACCAAGGTATCTATTTATTCCGAAAAACCCAATGGCAGATGAAATCAAGCGGCTAACAATGAAGCAAACAACACCTTCCCCGACTGAACGTCACATGATTTGTATTTCTTAGAAAAGTATAACAGAGCATCAGACAACATAATTTTTGTTATGATACAAAATAACCTTAGACTTGAATAATTGCACAATTGAACAGGCCAACTAAAACTAAAGAGTATTACTATAGGCTAATAATATTAGGCTACATTGTAAGCTATACATGTCAGTCTTAATATCACCTATTATCTCACCTCTTTTAAATTTGGCTTATTTCTTAATTTGATCTGTATTGTCAAAGTTCTTCAATGCAGAAACTTGTGTCAAAAAGGATACACCTATTGAGATCACATGGCTGCAAAAGGTTGAGAGGTTATGGTCTATATTTATAAGTTGCTATAATATTTTCACTTTTTACAGGCTTTAGTGTGGGATGATGCCTTGACGGGACCATTTGGATTGGTGGCTGAATATTCTTTACTAAAGGTAAGAAGTTTACAACTGAAAGATGGGTATTCAGTTTAATACATGCATATTGACACATGTAGTTCCCAAATTGAACAAAACCCAATATCAGTATGGATTTATTAATGTACAAAACATGATCAGGTTTATAGAACACTCTGTGTACTTTGTTGATGTAGAGCACACAATATTTGGTAGTGGTTGATGGAGGATCTGTTTTTTTCTTTCAATCTTTTGAGAGAGAGAGAAATGGGGTTTAAGGTCCACTGGTCCATTCAACACAAAACTAGGTCATTTTTGAACCAACACATGGTTCAATTTTATTTCAATAATTTGCTTGCGCGTAGGGGTCTTTAGCAGTGGGAGGAAACTGGAGGACCTGGAGAAAACCCATGAGGTTGGACAGGCGACCCTACTCCTTAACACGTACAACCGGGGAATCGAAACCACGCCAGCTGACTCAATGACAGACCTTATGATATCAGTCTTTTGAAACAGCTTTTAAAAACATTGACATTTACACTAAACTCAATCAATATTGCTCTGATTTATTCAAATTGTAATATGGTTTTAGACTGGGCTTAATATAGTTTATACTGTATTTATTTCATGAATATTGTACAAGTTAAAGATACCTTATGTAAGATTTATTCTTGCTATAACAGTTCAAAAAAAGATAATTAATGTAAAATGAATGATTTGAAAATTTCATTCAAATTACTCTATTGCGAGCGAAGAAATTAGCCTATGAAGGTTTGACAAGACGTGTGCAATAATTTCAACCACCGTACTCGTTGTTCGAAACTAAGTCTCGCTCCTCCATTTTTGAATTAAATCAAAATATGGCTGAACCAATCTAATCTATTTAATATCGGAGAAATCTGATGCCATCGAGAATTGATTATGGCCTGGATCAGTTAATTTATGTCTAAGTAATAATTTAAAAAAAGATTTCAGGCCTAAAGAAAGACCTACAATGGGCAGATTTAGCTCTTGCATAATGCATGTTTAAACTAAGGTATAACAACTGTTCTTACTGTGAATATTGAACAATTTAATAGCCACAATGATTGTTATTACCATTTTATTTCTTAAAAATTTCAAATGTTTTAGGATCATGAAGTGGAGAAGATGTTTCCTCTTGGTCCAAAGACCCTTCAAGCTAGTAATGTTCAGAATATTATATTTCTTACAAGACCCAAGTTAAAATTAATGGAACTAATAGCTCAGAACTTATTAAAGTGAGTAGGGTAAAGGTATATCAGGAAATGATAAAACATAAATGATGAAATATTTGCACACTATGCATATATTAGTGCTGGCACAATGTATCGTGATTCACCTTCTCACAATTCGTGTATTGAATCGTGAGACACTGAATCTATGTGTCGCATTTCTTTTTTATGTCAGTAAGTAACCTGTCACTCTTGATTATCCATGTCACATGTTTTCTTGGTAAATATTGACCTGGTTATGAATTGTGATACAAATCGTATCGTAGCACCTGAATCGCAATACGTATCGTGACTGCAGTGGCAATACCCAGCACTAGCATACATACATTTAATAGTTTATTCTAATGTTTTTGTGTTTTGGGACATCACAGTGGCTCAGTGGGTATGGTGCTGACTCATTAACCAGTAGGTCCCAGGTTCAATCCCGGTGTTTGTCAATTAAGTTCCTATGTATTTCCCAACCTGATGTCCCTTGACAAGGACATGACAAGGAAAGTATCTAGTTGTTCAGATGGAACAAAAAACCTGAGGTTTCATACATACCCTGCCGTTGGCAACATGTTAATGATCCCCTGACAGGGCAGCTGGCAGAGCAGCATTTCCCTAATAGCACATTGCATGGTATATGTGAGTCTTCATTAGCCTAGTTGGATGAAAAAGGTAAGACATTAAACCCCATTTCATTTTGTTATTTCAGTGAAGATCATAAAGGGCCACAACGAACAGAATTTCACCTGATATTTGTTCCCCGGAAAAGTTTACTTTGTGAAAAAAAATTAAAGGTACCGTAATCAAACTGTCATGTCTTCTGTCTTTACATTTTCTTGAATTAGTGTTACTGTATGCTTTGAAATATTTGAAAAATCTGTGAAGAATAAAATACCTTTACAGACCATCCCAAAATTATGGTAGCTGTTCACTGGGAATTGTTGATATAATGGTTGCAAAATTGTCTTTTCAGGAAATGGGTGTTTTTGGTACATTTACAAGTGTTGAAGAATTTAGTTTAGAATTGATACCATTTGATAATGATCTGCTCTCAATGGAAATAGATACAACATTTAGGGTAAGGTTTTTAACATATATTAGACAATGTAGCATAATGCCTTGACAGCAGTTGGCATATTTTTCGTTGAATGGCAACCTAATTTTAACTGTTTATTAGGTAAAGTAGCAAAACTGTGCATTAAAACTGAGACAAATTGAGCCAATTCTCTTAATTACATGTGTGTGAAAAGGACAATATGAGGGGAACTGATAAGATGAAACTATTTGCAAGTGGTATTATTTGTCTTCTATATATGGGACCTGTCGTAGTCAAAGGGTAAGGGCACTAAACTCTGAACTAGAATCCTGGGGGGACTGGGTAGCTCTGTCCCAATCGTGGGATGTTTCAAGTATTGCTCAGATTTTTCTTAGGTACAGCCTGTGTGACTGACAAATAAACTTACCTAGTTATTTGGATAAGACTAAGAACCGACGCTTACGTATCTACTCTTTGGCATGCAATTAAAATAATTCTTGACAGTTGGAATTCGATAAAGAATGAGTGCCGGTGTCTGAGCCAATTCTCTTCCCTGCCATTCCACACAGAAGATTAAGAAAAATAATCATATGCTGATCTTAAAATGATCAAAGTATTGTGTTGCTGAGACATTAAACTTTTCTTCCATTTGTTCAAATTGATGGGTTATCTATATATATCAATTTGTGAATGTTTCTTTATGTTGACTTTATAGTGTTATTTGTATTTGTAGGAATGCTACTTAGAGAATGATTTTACAACCATGTTTTATGTAGCTCAGTCTATCATGACATTACAAGCATTATATGGCATCATACCGTATATTTATGGTAAAGGAGACTGTGCTAAGGTAAAGTATTATTTTTTTAACTTTCTATAAAATTCATTTTATATCTCTTTTTGCAATTTGTATCTTTAAATCAGAACAAATCTTGGTTATTATGACACTAACCACAAACCTGGGATTGAATCCCGGTTTGGCAGTTCTTTGGGATTTTCCGGTCTTGCAAAGAAAAATGTTTAGTTGTTTGGATTACTGGAAAAGCCAAGTTCCCATATATACCAATGGCAGCACATTAAACATCCCCAGACATTGGAAATCGAAATAAGAGTAGGCAGTAGCACTGCTGTCGGGGTATAATTTCCCTCGTACCACACTGAATGGGGTATGCCCATCTTCATTAGCCTGTTTCGTCCAGAAAAGTTAGATGTTCAAAGAAGTCTTCTTTAATTTCACATTAACTCTGGAAATGATTTCTTGATTCTGAAATACAACTCATAAATTACATTTATGTAATTAATAATCCAACAACCTCTGGTGTCAAATGCCATACAAGGTATATCGACCTCCTTGCTTCAATTAATTGAATAATGTCCTGTATTTTCAGCATGTTGTAGAAATGATGAGAAGAATGAAAGGAGAGTTAGGAGGTCGTGAACCTCAGATAACACCACAGATTGATAATCTGTTAATATTAGATAGAAACGTAGATTTATTAACACCATTATTAACACAATTAACTTATGAAGGTCTCATAGATGAAACATTTGGTCTAAATAATAGTAAGTACAATGTTTATATCATACATTCTTCTGACAATTGAGAGCTTAGGTGGCTCAGTCAGTAAGGTGCTGGCTCCTTAACCAGAAAGTCCAGGTGTTGGATTCCTGTGTTCCAGTGTGGTTTCCCTTTGTCAGTGGTGCAGGACAGAGGGTGTCTAGTCATTATAATGGGACGAAGAACCAAGGTTCTATGTACGCTTTGACGTGCACATAAAAGAATCTTGATAGTAGGAATTTGATATCAGAGTAGGATGTAGCGCTGCCGTCTGGCCAAAAATGGCCCTTAGAGCACCGTATGGCCTATGCCCATCTAAATTATCCCAGTCGGTGCAGAAAAGTAAGAGTTAAACCCCATTTAATTTCATTTCTTTTGACAATTGGGGCTACATAAAAGTTAAAATCCATTTGATATATTTTTTTGCTTGAGCCTAGTTTATAGATACAGACTGTATCATGCTTTGTTTAATCTTAGAGGGTAGCATTCGTAACAAATTAGAATACCATTCTTAACCTCAAGTTGTTACACATCTTTAAATTTTTCTCAGTTTTTTTTCATTCGTATTTTAAAATATTATGACCATTTGATGCAGACTGAATGAAAAAAAAAAATAAGATAAAAAATAAAAAAACCTGAATGAAAGTCAAAAGACTATATTTTTTTATGATCAATTAATCTTTTTCTTTACATTTTATTGCAGCAAGTGTTAAATTACCAGCAGAAAAATTCATTCCTAAAAATCAAAAGCCTGACGAACCATTAGAACCTAAAAAATTTATTCTGAATTCCTCAGATGAACTATATGCTGATTTACGAGATAAAAATTTTAATGCAGTGGGGTCCATTGTTAGTAAAAAAGCTAAAGCTATCACCTTAGAGTTTGATGTATGTACTTTAATTAATCTGTTATTTTAATTTTAAATAATCTGAGATCTGAACCTTGAAAATCATGCATATACGAGCGTATGCAAATGTATTAAATGCAGCATTTGTCTGAAAATATTGAAATGGTCAGAATTAGAAAATGATAAATATTTATTTTTTTTATTACAAGTTTTACAAGAGTTCACAAAGAGAATTTATGTGCATATTTTGGCGTTATAAAAAAAAATAGTCTTGGTCTCACATACTGTAACAAATGCAAGCTTAATGGTACTTGTTTTAGAGAAAAAAACTGTCAATGCAGTTTTATTAGAAATGAGAGATAGGCTGTGCCAAAATTATCTTGAAAACATTTCAAGTTTAAATTGGTACACAGGAATTGTCAGGAATGACATTTGTGTATATCATCAAAATTTTAAGCACACTGACTACTAAAAATTAAAGGGAACATGACTTGTAACATTTTTTTCTGTTACTTAGGAAAGACATCAAGCTAAGACGGTAGGAGAGATGAAACAATTTGTAACCAAGTTACCACATTTACAGAAAGCAAGAGAATCACTAACCACACGTAAATATCATGAAATAGTCTCTGTTTTAACATCTGTTGATACTGATTGTTTCACTGTTTTTGTGATCTTTACATATTATCATATAAACTTCCAAATCAAAACATGGTAGTACTACTATGCATAGAAATAGATATCTTTAAGATATATCTGTCCTAAAGTGGGTCAGTTTTGTTTAGAATTGGGAATAATGTGCAATCAAAATAAACAAGCCAGTGCCACATATAATTGTTGATTGAATCCAAGCTGTGAGATTATCTAAAATTGATATTTTGGTAAAAGTTTGGTATTATCTGAAAAATGCACACAACTATCAATTAAGAATTTGATTTAAAACTGTTTATATAAAAGGGATATCATATTATTTTTGTTTTTTTTAGAGACATCTATTGCTGAGTTAGTTAAAGAAGCAACTAATTCTGATGGTTTTATGGAAACTTTAAGATGTCAACAAGGTCAGTCTATAATCCTGCACATATTTACAGTTACCAATATAAAAAAAGCATGCAACATAAAGTGACATTTTTAAATTCCTTTGATCCAATTTTGGCTGCAATATGAACAATGTTAGCTGCAATATTAACAATGTTGGCTGCAATATTAACAATGTTGGCTGCAGTTGTAACAATCAATGTTGGCTGCAGTTTAACAATCAATGTTGGCTGCAGTTGTAACATTGTTGGCTGCAGTTGTACCGATCAATGTTGACTACAGTTGTAACAATCAATGCTGGCTACAGTTGTAACAATCAATGTTGGCTACAGTTGTAACAATCAATGTTGGCTGCAGTTGTAACGATCGATGTTGGCTACAGTTGTAACGATCAATGTTGGTTGCAGTTGTAACAATCAATGCTGGCTACAGTTGTAACAATTAATGTTGGCTGCAGTTGTAACAATCAATGTTGGCTGTAGTTGTGACAATGTTAGCTGCATTTTTTAAGATTTTGGACACATAGTTTCTTGTAGTTTTAACAATGAAATATCACACTGTTTTTATTTGTCAGATTTTACCAATGGTTTAGAAACTGATAAAATACATCCATATATAGAAGAATGTATAGCTAAAAAAGATTCTATCACAAAAGTAAGTTTTACTATAAATTACACTCAGGCCTAAAAAAAATAATAATTTGAAATTTTATTTCCAACTCAATGACTGACAAAATGACAGGCACGCAAGGAATATTGTCTTAAATTTTGTCTGACACAGTAGCACTTCATGCTTTATATTTTGAGCAGAGTTAATCTGGCTTCACTGATTAGAAGACCATATATGCTTGAGATTTTTATGGATTTGTGGCATTTTTAGAAGATATTCTTAGGGACTTCTTTAGTAGTAAAATGTAGTAAGGTTATGGACAATTATTCTCTTTAGTAGTAAAATGTAGCAAGGTTATGGACAATGGCTCTCTATGAAGAGATAATAGACATCTACATTAATGAGAATACCAAATGAACAAGAGAACTTAATTATTTATGTGTATTTCTGATGGATTAAAAAATTATCAGAGATTCATTGAATCAGGTGTCCTTTATATATCATGCATGTTTATGAATGTTTTTCAGATTTTAAGATTAATATGTATCCAGTCATACTGTAATGATGGATTAAAACCAAAAATATTAGAATACTACAAGAGAGAAATTATTCAGGTAATTTACACAAAATACTCAAATTTTATATTAGAAACAAATTACTCTTCAAATCTATACCTTCAAACATAATTTACACAAAATACTCAAATTTTATATTAGAAACAAATTACTCTTCAAATCTATACCTTCAAACATAATTTACACAAAATACTCAAATTTTATATTAGAAACAAATTACTCTTCAAATCTATACCTTCAAACATAATTTACACAAAATACTCAAATTTTATATTAGAAACAAATTACTCTTCAAATCTATACCTTCAAACATAAATTAGCCGTTATTTTGGTAAATATGTATCAAACCAAACCTATGATTTTTATGTGATATTTAGTAATAGGACACAATGTTTATGGGAAACAGTATTCTCTTATTGTTATCAAACACAATGTTAACAATAAAAGGATACTTAGTGAAATGTGGTACCTATATAATAAACCAGAGATTGTTTCTTCACCTATATTGTGTTCTGTTAACATGGAAAAAACAACAAAAAACTGATATGTAAGGTTTTATTTCTATGAGGGAGCCACGGTGGCTAAGTGAGTAAGATGCTGGCTCACTAGCCTTGAGGTCGTCGGTTCGCTCCTAGTGTTGGCCGAGAAAGTTCATCTCGATTTTTTTTCAGCGTGGTTTTCCCTTGTCAGTGGTGCAGGACGGAGGGCCTGACAAGGACAGCTGTCTAGTTGTTCGGATGGGACTGAAAACCAAGGTCGCGTGTATATATTGGTGTGCACATAAAAGATCCCTTGGCAGTTGGAATTCGATGCAAGAGTATGCTTTAGCGCTGCTATCCAGGCAAATTTCCCTCATAGCACACTGTATGGCATATGCACGTCTTCAATAGCCCAGTTGGAGCAGAATAATAGGACATTAAACCCCATTTCATTTCATTTTATTTCTATGAACAGGCGTATGGTTTTGAACATATGATAACATTGATGAATTTAGAAAAGACAGGATTATTAAAGACACATGGTAACAGAACATATGCCATTATACGTAAATCATTAAAACTGATTGTAGACGATGTAAATGAACAGGTGAATATAGCTGTAGTTTATTGTTTATTTTTTTATAAACAAGAAGTTGGATGGCCGAATGGTTAGCAAATTAGTATCATAAGGTCTGTCCTTGAGTCAACTGGCGTGGTTTCGATTCTCTCTCTCTCTCAAGGCAATGGGTTTATATCATGGCAGACAATATAGAAACAGAAATGTGATCAGCTCTGTATGAATCAAAACACATCTCTGAATAGATTTATGTTCTATATTTGAAGTTCCATAATGTGGTATTTGACCAGGGCATTTACCTGTTAAACAAATATACTGAGATATTTAGATTTGATGAAATGGGTTAGATATTTAGGTTTGATGAGACAGATGAGATATTTAGATCGATGAAATGGTTGAGATATTTAGGTTTAATGAAGGTGTAGATTTAACATAAAGGGCAAATATATTTAGATTTGATGAAATGGATGAGATATGTGGAATTGGATAACCGAAGTGCTGTTGCCTTTAAGAATACTATACTCATGTTTCAGTTAATTTTAGTCTGTCTTTATTACAGGTTCCCAATGACATATCATATGTATATAGTGGTTATGCACCATTAAGTATTCGATTAGCTCAATATTTAGCTAGACCAGGATGGCGTAGTATAACAGAAGTATTAAACTTATTACCTGGTCCTAAAGTAGAAGAAATACAACAAATACCTGTTGCTTTACGTAAAAGAAGTAAGTTTTTATTTACAAAAGTTTAATGTCCTACTTTTTTGTAATAACCAGGTTAATGACGATAGTCATACTGCACCTGACAGAATTGCTACAACCTTTTCTTGTTTAGGAGATCTTAAAGGTACTGGCAGTGGTAAACAAGGGCCCTCATTTTATGTTTCGAGTTTCATGCTGTGTCTGTCACTTTTATAGAATACTAAAATCAAAGATCGGACCCTGAGTCCACAAAGCGTTCTGAGATTTATGTTAAGAATTTACTCAACTTCCAATCACTGTTTCTTATTGATGTATCTGATACAAAAGAACAAAAACAGTTTTTTAAAGGGCTATATTTTAGTTAAAATAAGGTGAACAATTTTGAGTTAACTTAAGTCTGAGAATGGTTTGTGAAGTCATGGCCTGTAATCTTACAACATAAAAGCTTTGCCTTCTATTGGTAAAATTGATTCTTATCGATTTAATAAAACAGCTTAACAACTTTTCCATACAACTTGGATAACAATGTGACTGATGGTCATTTATTTGGATTTTATCATAAAATAGGAATATGAGATTTTTTGATAATAAATTATTTCGCCTCACATAATGTAAATTAATTCCATCCTTCTCTGTCATTGAGGTTAATTTATTTAAGATATCTTCACCAATTAAGTATCAAAATTATTCAGACCTTTGATGCTGGATAATTTAAATTCTTATTTCTTCATGTAACATTTCTCTTTACTAGTGTCAATCCATCAGGCCCTATGTTAGTTCAAGAATTATGTTTCATATTTCAGGAAATTCTATAACTTCATCCCATTCCAGTACAGGTGAACAAAGAGTAACATTAGTATTTTTTCTGGGTGGAGTAACATATGCTGAAATAGCTGCTTTACGTTTCTTAGCACAACAAGACGAAGGTAGGTGTTCATGATCGGTTGATAGATAATATAACATACAGTTTTGGGATTTTAGTTGTTTTTGGAAGGGAAAATGCATTATTTTTCGGTATTTTATGTAAAAATTTGTCAACGTTCATTCGTTACTAGAGTTTATTTCTAGACCACCTGATACCACTTTTATAGTTTGCAATGGTAGTTGAATGGTTAAGCACTGGCCTAGAATGTCCTTGGTTGTAATCCTGGCGTGGCCTGAGAAAAATCTTCAAAATTTGCTCAGAATTTTCCAAGTCTGGTTTCCTGTGTCAGGAGTGACATTGTACATTTCGGTGTTGACAAGGAAAGTGTTCCTAGTTATTTAGATGGTACGGAAAACAAAGCTCCACCCATGAACACATTGCCATGTATTGAGAAGATTCATTGGCAGATCAGTTGGAATTCGAAAAAATATAATAGCAGGAAACAAAATGTTTAAGGCGATAGTGCGTGTAAGAAAGGTCTATGACATTATCAAAAATATTATACACCTTGGCCAGAGGCTGAATAGATTTTGAGGCTCTAGGCTTGAGCCTGCCATGTAGGTATATCTGGTATGTTGTGTACTTTGTTTTATCATAAACACCTCATACCACTTTTAATATATTCTTGGGAAGCCTAAAATCTGTTATACATGTACTTCCTTATGTTCAAAGCTAAGAGAGAGAGAGAAATGGGGTTTAACGTCCACTCAACACAAACTAGGTCATTTCGGGACTAACATATGGTTTAATTTTATTTCAATAATTCGCTTGCGCGTAGGAGTCTTTAGCAGTGGGAGGAAACCCACAAGGTTGGACAGGCAACCCTACTCATTGTCATGTACAAAGCTAATATATAACTATCCCATGGAAAATGTACAATTGTAGTGGATGTGATAGTTTTATTTGTTTTGAATAATTAATTGTAGGTCATACTGAATATATTATAGCCAGTACAAAGATAGTGACAGGAGATACATTACTCCTTGATTTCTTACCATTATCACCAATAACACCACCATAGTTATAACTTGTAACCATAGTTACAGCTACTAATATCACTGGTATTTTCTAATTAGTTTTACCTGAATCACCTTGCCTTGCCCCTTCCTACACACAAGTTATCATATATTTACACCATATAATAAAATAACTGCTGTATGATTTGATCAAATTATTTTTAGTCTAACTTCATTGATGATTTTTGTTTCTTTGATGAGAAAAACTAATTATGTCATATGTCATTTCAAAAAAGTAAAATGTTTTCATAATATGGTTCATCCAAGTGATTTAAAAAAAAGAAAAAAGGTTGAAATAAATTCTAACTCTGATTCTCTGTGCATCCTTGTCATTTTAAGAATTTGTTAATAATTTTAGTATCAGTAGTAATAGGTTCAAATTAATGAAAGTTCCTCTGCCCCATCCTGTGTATTCCTGTGTCTACCTACCATATCCTATATGTCATCAATAAAATTTACTAACACAGTCAACATAAGTAAAGTTGAAAAAGATGCAAATAAATTCAAGAGTCTCTGGCTGTCAAGCTTGGAATTAAGGCACCTGTTGTAGACATTGTCAGACACAAATTCAGTCTTTGTCACACACTATCACTCTGGTAACCGTCACTTTGTTCGGAACAGATATTTTTCCCAATGTCTTTAGTGATATTTATAATACAAGTCCAACACAAGGTTCAAAATGTCAGCTACTAGTTTATTAATACAATATAGCCAACATTTTGTCATGTACCACTAAAATCATTATTTCTTCGTCTGTTACCCCATCTTTTCCCTTCCAGCTTAGCCTATCATATCTTATTTTTAATCACAATTATGTCCTTGTTGTTTATTTTTATTGTTAATTATCATATTTCATCTTTATTCACAATTTATTATTAGCTTCTCTTTTGAAATCAGGGAGCCACAGTGGCTCAGTGAGTAAAATCTTCCTCGCTAACCAGGAGGTCTCTGCTATGCTGAGAAAAGGATGGAGGGTCTGGCAAAGACAATGTGTAGTCGTTCAGGTCCTGTGTACACACTGACATGTAAAAGAATCCTCGATATAAGAGTAGGCCGTAGCGCCACTGTCTAGACAAAATTTCCCTCACAGTATACTGTATAGCGTATGCTTGTCTTCATTAGCCCAGTCGCTGCAGAAAAGTAGGATATTAAACCCTATTTCATTCATTTCTTTTAAAATCTGTTTCTCTTTCAGGTGGGACCGACTATTTGATAGCTACAACTAAAATAATTAATGGAAGTGGGCTAATAGAAACAATGAAAGAAAAAATAGAATCAGTCAAATTAAATCCATTCTAAATTTAATAGGAACTCTGCATGTCTAAATATGAATGGAGGAGGGGTAGAACTTTCTACCAATCTAACAGAGGAGTCTTAATCAAACACTTAAATTTGGAAGTTGTTCCTATCAATACTTATTACTTCCTCTTCTGTTGGTCGGAGGTATGGACCAACTATTAAAAACATAGAAGCTAATTCTGTCTTGTAATACTCAGTAGCATTTTTCAAGACTAAAACAAATCAGCTATTGGTCCATATTCCTTGCAGCTTTTTCCATTCATCATCACACTCTACACAGCTGTACCAAGCTATAAGTTTTGTTTGTTCGTCAAACTATCAGTGAAATTTATTAGCCAATTTCCCTCTCACCTTGTCTACTAATTATGTGAATGGTCCCCACACTGAATATCTCTTATTAGGTAATAATATCATCGTTACCCAAGTGGTCTTCTACTTTGAAATATTGTATAGGATGTATACTGTATGTTACTGAATATATTGTTGAAAGATGTGGACAATTTATATGTAGATAATTTACTTGTATATTATGAAGATTATAATTTACTTGTATATTATGAAGATTATAATTTAATTGTATATAATATTGTTAAATAAATCTGTTATATATTAACATTGTTTTTTTTGTTACAAATGGTTAAAACTTGTACATGATTTATGTGATTGGCAAGGGTAGAAATATTAGATTAGGTTGTTAATATACAAGTGTTCTGATTTAATATTTATCTGATCAAATTACATACATTTTGTTTTGTTAACGCTACTGATTGTCATATGTATTTGTTGGACAATATCTAATTTTTATTGGTTAATCCAGGCTAAAATGTCATAAAATTGATTATCTAATAAGAAGACAAAATATCAACAGTAGATACTTTAGTCTTCCAGCTTGGATTCAATCGTAGTATTACCTTGTTTTCATTGTCTGCAGAATGTGCAATTTTCAATTCATATCTTTGTAAACACTAAATTGAAAAGAACCATTTTAGGCATTCAACTTTCTCAGTATTATATTTTGAAAAGGATTTAAATCCTTCTAAAGATGATCGGTGACTTTTACCGGATACACAAAATTCTGTCAAAAGACTGAGATATTATGTAAAAGTGACCTAATAATGTATGGTATATAGACTGAACATTTTTGAGGCAGGTACTTTCTCAATAAAATTGAACCATTTTGGTTTTGTTTTTATTGAACATTGATCAACTGTTCTGCTTTTTGTTCTGTATCATTTTGAACCGGGGAAGATAGTCTAGGAGAAGGTTTGATATAGTGGTGAAGAATTCAAGAATCGATCTGAATTTATCGATGATATCTATTTACATGATGACATTATATACAAATATATGAACATGACGTGTTACACAGTTTACTTGTTATCTTTCACTTGTTTACATTTTCCATGTTTTCAATCTTACTAGTGCACATTCCATCAATTAACACTTTAGATGTAAATTGATATTAATTTCTTTTAAACCTAGAATAAGATATGATTCATATCTTGTGTCTAATGTGTTTAAAATCCGTCATTGAACAGCGGTTGCCATAGATTGTCATTAGTTGATGTTTCACTGATCACAAAAATATCTAAATTTCTCCTTCTGCTCGTTCTTTCACAGATTCCTGAAATCAAACAATAACAACATTAGTCAATATTGTCAGGGCAGTCAACAAGGTTTGTTGCATATTTTTACTTTTGTCGGTAATGAAACATTTATAATACACTAAAATCTGATTTAGAGTAACAACTTATTAAACATACATTATGCAAGAGCTAAATCTGATTATTGCAAGTCTTAATTTAGGCTTCAGATGTTATAGAAATTATAAATTAGATCTTTATTTAAACAACAAGCCCAAAATCAACTCTGTAGACCCACGGATGGCTCGGCTACAGCTCGGATTTAAATAGGATTTCACTTATTGATTAAATCAAATATGGCGCACCCTGATGAGAATACGTCAGTTAGATCGAGGCTAATTGATAGAGTGTACTTAGCGAGGCTGCTGTAGAGCGTTTCCGCATGCCATTGAAAACTTTACTTGATGATCGAGATATGTAGGTGGAGTTAATGCCTGTCAATCAAACGATCGGCCATGGTTAAGGCACATTTCACTACCATTTCTAGTCAAATATTACAACGATGATAACTATGTTCAGAATAAAGTAATTTGACTGAAATTTTCAATATATTCTTCTTTCATCATCTACTTTTGAACTGTTATAGCAAGAATGGCCAACTCTCTATAAAAATCTCCCATAATGTATCTTTAAGTAATTATCAGAAAATCATTAGAAATTAGAATTTGTTTGGCCCATGCTAATGTTTAGTATACAGAACATTTAATATCATGGATTTAGCTGTTCAAGTTATCAAAAAAAATCAATATACTTGTTTGTCTTGAGACCTTTAACTCTGTGTATCAATCTTATGTCAATCGAAATGATTATATACATGTATAGGCATAAACACAGTGTATAAATACAAAATCAATCAGATGATAACTATGGTCTCTAAAGCAACCACAAGATGTTTCAAAGTGATCAAGGGCTATAACTCTGGCAGTAATTATTGGAAATCATTGAAAATCAATAGGATTCTTCATCTGATGACCTTTACTGTGTATAAATTTAAAGTCAATCGGATATTAGCTTTAGCGAGCGCACACAAGATTTTCAAAGTGATCAAGGGCCATAACTCTGGCAGTAATTATCGGAAATCAGTTAAAATCAATAGGCTTCTTCGTATCATGACCTTAAACACTGTGTATCAGTTTAAAGTCAATCGGATATTAACTTTAGACTCTGGAGCGTCCACAAGCAATTATGGACCCCGACGACAATATACTACCAAATTGTTGTACACAAATGTTAAATAGGAATCAGTGCGTTGGAGCAATAAATAAATACAGTACCTTAAATCTTTCTTCTAGTAGAGATATTTCACTGATTAAATCTGTAATAGCATTCGTAAACGCTTCCTGAGGACTGTAATCAGCTGTAGTTTGGATTCTTACAACAAATTTGTGTTCCAGGGGATGTGGATTTTTATAACCAGCAAACAAAACTTGTGGATCTTTTAATAATTGTCTGAAATGGAGGATAAAACAGACTTGTTTGCAATTATAGTCAAATTTTGTCTCTCATTCAACAACTGTTAAGTCCAGTGCAAGTAATTAACATAAGCAACATATATATGGCAGCTAGCTGGCATGGCTGAAGTTAAATCTTCACAGTATTTGAGTAGCCAATCACAACTAGCCATTTTCAAGTTAATGATAACTGTACTGTCTGTACATCAAGTCAGCCTTTTTATACCAATATTAGCCAATCACAACTAGCAATTCTCCAGTTTTTGATAACTTGTACATCAAGTCCCCCTTTTTATACCCATCAGAACTAGCAATTCTCCCGTTATTGATAACTTGTTAGTACATCAAGTTAGCCTTTTTATACCAATATATGCTTACACCGGTAAGAACAATTTATAAGGTGATGATTATAACAACCATAATACAATCAAAATACTGGAAAAATTATATCAAAGATAAATAATAAAAAATTGGATAAATCAGTATTGGTGATTATCAAAACCTAATAACATATGCTTTCTTTATAACTCACAATAATACTAAAAGGCAATGTACAGGTGAAAAATATATCATCTTACGTTGTGATCATGTTGCCTAATGTATGATCTTCCTTATTCACAGTAAAAAGAGCTGCATTTGGTACCTTTGTATCTTTTTCTATTGTAATTCTGCAACGAAAAACATTAAGACATCATTAGGGTGACCCGTGCACTCTACAGAAAGTTGGTCTCGACACGGCTAAATGTGCACGCTTCAGTTGCGTGTCTCGAACTGATTTCTGACTACCTCGCACTCTCTTTGAGTCGATAAATAGCCATGGCACGTGCAATTCTCTACAAATATATCAACTATTACAGCCGTAAAAAATCTATTGCTGACAATTTTGAATAGCAGTAAAATTTAGCTTCTTGGTTATTACAGCAGCTTTAGAAATTACGTTTGTTTTATTTTTTTTAAATTGCTTTATCATTAACTGTACGGTTAAGAGCAGCATCTTTTGGTTTAGTACAAATAATATCTCTGAATCACTTTCGTTAGCAGGAACATGATACTAGCAGTAGTTTCATTTTACTTTTACAAGTTTCTTAAAACATTTGTTGGGTTGTCTAAAGTGCTAATTTCTAAATTCAATTTCTTGTTCTAGCTTTCTGTTACGTCAATCAGACGTAGAATGGTCGATAGACTGGTTAAGCGAGACTAATTTCAAAACAAGGGCACGTAACCTATCTTTTACTCAAAAGTGTCTGGATGTTATGGACGACACTTGGAACCAGTTTTCAGTCTATTATTTATAGATGATAATTGGTCATAGCTTATTAAGTACAACATGATCGTTTATTTAGTGACTATAATGTGTGAAACTGATTTGAGGCTTGACATATATATAAATATTGTGGAGTAATTGTCGAGATATTTGGAGATAATTATTTATGGTGGGTCACCCTAACATTAGTCTAAAAAATACCTAACTGAAAATTGGTCCAAAATCTAACTAAATTTATTTAAAGTACCGGGGTTAGAATTTATAACTAGGAAAATATTTTCAGGAACACTTTTTATAGTTGTGCATTTGTTTTCGCGACGCCTGGAAAATAAGAGTCAATACGAAACAAAATGAAATATAGGGTTTAACGTCCTATACATGCAGCTTTTCTGCATTGAACAGGTTCAGCATGAGAGTGTTTAACCTGTGGATAATTGGATCATACTCTATTTTATTCACAAATAAGAACAAACGCAACATGCTTTTTTCAAACACATGTATGTAATCTTTCATTTTCTAATGTCATAATATTAAATTTACAATTTATTATATCAAATTTTGACATAGATAGCCGTACTCGTACTGCAGTGTAGGCCTAGTTTTGTACATTGTTCCCTACACACCGTCCTATGAGTCTTGTTAAATCGGTGTTCATTAAGTTACAATCAATGATTTTGACTTATTAATATGTAAAATATTAAGTTTAATTACTTTTTCTCTCCTTCAAAGAGCAGAAATGATTCAAAAGTCGGTGGAGCATTCATTTTTCGTTATTTGTTTTCTTCCAGCACGCTCAACTTCCTGTCATTTCTCTACCGGAAGTCGAAGCTCCATTTGGAATACACTCGGTAATACCTAGGTAACTCTGGCGTTGTTACTTACTATTTTTTTATGACATACATACCTGTGTGTGAAAGTTTAATGTTGCCGAAGGAATATATTTTTAAAATAATATACGGAAATATCTATGGAATTTGAAATAAAATAAAATACATATTCTTTGTATCCATGTAACAGTAATAACATTGAGAAAATATTTCAGTTACGGTAAAAAAAACCAAAATGTGTTACGAATGCAGGTATGTGTCGAGAGTTGTTCAGGCCAATTCCAAAGAAAACAGTTGACCAATTAACAAAGGTTTGCAATCACTAAATAGCATTTATTTAAATATAAAAACCATTTTAACCTTTTAATGCTCGCAAAGTCTAATTCGATATCAAATACCAAGGGATTGAGGAGGTGAGAATGAGTAAATGGACAATGTGGATTACTTGGTTGTTGACGTTTCGCTGACCCATTATATATAGCATAGGCCAATAATTGAGCTCAGACATGACTTTTTACAGTACACTGAGTTGTAAGAGCCAAACTAAGGTTCCTGCAATCAGGCGTGTCATTGGCAACTAGTTTATTAGAAATACATTGACTTTGTAGTTGCATGACTGCTCAAGATTATAATGTCACATGACCTTTTGTAATTATTTTTTTTTTTATATGCATAATTATATAATCATCCATTGTTTATTTATTTGACAATTTGAATTAGACCTTAATTAATGTATAGGTCTATATATAGTCATAGAGTATATTCAGCATGTTATAGACCTCTTTGATTTCGATGAAAGTAATACATTGTTATTTGTAGATTTATTTTTTCGAATGACAATCTGTCTCACTGTGTCTGTTAAAAAAAAATTATGCCAGTAGGGAGTGGGTCTTTTCATCTCACAACAGTTTCACCGTCCCTCCCAGACTGGTTCATCCTAGTTCAGCTCTGAACGAAAGTCTCATTACACTTGGCCTACGTTCAGAGCTGAACTAGTTTCATGCCAGATTTACATGGGTCGTTTCGTCCCACAAATATATAGCACCTATTTATCCCATCAATTAAAAGAAGAGTATTATATGATTTTTTAATATTTGGGATGACACTATTCTTTTATTAACCACGTGCAGATACATGTAGAACAGCTGATCGGGGCCCCAGGAATTCCTTTCTCATAACCCAGTTAATTTACGCTAAAAAATTATATTTTGCGGGAGCTCTATGTAAGATAATCAAGATAAGTTTTCAAATGTGAATCATATTTATAGCTAAGCTAAGGTCAAAGTAATTCAAGATACATTATGTAAGATTCAGATAGAGAGGTAGCCATTCTTGCTGTAATAGTTCGAAAAAAAAATAATGTAAAAGGAATAATTTGAAAATTTCATTCAAATTACTCTTCAAATTAAGATATTAGCCTTTGAAGGTTTGACAAGACGTGTGCAATAATTTCAACCACCGTACTGGTTGTTCGAAGCCAAGTCTCGCTCCTCCAAATTTAGCTTAAATCAAAATATAGCTGAGCTGTTCTAATCTATTTAATATCGGAGAAATCCGATGCCATCAGTTAATTAAAGTCTAATTGATAATTTAGAAAACATTTCAGGCCTAAAGAAAGACCTGCAAATAGGCAGATTTACCTCTTGCATAATGTATGATTAATTAAATTTTATTTATTATTTTTCTGGCTTCCTATTTATGTGAAAATACAACTCACTCTCACTCCACTTATTTACATGTTTTTATTAATAATCCTGTCCATAACAATTAATTACGTGTTTATTTAACAATAAGTAACAGTTTATTTATGGATAGGTTAGAAGTACAACTCAGTTAATTAACTGCTATTACAATAACAAGGGGGTTGAAATATCCTGGAATGAAACTGACCTGCAGCCATACAGTACATGTACCTACAGTACCGTACCGGTATATAAAACTAGTGTTGGGATATTGTATAATCGATTTTGTGTTCGACTGTCAAGTCAGTTAATTAACAAAAACTGACTTTAACAGGAAGTAATGTTTTGAAACAAAAATTTAATCTGTAATTAATGAGCATTGTGACATTGTTTATTTGACTATCAGAGTGGCAAGCATACCGGTATTTACAATTGTTTTTCAACCTAGGTTCATTTATTGGCTTTTTTTCATAAATTTATTCAAAGTTAAAGTCATGGCCCATTAGACGATGTTTATATCTAATGAGCTGTATGCTGATCTGTTAAAATTTTAATATTCCATCCCCTTCATCATACAAGACATGGTATTGGGATACCGTACATGTATGGATATAGACCATGTCAGATTAATTCATTTTACATGTAATGATAATTGTTCTTTCAAAGATATTATGTATTCATTTATTTATACATGTACATCTCAAGTAATATTTTTCTAGATGATTATCAATTTTTATTGAAAACCTACACATACATGTATGTAAGTAAAATGCACAAAAGAAAAGAGAGTTTACAGGGTACGAACATTAAAGAGACTACTACAAAACAATTAACTATAACACATACTTATGGAAGAACAATTACTGATTTATTTATGCAACGTTTCGAGAGAATACTCTTCGAAATACCGCCAAAATAAATCAGTAATTGTTCTTCTATAAGTATGTGTTATAGTTGATTGCTCTATCTAGTTACTAAATGCCTCTAAAAGATTATAAAATAATTGTTTTTGGTTTGTCTGTTTAGGGTTTAAAGATTAAAATATATGTCAAAGTCTGATTTCAAGTGTGGTATTTTTCGCACGTATGTGTCCACATTGAATAGTTTTATTCTGTTGTCTTTATCTTGTCATTGTCTCTGTCATTTTACAATGCCTTGTGGGTACTGTAGTAGACTATACAGTGTAGAACCTAGAGGCTAAAGCTATTATCAGATCACGAGCAAATTATTTCATTGTTTGTTTATATTTAGTATTAATCGGCTTGCCGATTTCTACTGAACACCTGTTTCTATTAATCCTATAAGTTACTATCAGATCTTATTGAAATTGATATTAGGAATATTGAGTCACAAGTTTCTGGTCTTGTTCAATCTACTTGCAATTTATGTGAAAGCTTATCAATTGAAAGTGATGTGGAAGAAACCTATTGAACTTCAGGAATATCTAATAATTACTTGATGTGTTTACCTATAAAAGAATCACAATGCAACATCACTGTCCATATTTGTGAACAAGTTTTATTTCCTGGCCAACTAAGTTTCCCATATGTTTAGATATATATGAGTTTGCTGCATTGAAAAATTGTCTCATTGTAAAATTGTGCAGACTAGTTATTACCAGATCCAGAAGATGTCTGTGTACAACTTTAGTGACTTACATGTACCTGTGCTTTGATCATACCATACAGTCATTGTTTTAGGTGTAGTGAATTTGATCCAAGGAATAGAGTCATCAGCCTTAGCACTTGCAAGAGAATTAATTATTTAAATAAATTTATATTAAATGACCAGATTAGTGTGGTGTAGACATTAAATTAATACATATTTCTTTCTCTGTTTCTCAGTTCTATTTCTATAGAATTACACAGGAAAATTAACTTTTCATATACATGTACACGTCCTATACTGTACATTGACTTTATCTTTATCATAAATTGTATTTTTACTTTATTATTGTTAAGAACACCTGAACACTGTGTTACAGATGTGCTATACAAATATATTAAATAATAATAATGATAAATAATAATTACTTCCCTGAACATAAATCTCACTGTATAATTCTTTTCTTTTTTTCTTTTTTTAGATGAAGTAGTGATGTAAAAAGTGTAAAGATTTTTATAGATAAAGTTGACTGTATAATATTCAAGATGGGATTTCGACGTAGATGTTTCAGTTGTCGTTGTAAGACAAGTTTTGTTTTGATTGTTGTGGCGCTGTGTACAGCAGGATTTATTATATCTTATCAGTTGTTGCGGGAATTGTCCTCATTACGATCAAATACAGTTAAGTCAGTTTATCCAGAGTTAAATGGAAGACTGCCATATAGATATCCAGATAATAAAAATAGAGGTAATATTTTTAATGAAAACATTGGACCAGCTGTTATTGGTAGAGATTTGAGCTCAAAAATTGTCGATCTACGCGGAAACTATGATGCTCGTAGTGTGGATGATGTCAAAGCTTTCTTGGAACAGTTAGAGCCAGAAGATTGGTCAGTTGCTTCCCAACCTGATGAACTTGCCATTGAGTTAAAACATTTATTACTCGATCTAGACTTGGAAAGTCCAATGTCTTGTAAAGAAATTGATAGTTTAAGACTTGGAGTGCCATTAGCTCAATCGAACCGGAAATATGTGGACAGAGGTCAATCGGAAGATAGTCAAAGGTCAGAATATACCATCATCAGTCAGTCGGTCGACCTAGAAACAAAGATTGCCTGCATGAAGAAGATTTACGATGCTGAACATTGTTCTCCGATGGGAAATTATAAACTCTTGAAACAGCTTCTATTACTGTCTGTTTTGAAACACCCTAATATTGTAGAACTAAAGGGTTATTGTGTACGCGGAGATGGAATATCATCCGAAATCAGAAAGAAAGGAATTATTTTAGTCACGGCAGTTGGTGTACCTTTCCACCAAGGTGGATTTTCTATAATACCTTGGAGGAAAAAAATATCTGTAAGTTTAAGTTTGTTGCTAGATTTTAAACCTGGGGCCATTTTCTGTAGATATTCACTAGGGAGCCACGTGGGCTCTGTGAGTACAATGTATGGCACTGGCCCATTAAAGATACATTATGGCTGAGCCTGGGAGATAAGATAAAGATGGCAGTTCTCGCTATAATAGTTAAAAACTAGATAGTGTAACGGTAATTTGCTGAAAATTTCATTCAAATTGATCCACTATGAGCCGAGAACGAAGCGGGTGAAATTTTTGCATAGTCTCGGTGATCATTACTAAAATCATTAATGTAAACAGCATAGTATCGATTATCCACTTATTTTGATTTAATAATCAATGGCTGTTAGCGGCATATAGGAATCTAATTCAGCCAACATCGAAGGCTAACCTTGACATCGAGAGTTTATTATGGTCTGGATAAGTTAATTAATGTCTAATTGATAATTTAGATAACATTTCAGGCCTAAAGAAAGACTTGTAATAAGCAGATTTTGCTCTTGCATAATGCATGTTTAACTAGGAGGTCTCAGGTTCAATCCTGGTGTTGGTCCAGAATGCTCCTTTTGATTTTCTAATCTGTCATTGGTGCCGGATGGAGGCCTGTCAAGGACATGTGTCTTGATGGAACGAAAATATGAGGTCATATATGTATATCATTGGCAGCACATTACAGATCAAATGAGAGTTCAGAATCGAAATAAAAGTATGTACCACTATAGCCCAGTTGGTGCAGAAAAGTAGGCCTTTAAACTCCATTTCATGTACAAGTTTTCACTACCATACATTTGACAGACTGCATTAGCAATGAAGAGAATTGTTGAAATTTTCTTGTGAAATATCATATTCAAAAAAGAAAAATTTCTACACACAATAGTACAATATCAATTTTTAACTGTATGTAAAATGTTATAGGGTGATTTAGAAAGAGAATGGGACTGTACAATATAAAAACATTTATATTTCCATAAAATTTCGTTATTTCTCATAAAATTATCATAAAATGGCAAAATATCATAAAAAATATAAAATATCATAAAAAATATAAAATTTCACTAACAGTATTTCTCATAAAGTTATCATAAAATGAGATAAAACATTTTTTAAAATATAAAATTAACCATAAATCACTACTCAAATAATAAATTTCTATACTAATAAACTGGATGTGAATAAGAAAGTCATTCAGGCATTTATGACCCCCAGCTGGCTGCTCTATTTCATTTTCTATTTAATTGTGTTCAGTCAAGGTTATGTTGGGTATATGAACATTGGAAAATATGACTGCAACCATTAATGCTACCTGTGCTACTGGTGGGACGTTCTTATCCGCACAACACTTGTTGAACACTACTTTTTGGACCAGAGATATGTTATTTACTGTCATTGTAGTTATATAAAAAAAAATCATATTTGATAATGATAAAAACATAAAAAGTCATGAAATGTGATAAAAACATTATAAAAATTTGATTGAAATATATCGTAAAAATCATAAAATTCCACTAGAAGCTTTCATAAGAATATAAATTTTTGATAAAATTTGTATTGTACGGTCCCTGAAAGAGTAAGCATACACCAGCACTGAAGTTAACTTACATGTAATTGACTTGCCATAAAATTACAATTTCAAAGAATTTAACCTGAAAATGCAATAAATACAGTTTAATTGGTATTTTTTTTAAAAACACTAAAAGATATGTAAAATGATAGGGATAATGCTAAATATTGTCATTCTTTGAAAGAAAGATATCTTGCTAATTGAAATGAATCTTTTTACTTGGAATTTAGAAGCTAATCAGTTCAGTTGATACTTGTTTTATCATTTTATTTTATTTTCTTTCCAGCTGGCCATAGAATTGATTGATTTCTTAGATTATATGGAGACTAACCCATTAGGAAGTTTGGGACTTGGTAAAATATCTACGCACGATTTTGTTTTATTCAATAGAGAAGAATTTATACGATTTGTTGATATGGATGATATTCAGATGAAGGAAAGACCTTGTAGCAGCTCTTCCGATTGTTATTATGGTGGTTTAAGTTATGGTAATAATTGAAATCATAAAATTAGAACTTTTGCATTAAAAAGAATTTTTTCTCCTAATACATGTATCATTGAAATTGGCAGGGGCTGTTCTTGTTGAATGCGGAAGTCACGGTGGGTGAGTGAGTAAGACGCTGGCTTGCTAGTCTGGAGGTCGCAGGTTGGATCCCGGTGTTGGCAGAGAAAGTTTATCAAGATTTTCTGGCATGGTTTCCCCTTGTCAGTAGTGCAGGACCAAGTGCCTGACAAGGACAGCTGTCTAGTCTTTCGGATGGGTCGAAAACCTGGGGTTCCGTGTACACATTAGCATGCACGTAAAAGATCCCTTGGCAGTTGGATTTCGATATAAGACTAGGTCGTAGCACCCCTGACCGGGCAAAATTCCCCTCATAGAACACTGTATGGCATATGCCCGTCTTCATTAGCCCAGTCGGAGCCAAACAGTAGGACATTAAACCCCATTTCATTTCATTTCATTCTTATTATTGAATGCATATTTGAGGGAGACTTTTGTGAGCCACTGTAATACTAATAGCAAGATACATGTAGGTTTTGCGAGCCACTGTTATAGCAAGATAGGTTTTGTGAGCCACTGTAATAGCAAGATAGGTTTTGTGAGCCACTGTTATAGCAAGATAGGTTTTTTGAGCCACTGTTATAGCAACATTGGTTTTGTGAGCCACTGTTATAGCAAGATAGGTTTTGTGTAGTTTTGAATGGATAAGACCACACCAATTGAAACTTTTGTTTCCTGTTTCTTTTGGATAAATGAAGTACTTGTTCATTCCCGGAGGAGATTTAAAAGCAACCAAAGTCTCATGTACATGTTGGTGTGAAGATGAAAGAAAACTTGAAAGTTTGAATTTCATACCTCATACCTCTTAAAGCGCACTGCATGCCTGTTTTCATTAGCCTGCTTGGTACAGAAGAGTAGGACATTAATCCAGATTTCATTTCATTTTCTTTTCCACTGGTCTAGAGGACAATCTCTGTAGCTACATGTACTAGAGCTGGGCGATATTTGTAAATTTCCATTATTGCGAAATCAATATAAAAATTGACACTATATTGCCATTCTTGCAATATTACACTGCTTCAAGACAGTAGTCTCAAAAAGTGGTGGAAAACCCTTCAAAGGAATTTCTATAAGAAGCCTGTAAATTCAAATCATTGTACGGTCAATCTTGCATATGTTGAGATAAAATATAATATTCCCTCAGAGAATATTATTATTAGGGAAAGAGATATACAGTCAAGCGATATATTGTATTATTGCGTATCAAAAAATTATTGTGAATAAAATTTACATATTCCGATATATTGATTTATAAAGGTTATTGTCTAGCTCTAGTTAAAAAAAAACCTTATGCCTTAATACAGATCCATCGAGTATGGTTTTACTAAGTATGAATTCTTATGTATGACCAATCTAATTTATATTTTGTTTCAATAAAAAAAACAATATTCTTTGAGAGAATATTGTTGGAGGAATGGCAATAATCTAGAGTCAACCAATATATTGGATTATTACAGTATTTTTAATGGTAACAAACATATTGTCAATAGAACTCACATATTGTGATATACATGTATTGATTTATTGAATTCTTGTGCAGCCCTACAGGGGCCATTTAACTTGACGTATTAGAAATATGTGGATTTTTATGTTGTCAATTGTAATAGAGAGAGAGAGAGAGAAATAGGGTTTAATGTCCACTCAACACAAAGTACAGGTAGGTCAATTTGGGACTAACATATGGTACAATTTGTTTTCAATATGGGAGGAAACTCGGGATTGAAACCACACCACTTAATTTAATGACAGACCTTATGATCTAAAGCGCATGCATTAGACCACTAATTATAATTGTTTATTAATTACAGGTATAGAATGCATCAGTAGTGAATGTCGTGGTTTAAATGCTTTAACAAATCTACAGAAAGTCACAGTATCAGTTATAGATCCTTTATTACGAAATGGTCCTAGTTCATCTAAATCTACAGTCGACGATATTCTAGATAGAGCACGATCCCTTAAATTACCTAAACCCAAACTAAAGGAGGAGTTACAGCAATTGTTGTCAAATCTAGGTAATTGTATATAATTTACAAAAAGTTATTATTCATTTTAAATGTGGTCTATTTTGCCAATAACTTTAAGAATATAATTGAGAAATATATCAATGTACATTTTTATACATGGCACATACTTTGGTAATAATGCAGTTGAGTTGGTTTTGTCAAAATTGCATATATTTTCCATATATTAGACGGCAGTACAAGTTTTAGACCAATCTTTTTTTCCTTGAAATGCTGTAAAATTATAGTTTTATTGTTAATACACTTTATGCAATTTAATAGGTGCTGCATTGTGAAATATTTAATTTTTCAGACAGTGGTGCGCATAGCTATTTCCCTTGATTAGGAGAATTTGTTAACACTTCAGAGGCCACAAATATAATTGGAATGAGATATTTGAAAGGTTGTTCAGATTTAAGAAAGGTCGAATCCTATTGATTTCCAGTGATCTTCAATAATATAACACCAACAGTTATACCCCTTGATAATGCTTCTGTAATTTTAATACCCTTTTTCTGCCATTTGAAAATGAAGACCTCCAGACTACGGAATCTTATGAACAGGAGCTAAAATTGATGTTTTAATAGACTATTCATTTTGATATTTATGCAATTTTAAAAGGGTCTCCTTGTGAAATTTTCATTGATTTCTAACAATAACTCCCAGAGTTATGTCCCTTGATAACTAAACTATTGATTTACCCAATTGTGTGCTTTAGGAACAGAAGATGAAGCAGCTGAAAATAACAATAACAACTGGCATAATAGCAATGACAACTGGCTGAATAACAATGCCAATAACAACCAAGGATATCAAGGGAACCAGGCAAATCAGAACCAACAAGATAATAAAATTAAAGTAAGGACTGATGGCTTTTTCAGTATAGAGCGTATTCGTAGTCATGGTTATGGTGGTGAACGTGATGAAGAACCTCAGGCTTACGTGAGGGTAAAATATTTGTTAATGTACCAGATAAATGTACATTGTAACACTCCTACCTGTTTCTTTTTTTTTTGCACCTTATTAATTTAGGACCAGGATCTTGGCTTCAAGGGCTACTTTACTTGTTCTTCTTGGGTGCAATGGTCTTCGGAAAAAGCCAATTCCATCCTCTCCAGTTCCTGGTTCATATACTACTATCACACTTGTTCTCGGTAAATAGTACAGCATTTAAATAAAAAATATGGTGCTGCCTTAAACCGATATGTTAATTCATGAAAACATTTCCAGAGAATTAAATCTTTAATTAAATCTCTTATAATTATTTAACGGATTACTTCACTTATCTTATATAATTCCACTGCAAACATTTTTCACCCTTGTTTTAAGCTCCTTTATGTAACCTCTATAATTTACGCTTTGTTCAAATGTGCTTATTATATGTTACTTCTATTTAATCTCTATTTTATGTACCCAACAATAATTCATCTTCTTTAACCCGGTTGGTACAGGAAATTCATACCCAACAATTATCTGTCATTCTCTAAGACATGAAACAAATAATTATTTTATTTATAAGTGTTACTTAATTAACTATCTATAAACATACCATTAAATGGCTAGGATTATTTAGTGGATTAGATCATCCATGAAATTTAATTGGCTAACATTAAAACGGAAAATCTAGTATTCATTTATTATTTTAGAAATGACAACCAAAACTACACTATTCATGTCAAAACTTCAAATGTTCATAACTTTGCTGAGAATAAAGTAATTTGACTGAAATCTTCAAAATATTTATTTGTCATTACTTGTTTTGTAATGTTACAGCAAGAACAGCCGGGTCTTTATCGGAATCTTTGTTATATCTTTTTTATTAAAATTTTATTTTTTTAATGACCTATTTTTTTTCTTTTGTTTTTAGAATACACATACAGTGTCTGAATATATGCGTTATGATCAATCCAACTTTCCTGGTCTGTATGACTATAACTGTCCTAACTCGCGGGTATCATGGGGTTGTGTTATTACTACTAGAAGTTTACAGGAAACAAAGTTGAAATGTGATCAAGATATCAACTGTAAATCATTTGTTGTTTTCTCTACTCAGCCAGAAGTTGATAGTAAGTAAAAGTATCTATAATTAGAATACAACCTTACTGTTTTTATTCAATCTGATTAAAACACTGATCCTATTTCTTTTCGTTTTTTTATTGTTCAAAATTTTGTTTTACTTGTCTTCACAACACTAGAATCTGGAAGAGTTGTTATATAAGCCGCGTTGTGGTTGATGTGACGGATTAGCCAATATGAAGCGGTCTGTTATGCCGAGTTCTCAGCGTTCGACGCACGGAACTGTGGGTAAACTACTAGAAACGTTAGCGCTGGTTGATTAATCAATGTCTGATGTCATAGGGTCAAAAGTCGCTTGTATGACCCCTGACACGACTTTCCACTACAACCAGTCAGATCTTCGTGTATTGTAGGCCATCGAAAGTATAATACAACCAAACAAAATATAGATCTGTATTTTAATCAGATTAGGTTTTAATTAAACAGATGTAAATTAGTAACTTCAACTCCTTCACTAATGTTTGTGCTTGTATGCAGCCTTCCTGTTGATTACAATTGTAACCTCCATTACACTGTGTTTAAATTTGTTGGAATAAAATTTAGTTGAAACAGGAGGTCCATCCGATTAAAACGGATCCTATTTCTATGCATTTATTACCTGGCCCGTTTTATATGAGGTAGGATCTGTTTTCCTCCATATTGTATTGCCAATAATAACACCTTTCAAGAAGTGAATTAGCTCCCTTTAAGGGTGTGACACTTTTAGCAGAGAAATGAAATGAAATGGGGTTTAACGTCATATTGTTTTGCTCCAAACTGGGCTAATGAAGACGGGCATACGCCATACAGTGTGCTATGAGGGAAATTTTGCCCAGACAGCTGCACTACGGCCTACTCTTATATCAAATTCCAAATGTCGAGGGATCTGTTCCGTGCACGCCAATGTGTACACAGGACCTCGGTTTTTCGTCCCATATGATTGTTTAGACAGCTGTCCTTGTCAGCCCCTCCGTCCTGCTTCACTGACAAGGGAGAACCACGCCGGAAAATCTGGATGAACTTTCTCGGCCAGTCTTTTAGCAGAGAGACAGACTGACTAGGTCAGTTCAAGATGAACCCATGGTTCAATTTTATTTCAATAATATGTTTGCACAATGTGCATAGGGGTCTTTAGCAGTGGGAGAAACCTGGAGGATCCAGAGAAAATCCATATGGCTGGACAGCGGGGAATCTAAACCAAGACACTTGACTCAATGGCAGACTTTATGATCTAAAGAGTCGTTATACCAAGCACACCCCCAAGTTCTGGAGAAGTAATCACATTGTGATATATAGTGACTTTAATTTTATTTTAATTATTTCAGCTCTTATGACCGTAGTATTCAAGAGTTCTGGATCAACTAAACCACAGCCAAATCCAGGAACAACATTGTTTGTTAGCAGAACTGCAGCGCTATCTGCATTCAAGGCAGATAACAACGATCAGAATGTTATTAAAATGTCAGTGAAAAAAAATGATGATTCACCAAGAAATAATGGGGAAATTAGGAATGTTGGGGAGATAAATGGAAATATTGCCAGCAGTGAACGCATCATCACACCCAGACACAATACAGAATTATGCCTGAAGAAAATATTCAAAGGTCATGAGGAACCAAGAAAGAGTAGAGAAAAACGGCTTATGGCACATTTTGGATTAAAAGGTATTACTTCAATATGGATTATATTATTATTTATCAGTATATGGTGATTTGCTACCATAAAAAAGTAATGAATGAATGAATGAAATGGAGTTTTATTAATCTGGTCTGCCCTCTGTTTGCCCCCCCCCCCCCCCAATAATTTTAGAAAATAAAAAGAGTATTTGTGATACGTTTCGGTAATCAATACCTTCTACGGTGAATAAATCCCACATCCCCACTCAGTCATAAACTTGCATGTTGTAGAGCATTTCCGACAGTCTATTTTTCAAAATTTTCTTGACAAGGTCCCCAATGGACTCGCTACTTTGGCGCTCACAAGGGGAATTCGTTGAGGTTCGCAAGTCCGTTCGTTTGACATTTTGTTCTCTAGTCGGATAAACTAGTGATCAGGCGACGAACGGTATCTGGGCAGATCTATTTATCTCGACGATCGGTGCCTGACAGAATACTGTAAGACAGCATTTCTAAGTAAATATGAATTTAAAATAAATATCACAAAACTTTATGTATATACATTTAAAATATCAAATCAGATTATACTATAATATGTACAATTAAAATTTCCTATAAAAATTTGTCTCTTTTAAAGTGTCTAACACTTTACAATATAGATCTGCTTCGGCACTATACAAGGCCATCAGCTAGTTATGACAGGTTTTGAAAATTGAGATGTCCTCAATGAAAATTACGAATCATTCAGAGTTATGTTTTCTATTACATGATTTCAATACTTACACATTGACATATACATGGTCTACAAAAGCCTTTAACATTTGTCAAATTGTTAACAACCTAGTTGCAGATTACACTGTTGATGTTGATATTAAGTAAACCTGTGTGACTGTTTACCTGAGGATGTGTCAGAGGGATATTAAAAGAGTTCAATATTTCTATTCAAAAATCATATTATGATTAATATTTTTCAATCCAAATTTCAGGCATGAGAGAAATGGACTGGCAAAGATCGGTAAAAAGACAGACAGCTGGAACATTTTCTAATCTAATGGCTGCTAAAGGAACAGTGCCCAAAGGAGGAAAATTCCTTGTTGGGCTCAAGACTGATGATATCAATGAGATTGTATCTAAAGCTATGTTTACAGCTGAAGATGGTCCAAGTCAATATCATATTGCTCAAGCTATGATATATCATCTAGATAGATTATTAGGTGTAAGTATTTATATCATCTAGGTGTATATACATGACTATGGGTACAAATTGGTGTCCATATCATCTATATAGATTACTGGGAGTAAGGATAGCATAATTACTAGGGATTGGTGTAGATCAATCTATGACATATCTAGATTGATAACTAGTAGGGAGAATGATTACTTGGTCAAGATATGGTGCAATCTATAATATATTATCTAGATAGATTACTTGGAACAAGGATAGATTTACTTAGTCTAAATATAGTGCAATCAATATCATCTATATATAGATTGCTAGTGGTAGGTGTAAATAGATTGATAGGAGTGGACTAAAATGATTACTAGGAGTAGATGTAGCTCAATGTATTACATATCATCTAGGTAGATAACTAGAATGATTATTTGGTCTAGATATGGCACAATGTACAATACATCATGTAGGTAGATTACTAGGAGTGTTCATAGAATAATTACTAAGGGTATTGTCTTGATAGATTACTAGGTAGGCTTTAGTATATTATATATGATGTAAATAGAGGATATTTGTCGTTTTAGAGTGAATAACATATTTTATTTCATCGAGAAGCAAGAAAACTTATATAAACGTTTTCTTGCTTAGAGATGAAATAAAATATGTTATTCACGACAAAACGACAAATGTTCTATTTATTTTATGATTTTACAATCATTTTAGGTAAAAACAACATGGACTACTGCTAGCCAGTGGAATAACACTTTTATTTCACTGATAAAACGTGGTATTCCACTACTGATCATAAATAAATAGGGATATTACAGTGAGTATGGGTATAACAAAACTGCTCCTGTGGAGTGTGATGTGTCCGGAGCTAACAGTCTTGGAAATAAAGATAAAGAAGAGATAGGCAACTCTCCTTTGTTAAGTGAAAAATGTGGGACAAGCCAATTAGATCTTTTCATGATAGCAGAAGTCTTGTGAACTGTATATGATCCAATATCTATCAGACCATAGCTAACTCTCTGAAACTGGGAAGGGAATGAATAAATTTGATATTCAAGTATTTTTTTTTATTTTTGTAGTTATATCACACTCCTCCATCAGTTGTTGGAACCATACCATATTCAGTTGTCAGAAAATATCAGAAAAATAATTCCTGGAAAGAAGCCTTTGCTGAGTTAACAGAGGAAGGTGCAGGCCTTAAAGGTAATACAAACTTTATTTCTTGAACATAAATATTTTTTAACGAAAATGAAATGGTTTTTAACGAAAATGAAATGGTTTTTAACGAAAATGAAATGGTTTTTAACGAAAATGAAATGGTTTTTAATGTCCTACTTTTCTGGACCAACAACTGTGTTAATGAAGATCTGCGTACGCCATATGTTGAGTGTACTGTAAGAGAAATTCTCACAGATCTATATTTCATTACATTTTTTTATACTTTCGATGGCCTACACTAAATGAAGATCTGACAAGTTTTACTGGAAGGTCGTGTCAGGGGTGTGTGAGTTAGTTGTATTTTATGTCCGCTTCCACCTAGGTCGTAAGATCAGCTTTAGACCCTATGATTAATCAATCAGCGTTGATGTTTCTAGTGGTTTACCCACAGTTCCGTGCATGGCATGCCAAGAAGTCTTCCAGATCCTAGTGTAGTAAAGACAAGTAAAAGGAAATTTTAAACTAAAAAAAACGAAAGGAAATAGGATCCATGTTTTAATCAGATTGAGAGAAATTTTGCCTGGCATTTCCACCTACATTTCATTACATTTCCAACTGTCAAGGGTTCTCTTACATGTACTCCATCGTGTACACATGGTCTTGTTTTTTTCATCCCATCCAAATGACTAGACACTGTTTCTTGCCAGGCCCTCAGGAAACTGAACTATGAAATCCAGAGGAACTGTCCCGAACCCAGGACCTCCTACTCATCAACGCCTTATTCTCACTGACACACTTTAAAGTCACACTGTTGATCTGCATGAAAAGTTATCGTATTTTTTCGGTGTATTAGGCGCACTTTTTTTTACCAGATATTTTTATTTACAGAAGAGGTGTGCCTAATACATAGTGTTCAGCAAATCTAGGCTTTTCCCTTTGTCAACATCAAAGTCTAAAGTTGATGATGTCAACATTTTTCGTGCAATAAAGATGGGGACCATTTCAGCTACTGCTATTCCGTATACTGATAGTCATAAACGACAATGCTAACACCATGGGCTAATCTATTTATTTATTTTTTTCAGGTTTCTATTCAGCACCTGTTCCACATGTAATGAAACAGGATAAATTATCTATAAAGCCACTCAAGTCAATGGTATCTAAAGTTGTCAAGTTCTCCCGACAGTCTAAACTCCAGTTTGAATATGTGTTTTTATGGTTTTTAGGAAAAATAGTGAAAGATCCCACTGATCATGTTGGTTATAAAGGTAAGATTAAGGACTGAATGAATGGTTTTTAATTTATGAAATGAAATGTTTAACATTTGGACCAGAATTCATTTAATCGGCTTAAGGATGTACCTTAATTCATGGTGAGGTCACTTTGAATCATCAAAATTAATTTTTTAAGTCACAATGTTTGAAATTATGAATGATTTTGTTGGTGACAATTGATGACCTAATAAACCTTGAGGGAACCTAAATATTAAGTTGAAAACTCTGTATTATGTATAAAGTCGGATCGTGGGTTTCTCCGGGTCCTCCGGTTTCCTCCCACTGCTAAAGACACCTATGCGCAAGCAAATTATTGAAATAAAATTAAACCATATGTTAATCCCAAAATGACCAAGTCTGTGTCGAGTGGACGTTAAACCCCATCTCTCTCTCTCTCTCTCTCTCTCTCTTTCATTTGTAGATGAAGTTTGTTTATTATTTCATTTGTACATGAATATTTTTCTATTATTTCAGGACATTTAATACATTTTAATGGTGATGAAGCATTTGGTAATTTGAATTTAGATTTAACAGGTTATTTCAATCACTGCCAATTTCCTAATATAGTATATAAAACATTAAACTGTTTACGATGTCATAATAACCAAGGCTCACAATTATCATCAATCTGTAGTCTTGGACAAGAGGTAAGTCAAATTGATTATTAAAAAAAAATCAAAAAAAATCAACAATATAGATATATGTTACTAAGGTAGATTTTTTTTCTTCCAACATGACGACTGATCATCCATTGCATTTGCATACTACAATTTTGTCAAAGTCGAATCTCAAACAGGCATATTAGTCCAAAATTGGTTAAATTCATTTACAAAGGTATGATGAATTGAAAACTTGTCTTCATTTGGCATCCTCCGCAGACAATATATTATAGTCAACATAAGCTAGCGCCACCTATGATTTAACACATTTAATTCCAAGCCAAGAGACATCTACAATTAATATATAGGAGATAGTCAACACAAGCCAGCACAACCTATGTTTAAATCCAAGCCCGAGATATCTAACATTAATATATAGAAGATAGTCAACATAAGCCAGCACAACCTATGTTTAAATCCAAGCCCGAGATATCGAACATTAATATATAGGAGATAGTCAACACAACTATGATTTAAAACGTTTAAATCTTAATTAAGTGTTATATCATCAGTGTCATCAATGCTTTAACACGTTTAAATCTACCATTGATAGTCTGATTTTCTTAATTAAATGTTATATCATTGATTGATATTCTGATTTTCTTCATTAAATGTTATATCATTAATTCAAGTACATTTTAGTGTAGATTTATCTGTGAAAATTAGATATTGTCTGAAAAATGCAACTTAACAGTCAGTGACTTTAAATATACATTATGGGAGATGAGATAAAGAGCTGGCAGTTCTCACTATAATAGTTAAAAACTAGATAGTGTAAAGACAATTTGCTGAAAATTTCAGTCAAATTGATCCACTACGAACCGAGAATTAAGCGATTGAAATTTCAGCCTGGGCTACATCATCATTACTAAAATTGGTACGATAAAAAACATAGTTGTGATTATCCATTTTTTGATTTAATCAGAAGCAGCAGGCCGTATTCTAATCCAGTAACTATCACAGGCTAGCGATGCCATCGAGAGTTGGTTATTGTCTGGATAAGTTAATTATAATATGTCTAAAATTAATAATTTAGATAACATTTGAGGTCGAAAGAAATTGGCAGATTTAGCTCTTGCATAATGTATGTTTAATTAGATGTTTTCTGTATCTTACAGGTAATGAAGAGAGTAAAAACTGATAAGTTTTCTACCAGTAGTTTAGAGATACAAGGTTTAAATGAGAATGATATAATTGTTAAGATTAATGATGCTGCTAGTATAGCTATTGGTATGGTGGAGGTTTGTATTAAACTATTTGGCAGAGAAGCAGTCCTGTATTAAACCTTCAGCAGACTGGGATCATGTTTTAGTTCAGATGTAGAATTCACCTAGTTGAAATCTAATTATGTTTATTTGTCTTTCAGAATTCTCTGAATGAATATGGAAATTTAAAATCATGTTTTGGATGATTATTTAGTAGAAGAAAAGAGGGAAAAGAGATCTATTACTCAGGGCTCTCATTTCAGTCATATTTGCCAGCCTTGACTAACTCGTAGTTAGATTGACTGGCTGGAAAACTTACCTGTCAGTCAATTTTACATGCAATGGGGGTGGGGGAGGTGGCCGAATGGTTAACACATGCACATTTGATCACAAGGTCTGTCATTGAGTCAAGCGGCGTGGTTTCAAATCCCTGCTTGTACGTCACATTTAGTAGGGTCGCCTGTCCAGCTTCTTGGGTTTTCTCCGGGTCCTTCCATCGCTAAAGAACCCTGTGCGCTATTGAACTAAAATTGAACCATATGTTAGTCCCGAAATGACCTAGTTTGTGTCGAGTGGATGTTAAAACCCATCTCTCTCTCTCTCTTAGAATTTAGAATTTAAAAGAATTTGATCTTAAAACACAATAAATATAGTTAAATTTAAAGTTTTTTGGAAAAACATATTTTTTGTCGAGTGACAGACTGGCAAAATATTGAAGTGAAAGCCCAGGTTTTATTCCCCAAAAGTCTTCTAATATGAATCAGGTACATGTCCTTTGCTTCCATTTGCCTTTTATTATTTATTAGTAAAGGGTACCAGTAATACAAATTCTGATAGCATTTTACTCGAATCTGGATTAAAAGCAAAAAACAAAATGTAAAAAAATCTATATCGGCATAATATTATAGATCTCATAAAATTCACAATCAAAATCATGTTAAAAAAAACCCAGATTCTTCCACAACATGCATAATATATTTTATTGGATATTTTAGTCATTTGTAAGTGTGTTTTAAATAGTGATGTGGTTTAGCCCTGAGTGTTTCAAGGACAATGTTGCTGTTCACGTCGGTCAGTGAATCATCTGTTAGGCTACTTTTGATAGATTAACCTATGTAAAAATGCTGGATGGCAGCATTGCCCTTTAAATGCACAGATATTGTCTGTAGAGAATAGATGAAATATTATATAAAGATAAATGTGCAAGTTATTAATTAATGTGATTCATCTATTTTTGTATTAAGGCGGAGGGCATCAGCATTGCTGTTGGCTTGTTAATTATTCATGATATAATTTATCATCAAATATGCTTCTTTGCCACTCTAAAGTGCCTCTGCCTTATGTTAAATATACATTTTTATTAATAAACTCACTACTGGAGTGAATATACATTTTCATTGTTAAACTCACAACTGGAGTGAATACTAGTATCTGATATCCACAAACTCGTTAAAATCTAATTCTAATTGATTGAATTAATTAGAAAGAAGAATATATTTTTCTAAGAGATGTTTCCAATTTTGGAAGATTTCTGAACACAATTCTTATTGCTCAATGAGGTTTTAGAATTGTTCTGTTGCGAGTAAATTTTGGTAGTTAATCACAGTTTGATTGTAGAGTTTTAGTTGTGAAAACTTTTTTATATGTGAAATATTTTTGTAGAAGTAGTATAATACAACTATCACAATTACATCTAAACACAACATTGAGATTTGCTGCTGCACAATTTGTTTAAATGAATGCTGAAGTTATCATTAATGCTGTGAATTTCTATTACTAAGCAATGATGTAGAAATTGAGAAAAACTTTCAGGAAGGTGAACAAGAATTGCTGCAATTTTGTAGATATTCACAAAAAAAGTTTTAGGGACCATTATCTGGGTACAATTAATAGAATGTACATAGTTTGTACATTAAGCTTACAATATTTAATATTAATATTTTATATATATATTACATGTATATATTTGTCTATTTACCATGTTTTTAATTTGTATATATGTGTGATGTGTGTTCAGTGTTTTAATTAATCAAAACTTACAATAATTGTTCTCAAATGTTTTGCTTTAATTTGAGCATATTGTATAAATATATTTTTTAAATTATATGAATTAGATCTATGTATAGATATTGTTTTAAACTCATATTTTCATATTTTTATTTATATGCACCTGTTGTCAGAGCTATATATAGAGAGAATCTGACCAATTGTTGTTTCAGGGGGGGTGGATGGCCGAATGGTTAGCACGTGCGCGCTGTTTCATTAGGTCTGGCGTGGTTTCGATTCCCTGGTTGTATGTGACAAGGAGTAGGGTCGTCTGTCCAACCTCATGGGTTTTCTCTGGGACCTCCGGTTTCCTTCCACTGCTAAAGTGAATTATTGAAATAAAATTGAACCATGTGTTAGTCCCGAAATTACCTAGTTTGTGTCTAGTGGATGTTAAACCCCATTTCTCCCTCTCTCCAATTGTTGTTTCAAGGGATTGGGTAACAAAATGCCATTTTTGTCCAATCTTCGTGAAGTGCTATTACAGAATTTTACACAGTTCCTGCCTCTAACCCTCTATATATATATATATATATATGCAGAACAAAAAGAGAATATTTTTTTATCTCCTACACTCATAGAAATATTGCCATTTTGGCTCACTCCTCTGTACTTCTATACATGTATTCACCTGAATGAGCAAAAATATTGTCTCAAAACTTTTCAATTTATCATATACAGGGGTAATTCCCCTCGCCCTAACACTGAACATGACGTTCTATCCACCTTGCCAGCCCCTGCTCACACACCTGCTATCATTCCATCTATTTGCACTGCCACCAATTATTTTATATTTGTTTTAATGTTCTTCTATTAAACTTACAGATTGGTTACTATGGCAACAGATGGCCAGACTATCTCTATATATGTGTCTGTCTGTAGTTAGTTTGTTTCACATTAATTACAGTAGTGATATAATATTTATTTCATTTTCACTTTCTTATCATATTTACACGGTATAGTTCTACGACAACAGTCTTATCACCGACTAATGATAGTTACACCAACTAGTTGTTTGGCTAAATATAAGAACAGCCTATCACTGACTACATGTAATATCACTTACACTGTCAAGTTGTTTGTCTATATAAACATGTATAACAACCTCTATTACTCACTAATGGTAGTTACACCAACTAATAAGTTATTTGACTATATATATTGGTGAATGTACTTCTCTAGTTATTGCTATATTACACTTTAATGTTTTCTCCATTTTGTAATGTGATAAATATTTTGTAAGTTTATGATTAACCCTTCGACCAACTTGGCATTTACTCTGGGTTACTGTGACGTCTGGACTTACGGAAGTGCAAGGAAGGAAGTGCAAGGAAGGGATCGCTCATATTGGTGTATCTACAGTATATGACCTTGTAGTGAAGTCCTTGTACTGTCGGACACTACTGTGTCACAGACGGAAATCTTGCATCAAAGGGTTGTATTAATAAAATGGACCCCTGAAGAATAGATTTCAATATACTAGATCTTCATGAAAACAATTTTTTACACCAAAAAATATAATACAAGTTATTCTATGAAATTAAATATAAGTATGTTTTGAAAAATAAATCTCTAGTAATGACTAGAAAATAATTATGTATACTACAGTCATATTGTTGAATTGCTTTCTGTGGAATCATTTGGGATTAATTTATCATTTATTGCTGAAAGTTTAAAAAATGTTGAAGGGACCATGGATTTATTGTTCTATTAATTATAATAATTTATTTTGATTAAAATGTATTATTATTAATAATTTCACTGTCAGTTTACAGTATTAAATTGTTATAATATGATACAATAATACAGTGGATCGAGGTGCCCCTTCCCCCCCCCCCCCAAAAAAAAATCCAGTATAAAATATTCATTTATCCTGTTTTTCAATGAGACATATAATTTTCAGCGTTTATTTGGTTGGGGTGGTGTGGCTGATAAAATTTAATGTTATATTTGGGCCCATATACACACCTCAAACCACCCCAATCTTTTCAAAATTTCTCTAAAGGAAATCCGTGTCCTGCACTTTGTTCATTATATACAATAAGGTACTTACATATAACAAACAGCTGTCTCTACTATTGTTTATTAACATTAATAATACCTACTTCATAATATACTCTCACTCTTATTTCATTTATAATACCAACTTTTCTATTATCAACATTGGACTTAAAGGAGCTAAATCGCTAACATTTGGGACCTAGAAATTGACAAAAGTGGGTCGCAACGCATACAATACTGTAATATGAATGTATATAAACTGATTTACATTCAATGGTTTCCGTTTTTACTCCAATTTCAAATCAGTTATGTTCGGCGAAATAAGCCAGCAGTCTCAAGCGAGTGCAAATTTCTAGGGTCTGGTTATTCTAGTCTACATACGCCGTTTGATTTGGTGCAATGTGTCTAGCCTCGTCCCTCGAGTCTCTTGATACATCTGGGGCTGAAGCACATTATGGTACACGATTCATGTACCAATGGTAAAATGTTTATTTTGTCTTAAATATTGGATATCAAAAGCCCATCTTTTTCCGGTAAGATCATAACATGAATGTTGATTTAATTTGACAAATAATTCATGTTTTCAATGTTGAAGATTTTGGATGATATTGAGTTAGAGACTTAGCTACTTTAAATAACACACTTAATCTACATCAGTTAACCTCATTATTTATAATATAATTATTGTATTAATGAACTAACATATATAATTGTTTTGTTGTTAATTAGGGACCTATCTGCATGCTGTGATCAAATAATTGTAAAGTTTTGCTTAAGTGGTTGTTATAATAAATATCATTAAATTGTAATTAACAATAGTTTTGGACCATTCTTTTATTTTTAAATTGTTAATCTAATTCCAAGTGTTTGCAACTGAAGAATTGAAATTTTGTAACTTCCTTTTGATGCTTACAACCAAAGTATTGAAGAACAAAAATACCTAAATCCAAACATCATTAAACATTCTACCAAAATAAAATCAGTTCATTGTTAATAAATCTTTAATTCTTATTACAATTGTTACTTTCTGGTCTATTGTATATGATTGAATTTAGCATTATATTACATGGATATTGCTTATATTTTTAAAACTGCTTTTGGATTTACTAGTACCACTTTTATAGTGATTATGTAATTGATGTTGCTTTGTATGGATACACTTGTATACATGTTCCTTGTTAAATCATTGGGTTGTATTTGGTGCACAAAACCCATACATCAATATCATTCTAAATACATATTACAATATACAGCAGTTTTAATAAGGAGCTAAATGGTTAAAACCTCATTGTCGGAAACGTCGCTATTTTCATATACTAGTAGAATGGTTGAATTTAAGTATTCATAGCTTAAAACCTGGTTTTAGTTATCTTTCTCAACCATGTCACAGCTTACATATTTATGATTTAATTACTTTAACTTACTGTATCGTTTTCATCAGAAATACATCAATGTATATTATTTCTAAATTTTAATATATAAAAAATAAAATGGTAACAATCTTTTACTTTATGCTGTTTTCTTTTAATTTGTCATTTTGGTGAAGTGAACAATCTTGGTAAAGAGTATGGCACTGGTCAGGTCTAAATAAAAAGACCAACTGCAGATTTCGTTAAGGTCGTGAGATGTAAATAGGGTTAAGGCACATTATTGTTGACAAGATTGTTGGTAAGGGTTAGGGTTATTACTAGTTCTGATTACATCTTTGACCTATGACTCATTCTGCAGTTGGTCTTAATATTTAGACCTAACCGTATGGCACTAGTTCACTAACCAGGAGGTCCCAGATTTCATCACTGTGTTGTCCCAGAAAGTTCTTAAGGATTTTCCGGACAGCTTTCCCCTGGTCTGTGGGTCATACGGAGGGAATGGCAAGTAAAGAAAATCAAGTTGTTTAGATGGGACGAAAAATCGAGGTCTTGTGTACACGTTTGTATGCACGTAAAAGAATTCATAGTAGTTGAAATTCGACGAAATGCAAACGGAAACACCACTATCAAGCAATGTGACAAAGTGTGTTGGCTTATGAAACGGAACATTGAAACACAAATTAAAGATACATTATGGGAGATGAGATAAAGAGATGGCAGTTCTCGCTATAATAGTTAAAAACTAGATAGTGTAAAGGTAATTTGCTGAAAATTTCAGTCAAATTGATCCACTATGAGCCGAGAAAGAAGCGGCTGAAATTTTTGCACAGTCTCGGTCATCATTACTAAAATCATTAATATAAACAGAATACTATAGAATAGTCTCGATTATCCATTTTTATTGATTAATTATCAATAGCCGTTAGCGGCATATAGGAATCTAATCCAGCCAACATCGAAGGCTAGCCTTCACATCGAGAGTTTATTATGGCCTGGATAAGTTAATTAATGTTTAATTGATAATTTAGATAACATTTCAGGCCTAAAGAAAGACTTGTAATAAGCAGATTTTGCTCTTGCATAATGCATGTTTAAAAATATGAAAAGAAGTCCAAACAATAGCTGATTTTCAACCATAATTTCAAGACAATCTTCAAGATAGGATTGAAGATCCCTTCAGATAAAGATTGGCTACTGTTCAATCATAGGACCGAAAAGGGTTACAACACATTACCACACTTTTATAAGTATACAAAGTCTGCTGATTAATGAAACGAAACACAACGTGAAGTCACAGTATTGAAGTCCAGTATTGAAGTCCAACGTGAAGAATAATTCCAGCCATACAATCGAATGAATCCGGGGGGTTGGGTGACCAAATGGTTAGCATGTGCGCGCTCTATCATGAGGCCTGTCATTGAGTCAACTGGCGTGGTTTCGAATCCCGGTTGTTCTGACAAGGAGTAGGGTTGCCTGTCCAACCTCGTGGGTTTTCGCCGGATCCTCCCACTGCTAAAGACCCCCAGGTGCAAACGAATTATTGAAATAAAATTAAACCATATGTTAGTCCCGAAATGACCTAGTCTGTGTCAAGTGGACGTTACCCCCCCCCCCCTCTCTCTCTCTCCAATGAATCTGCAGAATTGACAAACTTTGGTGCTTAATAATTGAAGGTCTCTTCTGATAAGATTGATTGACCCTGGGTTATGGAAGGATCAAAAATGGAGTAAGTAGATGGGAATGCGAACATTACAACAAATTAATACCCTTTTAATTTATCAATATAGGTGTGTATAGTTTTATAGCGATAACATTTGCTGATGCCATATTGTTTAAAACAAATTTTATTCTATAACATTTTGTAAAATACAACAAAGTGAAAACATTAAAACATGTTCCAATCTTTTATTTGCCATAATTGTTCTTTGACTGAAAGGAAGAAATGGATTTAAAATTTACAAACTTGATAATCCTAAATACCATATTTTACGAAAAAAACAAGACATTAATGACTTTACATAATTTTACTTTGCATGCATTAGATTACATAAAAAGGCCTTATTTGAGCCCGGAACTGTGGGTAATCCACGAGTAACATCAATGCTGATTGGTTAATCAAATGTCTGACGTCATAGGTCAAAAGTCGGTCTTTTGACCCCTGACGTGACCTATCGCTGTAACCTGTCAGATCTTCATGTAGTGTAGGCCATCGAAAGTATAAAAATACGAAACGAAATATAGATCTGTATTTTAATCAGATTGTTTTGGTAGAATAAAGATTTTAAAATACACGTACGTAATTACATCTTCCATCTGGACTTTTAATTCTATCAATGGCCTCCAACAATCCCCCATAAAAATGCATCTGTCTAGAGGTGCAACTTTTGTTTTTACCAATTACCGATTTTAGACACGTTCCAACAAGTTTATGGTAACTGTAATATAAAAAATGAATTCTGATTTTTAAAACAAAAATTGTTTTTAAGTAAGCAAACAAAAATATACCCCTTACATTTCATAATAATACGGCCTTGTCTCTCTCGGTTGGGTAAATAGCATAATATACTATTCAAAAAAAGTAGGGGATATTTGATTTTTAAGTGTTATTAAAGTCACCTAATGAAACTGACGAAGAAACAAATGACAAAATGAAATGAAGTTCACATTCATCGATTTATTCCAAATGATCGTTAGACTAAGTAAGGCACAGACTGACCATTATAAGGGTAAAATGATACCCGGGGTCAAAGAGCAAAGTTACCACAGCATCACAACCAAGTCAGTAACGGGTAAATCCTCCTCTGTTTGCCAAACAAGCATTGATCCGACGTGGCATACTCCTAATGAGACGTCTAAGGTCATTTTGGTCCAGATTGTCCCATTCCTGTTGCAACGCAGCAGCAAGTTCTTGGACATTGGCAGGACGTTGTTGACGTTGACGTAACCTCTGTCCAAGCATGTCCCAGACATGCTCGATGGGGGAGAGGTCGGGACTCAGTGCTGGCCAAGGTAATGTGGTGATGTTCTGTTGTTGGAGGTAACCTGTAACGATCCTGGCCCTGTGACATCTTGCGTTGTCATCCTGGAAGATGAAACGGCGGCCATGACGTCGTGCGAACGGCACAACATGGACTGCCAAGATGTTGTCCCGGTAGTACGGGCCTGTAACACGCCCTGCAACAACATGTAAAGCCGTTCTTCCAGCAACAGTGATGCCTCCCCACACCATAACAGAACCACCCCCAAATCGATCATGTCTGATGACGTTAACGTCTTGGAAGCGCTCGTTTCGACGACGCCACACCCTCCTACGTCTGTCCAAAAAATCAACAGTGAACCTTGACTCATCTGAAAACATCACATTGCTCCAGCGTCGATTATCCCAGTGTTGACGATCCCTACACCAACGACGTCTTGCCTGAATGTGATGATCTCTCAAACAAGGGATCACGCGAGGACGTCGGGCGCGAAGGTGACCCCTATGCAGTCGATTCCGAATCGTCTGGCCACTCACTCTCACACCAGTGTCTGTTTGAAGACGAGCGCTGATCTGATTTGCTGTGATGACACGATTTCTCAAGGCCAAGGTACGGATAAATCGATCCTGGGCTTGAGTTGTCGCCCTTGGTCGACCTGACGTGGTCTGTCCTGTACAGATTGTGTATCACGGTATCTGGACCATAGCCTGCTTATGACAGACTGAGAAACATTCATCGTCCGCGCCACAACCGCCTGTGTTGTGCCGATCTGTAGCATGCCAAGGGCACGTAACCTTTCATTTTGGGTAAGCCGACGCATATCAAAATTTGTTTTCTGGTCACTAAAACAATTAAACTGATGTTTCCACCCTGGAATTCAATGCCACAATGACTGTAACATTCAAAGCCAGAGTCGTGCAAATCTTGGGTTGGACCCCCAGGATGATCCAAAGCATCACCTGCATTCCATGCGGTAGCTATTGGTGCGTTTGGGCGTCACATGTAACTGGAAATGTTTCTTCTGTTAGGTTCTATAGTGACTTTTTTCGTAGTCATTTGCATATTTTAGTATTATGCCCCCAAAATCAAATATCCCCTACTTTTTTTGAATAGTATACAACCTGTTGTCTCTCTGTCGGTTGGGTCGTCGGATTTGTATGCACAGAGCCGGGTTAAGGTTTTGTGGGGCACTAGGCCAAAATAATTCATTGGGCCTATTACACAGACACCCATTCATCCATCAGACTTTGCTCTGATATAAGCAAAATCGGATTATTATAAGCAAATTCAAGTTGTCATCCGACCGACCCTGTTGCTTATATCAGGGCTCAACTGTACCAGCATATTTAGAGAAATTACTGAACCAAGCGAGAGCCTAGAGAAACACAGAGAATGATTACGCGGGACCCTTGAAATCGTGGAGCCCTAGGCCATGGCCCAGTTGGCCTGTGCCTTAATTCGGCTCTGACAATGCAATGTCCGTTAGCTCCGCAAAAGCGCACGTAGATGAATGGAATCGTGTAACTGATCAGACTGTAGCCTGTTCGACTGACATTCTGCCGCCTCCCCATTTTGAGCACCAAATGCTGGGAAAATTTGGGCACACAATTGTACTTTGTAAAAGTTGTATAAAAAATATTGTGTTCTTGAATGTGCCCAATTTAACAGCGAATTTATTATTATTATGTAACATACTAAGAACCTAACTACATTTTTTGGGCACCAACCACCATCGCCCCCCCCCCCTCCCCAGTCAAAAATTTGCCCGTACGCCTATGTTGACGACTAGATGAAATAACAAACATTGCCAGACTTTCCATAATGCACCAACGACTAGAGGAAACCAGGTTGGAAAAACACTTGGAACTTTCTCCTCCAACATCAGCATCGAATCCTGATCTTACTGGTTAGTGGGGCAGCGTCATAGGCAGGGTGGTTCCCAAGTTCCTGAAGTAACGACTGCGAATTTTACAACATCTGGCCTTGATAAGGGTACGTAGTTATTTACGAGGTCAAGCCTTCTATTGAAGATGGGTGGCTCCCAATAAATACCATAGGAAGGTATTGATAGTATACTGTATTAGCTACTCTAATATGAATGCCAGTAACAATCGATAGAAATCCCAACTCACCACTCCCAACAACATGAATTTCGTTCGTAGGCCTACAGAAAAGCCCTTGTAACATAATTAATTATTGTCTTAACCAACAAGTTTGGTGTAATATTGCCTGGTTGGAGCTGACGTACAATAAAACTTCATTTCATTCATTCATTCAACAAATATATAACTCACTGGCAACTTCTTTGAATCTTTTTGTCACAAATTGGAGCATCCTCCTTGAATTGGGGACTTCTCCAGCATTTTACCCCAGCAAATAATTCTGGAATTATCAAACACAGACAGAGTTACCTCCCGTTTATGCCTGGTCTAATTAAATAAAATGAGAATCCTTGCAATATTTCGGACTCTGTGCGGGGTACTATAGGGCCCTCGTGACACAAGTCGTTTTGTTTTAATGCTAGTCATCTTATATCAGTAGATTATGAACAAATACCACAAGTAAAATTTACAGTGGCATTGGGTAAGATTAGATAAAGAGCTGACAGTTCTCGTTTAGATAATGAAAAGAGAATATGCTGAAAATGTCAGTCAAATTACTTCACTCTGAGCCAAGCTGTCGGCGATACATTACAAACTCTAGCCTCGATTGTCATTACTATCGTTGTTACGATAATAAACAAAGTCTCGACTATCCAATTTTTCGGTTACTTCATCAACCACAAAACGTATTCAAATCATCTAAGTATCGGAGCCACCCGATGGCATCGAGAGTTGATTATGATATTTGTAAGTTAATTAATGTCTAATTAATAATTTATATAACGTTTCAGGTCTAAAGAAGAATGACCTGCAATGGGCAGATTTAGCTCTTGCAAAATGCATGTTTTACTATGAAAGTTCACCTATAAGAAAATACCAACAGACCAACACGACTGTTCACACACCCCTGGGGACTGCACGTGGAGATCCCTACGCTATGCCTTCACTTTATGGGGTTTTGAAGCTTTGTTTTTGATCATGTTGCTCGTAGGAAAAATTCAGTAGATTTCACCTTGTCAAGATGGATTAAGACCCCCCCCCCCCTCCCCCCCCCCCCCAAAAAAAAAAATCTCACCCCTCCTGTTTCTACAGATCCATTTCATCAATCTAATCTTTGGTGCTAATTCTTTCTTACATCCAGATTCTTTAATACATCCATCACCTGTCCTTAATTCTCTTCAGAGAAATTAATGTAAAAATAAAGGATTATCCATGTGCTTATTAATTATAGGGTTTAAACAAGAAAAACATTTTCAAAATTTAATACGTTTCTTTTTGTTATGATAGGTCAGGAATGGAGTTTAAAGTCTCGTCAACACAATACTCATACTAAACTTCGGCTGCCTGTCTACAGTTAGCTCCGCTTGAAATGAAATGAAATGGGGTTTAACGTCCTACTGTTCTGCTCCGAAATGGGCTAATGAAGACGGGCATACGCCATACAGTGTGCCCGGACAGCGGCACTACGGCCTACTCTTATATCGAATTCCAACTGTCAAGGGATCTTTTACGTGCATTCCAATGTATACACGGGGCCTCGGTTTTTCGTCCCATCCGAACGACTAGACAGTTGTCCTTATCAGGCCCTCCATCCTGCATCACTGACAAGGGTGAACCACGCCGGAAAATCTGGATGAACTTTCTCAGCCAATGCAAGCTCCGCTTGAAAACAGACACTAAGTTAGTTGACCGACATTTTAAGTCCTAAAGCGACGATTTTAGTCAAAAACACTAAGTATACTTCGAGTATTTTGTTAAATATTCTGCTTCCAATTAATAAAATAGAAAAAGTTTATTTAGTCTTTGTGTTGTGACAGATATGAAACGGAGTAGAACCGCATTACATAACAGTATACTAATTTTCGGATATGGCGGCTATTTTCGAAGTATGAAGTAGATGGATCTGTGTGAAGAATGCACAGTACTGTCACCTTGAGCGTTTCCACCCACGCTGTGACAGCCATTGGCCTACGCAGTGTTTGATCCAGGACCCAAATTTCGTACTCCATATCTACTTGATAAAATAGCATTGTTGAATATTGCAGGACATTTTTTAGACCAGCGCAAAATATTAAGGACTATTGCCAGGCAACAGCATACACGACCATTAGTCACATGGGCCTCAACAACAATAAAATAAAGTGTCTATTTTTCTCTAATTTTGTACATTACACGATCTCAGCTTAAAGGGTAATTTTATTACTAACTTCAAAAATGTCAAAGGGTGATAACCCTAGAATTATTTGGACAAGTCCATGAAGTGAACATTGAAAATGGGTGGGCTGATTGTCAATGGACAGACAACCCCAGTGTGCTAATATAATTTGTTAAACCAAGACCAAAAGCGTAATACTACAATATTATAATTTCGTCGTAAAAGGAACTTACGTGCAAGCCAGTTTAACATCATAAGTTGAGAGAAATCCCAGATTATATTGTGTAATGGCTTCGAGTATAAACGTTTCCCTGTGAATACATCTAATTTCTGCTTGCAAACATTTATAATTAAATATTGGAGTATTATAAACTTTGGGCTCTGTATATTTCGCACAACACACAGATAATAATATGGTGACTAAAATAAAAAAGAAATAATAATACATTAAAAGTTACAGGGAGACTCCCCAAAAGCAGTTAAACTTAACCCAAACCCCATCCCCCATACCATTATGTAAAGCGCCTTAGTGGCAGCTGTGTGTGTTTTGTGCTCTGATGTTTTGAGTTTTTTATGTGAGTGAATTCGTTGAATCCAGACTATTTTTGGACTGTAGTCCTATCAAGTGCCTAAGGACGTTTTGTGATTTTCAAATTTTGGTTTTAAGGATTACTTCCTATTTCATTGATGATTTTCATATTTTCCTTTGTTTTATCCTATGAGATCATGAACTGTAATCGGTTCGAGTTGGTTAATCCAGATATCAACAAACAGATTAGTTATCCATTTGAAGTCAGTGACCCGTATAGCCACCCTCATTGTTTTAAAAGGAGAGGTGTGAGAGCCGGTAAGCAATGGGTGAAAAAGATTAAAACACTAACAACACATAGAGTTAATTCAGATAATCAAAAATCTCACAGATGTGTTAACGTCAACAACCTAAAATCAGTGGTAATTAATAACAATAAAGATCAACACAACCATGGCGGTAAACTTAAATTATGTCACCGCAATACTCGCTCTATTTGTAACAAAGTTGACGAAATCAACGACTATATTCAAGAAAATGACTTCGATATATTTATTGCAACAGAAACTTGGCTTAAATCCAAAGACACATTTACTGTTAATAATATATTGCCTAATGATTACAATGCTACTTTGGCTAACCGTTCAGGAAAGTCAGGGGGTGGTATTGCCGTGTTCAGTAAAGATTCACTAAAAATTGAAAAGTTGCCTACAATTTTGTACCAAAGTTTTGAATATCTTCCATGTAGCATAAATATTGGAAAACTCCGACATTTACCTCTTGGTTATATATCGCCTACCGCATGTTAAAAACTGTACAATAAACACATTCCTTGATGAATTCGAAGACCTTCTTCATTCTATATTTAATGGTCATGACCATCTTCTAGTTATTGGCGATTTCAATATCCACTTTCGAAAATCAAACGATCAAAAAGTCAACCAATTCAAAGACATCCTTAAATCTTTTTGATTTAAACAGCATGTGAATGACACAACCCATAGAGTGGACACATTCTGGACCTAATTATTACTCGTGACAATAGCAACCTTCTAAAGTCTACGCAAGTGATTGATGATCTTATATCTGACCACTCGAGTATAATCTCTGAACTTTGTCTGCCTAAACCCACTCCCCTCAGAAAACAGCTCTCATACAGAAGAACCAAACATTTGGATCTAAACCTTTTTAAAGATCAAATCCATCAATTACAGCAGATTGAAAACACACAAAATCTACATAATCAAATTAAGATCTTCAATGAAACTCTGACATGTATCCTTGACGACTTAGCCCCGAAAGTTGTTAGAAATATTATCATTCGACCTAACAAGAAGTGGTTCAATAATGAAATCCGTGAAGCTAAACAGGAACGACGGACAGCTGAAAAACAATAAGACAAATAATCTTATTAGAAACAGTAAGCGTAATTACTACAAGACTTGCCTGCTCGAAAACAGGAGCAACCCTCGTGAAATCTACAAAATAACCAATCGTCTTCTAACTTCTGTCTCGGATGAAAACCTGCCAAATCGACTGTCAAATGCCGAACTTTCAGATTTTTTCAAAGATAAGATAGAAAACATTCGATCTGAGCTTTTTAGGAACAGACCAAATAATCATTCGGACGAGTACCCCTTTAATGGCACTACTCTAGAGGAATTCCCCCAAGCATCATATGAAGAAATTAAAAATCTGATTTTAAAATCCTCATCAAAATCCTGTGACCTCGATCCAATTCCGACCTGGTTAATTAAACACTGTACTGATGAGCTTGTGCCTGTGATTGCTCATATTGTCAATACATCTCTTAAACTTGGTGTCACCCATCTTAAAGTCTGCATTAGTCAACCCTCTCCTAAAAAAGTCAAATCTTGTGTCTAACTTATCATTTCTCTCGAAGATCATTGAAAAAGTGGTTGCTGCTCGCCTAAAAGAACACCTATCAATAAATAATTTAGATGAAGAATTCCAATCCGCATATAAAGCCTTTCATACCACAAAGACAGCATTGCTCCGTGTCCACAACGACATTCTCACCAATATAGATAATAAACAGTCGACAGTTCTAATACTCCTTGATCTAAGTGCGGCGTTCGATACTATTGACTAGTCCCTTCTGATTAACCGTTTGGCGTTAAGATTTGGAATCCAAGGTATTGCCCTCAAGTGGTTTAGATCTTACCTATCAGGCCGTACGCAATCAGTTAAAATAAATGAGTGTCGATCATCTCCAACTTTGCTAAAATATGGATTGCCACAGGGTTCTGTTCTTGGACCTGTCTTATTCACTCTCTACACTACACCTATCGGGGACATAATTCGTAGAAATAATACTAATTATCAATTATACGCAGATGATACACAACTTTATCTGGCATTAAACAAATTCAACGTGGATACTGAAATCGAAAGAATTGAGACGTGTGTTGTGAATATACGTCATTGGATGAAATGTAAATAGAGCGAGTATTGAGGTGACATAATTTAAGTTTACCGCCATGGTTGTGTTGATCTTTATTGTTATTAATTACCACTGATTTTAGGTTGTTGAAGTTAACACCTCTGTGAGATCTTTGATTATCTGAATTAGGCAACAATAAAATTTTGGAGTCCGTCCACCTTGATCATATTTCTATTGGTGATGTTAAAGTAAAACCAATTGAATCTGTAAAGAATTTAGGAGTCTTATTTGACAGTAACTTTCAATTCAACAATCATATTAATTTGACATGTAAGAAAATAAATTTCCATTTATATAATATTGCAAAACTACGTCCATTTATTGACATCGACACTGCTAAAATGTTGGTTAATGCCTTTCTTTTATCGAACTTGGATTACTGTAACTCTCTTCTGTTCAATTTACCTGCTTTACAAATCAACAAACTACAAAAGCTCCAAAACCGAGCAGCTCCGAGCATAGGCGTACGGGGGAATTTTTGACTGGGGGGGGGGGGGGGGCGGTGGTGGTTGGTGCCCCAAAAATGTAGTTAGGTTCTTAGTATGTTACATAATAATCATAATATCTCTTTTGCGATGAGAACTAAATTTTATTTACTTGTAATATACACAACAGTTGTTTATGTAACTGTAATTCGTGGCTTACTGTACTCCAAACAATAGAGGGTTCGAGTCTTAAGATTTCTATTTAATTGCCTAACTATAGACACTCTGAATTTAAATTCGCTGTTAAATTGGACGCATTCAAGAACACAATATTTTTATACAACTTTTACAAAGTACAATTGTGTGCCCAAATTTTCCCAGCATTTGGTGCCCAAAATGAATGGGGGGGGGCGGCCGCCCTCCCAGCCCCCCCCCCCCCCAGCTCGTATGCCTATGGCAGCTCGGATCGTAACTGAAACAAAACCACGTGAACATATTTCTCCTGTGCTAAAACAGCTACACTGGCTCCCGGTTAGAGAAAGGATAATATTTAAGATAAATGTTATTACATATAATACACTGAATAATATGGACTCTCCTAAATACCTTCAAGAAATTATTACACCCTACACTCCCTCTCGCTCACTTCGCTCACAGAATGAGAATCTTCTCGTATGTCCTGTAGTGAAAACTAAAAGTGGTGAAAGAACTTTCGCCCATAGTGGCCCGACATTATGGAATAGGCTATCCAAAAAGACTAAAGACTCTAAAAGCATGACATCTTTTAAGAAATCTCTTAAGACTGAACTCTTTAAATCTGTTTACCCTTAGTGCTAATAACTATTTTCTTTATGGTAATTTTACCAGTTCGGACATTTATTTTGTTCATTCCTTGTGTTTAATGTTTATCGTATCACTACCAATTTGCACCGACTGGGCTAATGAAAACAGGCATACGAAATGAAATGGGCTTTAACATCCTACTGTTCTGCTCCGACTGGGCTAATGAAGAGGGGCATACACCATACAGTGTGCTCTGAGGGAAATTTTGCCCGGGCAGCGGCACTATGGCCTACTCTTATATCGAATTCCAACTGCCAATGGATCTCTTACATGCACGCCAATGTATACACGAGACCTCGGTTCTTCGTATCATTCGAACGACTAGACGGCTGTCCTTGTCAGGCCCTCCGAAGACGGGCATACGCCATACAGTGTTCTATGAGGGAAAGTTTGCCCAGACTTCGGCGCTGCGACCTACTCGTACATTGAATATGACAGAACGACTAGCAGGTGAACTAAACCATTTCGACACGTAACCTTACATAAAATCATTTTGTAAACAAAAAGGGGGAAAAGAATCCCTCCGCCCTCAAAATAAAACCCCAACAAGCACGGCAGCAGACTTTAAAGTTCCCGGAAATAAATAAAAATTCGAAAATGATCTTACCTAAACTAATCAACAGTTTTAAGTTCAAATATGCCATGGTTGTAAGTTAAATGGTTCCCATTAGATGTTTACGCTATCGCTTGGGCGTTTACAAGTATACACTAAGACTGTTCTTTCAAGTAATATATTACACCAGAATAAATTTATAACGTTACCGTACTTATCATAATAGTACATCAATTTTAAATTCAAATAATCTACGGCGGGTTCCCATTAGATGTTGACACTATCGACTGGGGCGTTTACAAGTGTACTGTAAGGTGGTTCTTATAAATAATACCAGAAAATATGTATAATGTCACTTATCATAATAATACATCAATTAAATACAATGAATTTTGACATGGTTGGCAAATATCGGATAATATTACTGCATTTACAAATGTCAAAAACAATAGGTCATAACATTATTTCGACAATTTTCATATTCAATGAAGTTTTTCAGCTATAAAAAAAGGAAAGCCTTGCAGAAACAAATGAATATGATTAATGATAAATGGTGTGGGTGTTGGTAATAAACAGGACGTGCCATTTATTTATGTGTCTGACATAAATGGAAGTGTCATTTTACAGGTTAACTATTTCGAAGCTATTTTGCCCTGGCAGCGGCGATAATGTCAATTATTATTTCGATTTCCAACTGTCAGGGGATGTTTAACGTGCAACATTCGGGTTTTCGTGCCATCCCAACGACTATACTCTTTGTCAGACACCCACCCATCACCTCCCATGGCATCACTGAGAAAGGAAGACCGGGACAACCACTAGGAAGTTTCTGGGTTAAGTCCGTCTTCGAAACGGGATCTCCTAGTCTGTGAGCCAACATCATACCCCATGAGCAACCGTAGCTCCTTATTACGGAAGAATCCCCGATTTCTTTTTAATCACATGGACGCCGCGGCGGCTGAGTGAGTAAACTACTAAAAAAACGTTAACTCGCTAAGCACGTTCCGTCTTCGATCACTGCGTTGGCAGAGAAAGTCCATCGGGATTTCCGGCGTGGTTCCTTCATGTCAATGGTGTAGGACTGTACAGAGGAACTGGCCAGGGACAACGTATAGTCGTTCGGATGGGACCAAAACCCAAGGTCCCGTGTAGGGCCTACAATTTGGCGTACGTTAAAGAACCTTTGACAGTTGGAATTCGAAATTGTCTGGGCAAAATGTCCGTAGGGGCAAAACAGTAGGACTTTAAACTCCATTTCATTTCCTTTTGATCACCAAAACAGTAGGACATTAAACCCCATTTCATTTCATTTCGATCACGAGTTTGTCATTTATGGTGTATGCCCGCCTTCATTACACCAGGTGGTGGTGGTGGGGGGGGGATGTATTTCCATTTTTCGGGCACAAACATCAGAGAATAGGGAATATTAAGTTTTTGGGTTGTTTTTTTTTGCTACTATATTGTAATTAGTTAATGATTGACTCATTCTCAATATTCGGGCGACAAATAGCCTCACCCCACCCAACTAAGATTGCCCCCCCCCTCCCTATGCCTATGTGGCTGAAAAGCATGTCAACTAAATGAAAAGGCGCCTGGACATTTCCAATAAAGGGGACACCGTCATCCGGATAGAACAAAAGTTAACTATACTATTTGACGAGACCTTAAACGCTATTCATATAAATTTTAACAATTTTTTATTCAGTAAATTATCGGTTGATATCTACAATAATAAATTTAACATGAAAGTAAAGGTAAACTAACAACAGCTTAATATATAACATAACAATTTTAAATAAGCGCTTAATTTCATTAAAGGACGGTAGTGTAGAACTCGAGTTTACAATCTAGAAGGAATCTGGAGATATTAGCCGCCAATGCCCCATTCAAAGACAGTTTTGTACGGTGGGGGTCGCCTTATGAGCGTCGAGTCTGCTGGCTTGCTATGGTAACATTCTAACATTTGGATAAATACAGAATCTATGACGGCTCGTAAATGTAGGGAACCGCACTCGGAAGGAATCGTAACCCGTGTTTTTCACTACCAAATTATCTTGTAACCTATTTCAGAAGATGGCTCGTGTCCAAGAGAAGTCATTATACACGCAATGTTTTTGTTTTAAACCTGGAAATAGTTTCTAGTTGATATTAAAGTAGCTAACTTTGATGTTGTGATCTTACCGGGAAACGACGGGCTCCTGATTAAAGACAAAATAAACATTTTACTCTTGGTACATGAATCGTGGACCATAATGCGTTCAGCAACATTTCTAACAAGGGACTCCAAGAATGAGGCTAGACATATTCCACAAGTCATGTCAAACGGTGCGTCATATTTTTTTCTAGAGAGAATGCGCAATAAATACTATCGATGTAGACTGGAATAATCAGACGTTAGAGATTACCATTCGATTGAGACTTCTGGCGTATTTCGCCGAACATAACTGATTTGAAACTACAGTAAAAACGGAAACGATTGAATGTAAATCAGTTTATATACATTCATATATACATTATTATATGCATTGTGACCCATTTGTGTCAATTTCTAGGTCCAAAATATTAGCGATTTAGCTCCTTTAATTCATCTGTTGTCAATGGTTACGCAAGACGATGTTGTATTTAGCCTGAGATCAGTAGTAAAATATCATAAAATTAAGCGATGGCCTTTTACAACAGTTCTAAAATACTAATATAGTATTTATCAAGAATCGACAATGACAAAGAACACCCAACGAACTTTGTCTGCGATACTTTAAAGTAGATTTACCCCCGCCCCCACCGCACCACTACAACTGCTACTAAGATCGGACATTTCCTTGCTCTGGAGTTGGAATTCCTATTTTAAAATGTTAGAATATTATCACAAACAGTTGTTTGATTCTGAGCCAGAATTGGGACTGAAAACTCTGAAATGCGGGAACTTCTTGATTCGATTTCTTCTATCATTAATGTAGATTTAATTGCATTCTTAATGATATTTATGATTCACTAGTGAACATCCGTCATCAAATACAAAATGTAGGTGTTAATAGGCTGTATTACATCATTTACAACATCACGCCTGACTTTCATTTTCTCCTATCAACCAGTACGTTGTCTGTTCACCTTTACCCTGTGAAAAAAACAAAAAAAAAAACAAATAAATTTTAATTTAAAATCGGAACACTGGCGACAGTGTGGATGTCATTAGGAACTATTTCTTTGTTTTCTTAGACAAACAGAGGAAAACTTTAATCTGGTAACTTAAACAATCCAATTTATTGAGTTAATGCAAAACAGGGCGATGGGGTGGGGTGCTGCGGGGCTTAATTAGTTAGGTGCTGGCTCGCTAACCCGGGCGGGGGGGCCATTTCTAGGGTGACCCACCATAAATAAATATCTCCATATATCTCGACAATTTCGCCACAATATTTATATATATGCCAAGCCTCAAATCAGTTTCACACAATTATAGTCACTAAATAAACGATCATGTTGTACTTAATAAGCTATGACCATTAATCATCTATAAATAATAGACTGAAAACTGGTTCCATGTGTCGTCCATAACATCCAGACACTCTTGAGTAAAAAATAGGTTACGTGCCCTTGTTTTGAAATTAGTCTCTCTTAACCAGTCTATCGACCATTCAAGGGCTGATTGACAGGTCGGGATAATCAAGACTACTTTTTTACGAAACATAACACAAAGCTAGAACAAGAAATTGAATTTAGAAATGAGCACGTTAGCTAGCTCAACAATTATTTTAAGATGCTTGTAAAAGTAAAATGAAACTACTGCTAGTATCATGTTCCTGTCTAACCCGAGTGCTTCAGAGATATTATTTGTACTAAACCAAAAGATGCTGCTCTGAACGGTACAGTTAATGATAAAGCGATTTAAAAAATGAAACGAACGTAATTTCTAAATCTGCTGTAATAACCAAGAAGCTTAATTTTACTGCTATTCAAAATCGTCAACAATAATTTTTTTACGGCTGTAATAGTTGATAGATTTGTAGAGAATTGCACGTGCCATGGCTATTTATAGTATCATACTGTCAGAAAGTTGGCCTCGACACGGCGAATGTGCACGCTTCAGTGGTAGTCTCGAACTATCAGCGGTTGACTGTATTTCTGTAGGTGCATGGGCCACCCTACCATTTCGTTCTCAGTGTTGCCCGAGAAAGTCCCTTGGAAATTTCCGGTGTGGTTTTCCCTTGTGCAGTATTATGATCTGGCAAGGAACAGCGTATATCGTTGGAATGGTGAAACGAAAATCCGAGGTCCTGTGTACCCATTGGCGTGCACGTAAAAGAACCCTCGACAGATGGATTTCGAAATAAAAGTATGCCATAGCGCACTTGTCCGGGAAAAATTCCCCTTATATCACATTCAACCGCATGGAGCAAAAAATAGGATGTTAAACCACATTTCATTTCCTTTAGTTTTTGCAACACATGGGATAGAAGGTTTAATCTCACTGTGCCCCCCAATCAACTGGTGTTATAGGGTAGTGGTGTGAAAATTTAAGTAAACAAAGGATTATAGACTGTATCCTTATTAGTACTGTTCACCTAGTTAAAATTTAATTATTTTAATGATTAAAATATATGAGTTAAATTCACGTGTCATCGGTTAACGAGTATCTTAAATATTATTCACCTACCTTTCATTCAGACAGTACTCATAAATCAATCAAATATATGATTAGAAATTCACTATCATTATATAAGGATAGTTGTCACCCCCAATTACATATATCTTTTAAAATGGCTCAAGTTCGCATAGGGTTTATTCCTAATTCTCAAGGAGGTCAAAATTTAGTTAATTTGGGGTATAAGTACAGAGTAAAAAATACGAAACCCAATAGCACCAGCAGACTTTTAATGAAAATACAATAGTTCAATTGGATAACGGGGGACGATTGCCCCCTAAAAGACGAAAATATAAAAGAGTAGAAGATATTAATGATCTAAAAATCAAACAGTTAAATGGAGTAAAAAGTGCAATTGAATATACTGACGCCATATCACATTTAGTAGGGTTATGATTTATGTTTGATACATGTATTTGTTGTTACTTTTATGAAATTTATTGTGAATAAAGTTGTTAATTACTTTAAACCTAGTAGTTTATAAAAACAGACTATACTTTTAACACCATTGTATTCGATAATCCCCTTGCTTGATTAATCCCCCCATGAGAACAATAGCAGGGGACACAGTGAGATGTCCCCGGGATAGAAATCTTTCAATACGGGTTTCTCGACTTCGAACAGCTAACTCTAACCTAAATCCTAATCCATACATCTATTCCAAGAAGATTTTTCTCTTTCCCTACCTTCATTGGTATACTGCCTCTATATTCTGTTATAAAATTCCCAACTTTATCCAGTATTTCCTTTGTCTTCTGGCTCACGTGGATTTTCAAGGCTTTAAAGAAACCATAATGTATAATTCAATCTGTGAAACCTCGAATAAATGTATATAACGTCGGTGAAGTGTCAAAATGGAAATTTTGAAATGCAAAAGGTTCTATTTCTTAATCTTTAGAAATTCTTAGATATACCCTTTTGACACTTCACCGACGATAAACTGTTTTAGTTTAACTAGATATGATTATTTTCATCAATTAAATAGTTCTTAAATCAAATTGTATCATCTCCTTAATATTTTACATTTTAGGTGATCCTTAAGGTAATTTGATGTTCACATCTAGACGATGTGTCATCCTTTTCATTGCTTGATCAAAATTAGAGAAGTGTGTCCAAACTGTTGCTTATTAAAGATACATTATGGGAGATTCGATAACGAGTTGGTATTTCTCACTATAATAGTTAAAAACTAGATAACGTAAAGGGAATTTGCTGAAAATTTCTTTCAAATTGATCCACTATGAACCGAGAACTAAGAGAATGAAATTTCTGCCTAGCCTCGGTCATCATTACTAAAGTCTGTACGATAAACAGCATAGTCTCGATTATCCAATTAATCGATTAATCGTGAAGGAAAGTTATGCAGTAAATCGGCTCACAATCCACTTAAGATCGCAGGCTAGCGATGCCATCTAGAATTGATTATGGTCTGGATAAGTTTATTAATGTCTAATTAATAATTCAGATAACATTTCAGACCTAAAGAAAGACCTGCAATAGACATATTTAGCTCTTGCATAATGTATGTTTAATAAACAGTAATTGGTTTCAATAGGGTTGTGTCCTCTCTGTATGTTGTGATATCAAGGGACCATAAAGGAAAAGGAAATTGCAATAACCATTAGATGATATAATGTTTTACCTTCCCCTGTGGATTCCATTCTAGATGTAGTATTCACTGTATCACCAAATAAACAATATCTCGGCATCTTTAAACCAACAACACCAGATGCGCAGGGACCTGTGAAAAACATTAACTCGATGTTAGACGCATTGTTACAGCGAATCTCTTTTCGGTATTTGTACTAATCCCGTTCGCCTGAAACAGTTATCACGTACCACCAGCCTACCGTCCAAATTAATGTTACACTTCTAGATAGGGTTACCAGATTATTCATCGAAGAAACCAGGACATTTGTTAATATGATCATGACCCCACACTCTTCTCCCCCGAGAATTTTGTTAGTTTTAGAAGCCCGGAGATGTGCCTTCCACCATTTTGTGATGGTACATGTAGTTACACTAAACATACATGTTAGTATTTTGTAAGAGCCCGTTTGTAAATTAGCCAAAGTTAGTATAGTCTTTTTTATTTGTTTTTTTTTACCACGAACACATGTTTTGACGATCTCTTCGAAAACTACAAATACAACGCTTATATTAACAGAAAGGTCCAAATTGATTGACAGGGAAATAGAACCAAACACACTGTTCTTTGATTTTTGACACTTCTTGAATATCTAAACATTTAATTTATATGTTTTGTGTTATTATTTTCAAATGAAAAACACCTGTTTAAAAACTGGTACGTTCAGGTATATGAGAGATATAACGGGACGGGACGGCAAAAAGGATCCCCAACACCAGGGCCAGGGCCGCCGGAACGGTGCGAGGGCCAGGGTACCAAAATATAGGGGGGAGGGCAGGGGGTTCTCTCCCCTCGGCCTCTAGAAAATTTTGAAACTTGTCAATTTCGAGAACGCTGTTTAGAGCGCCTCTAGCATTCCAAATTCCAACATAAAACCCTTTAAAATACATGATAATGAAAGAGACAAAAGCCTGATGATTATTCACAATTTTCGTATCACGAGCAAAAGGTTGAAAACTTTCATCATTAGGGCATGGGTATACATGTATACCCCAGAAAAGGGCAGGGTACCATTTGTATACACTGGTATCCGGGTTCCGGCGCCTCTGACCGGGGCTGTCCAGGTAAAACCGGGACGTATGGTAAACCTCCTTTTACAACAAGAGAAAAAAAACCCTCATCGGATCTGAACACCAGTAAGGTCTAACTTAATTTCTCATCATAGTATTTTTCCTAGTGCAGCTGAAAATTGTGCAGCTGGACCGAGGTACCTAAAACGGGGACCCACAATAAATACTCCCAAAACATAAAGATACACATCAATAATAATTTATTACTATTAGTATCAAATTATAATATTCAATCTAATCTTAAATATAATCACCCCGGAGTTTACGATCAGTAAATCAAGAAAAAAAGCCTCTCTGTAGGTTTTGTTTCATTTCGAAAGATAAAAAAAAGTATGTTACTGTTTAATATCGTTATTATTCGAATTACATTTATATTCGGTCACCACGATCTATTAGAGGCATTTATCAAGCTAACACATACAGTATAATTGCCTAACATTTGTATTACTGTATTAGCTTGATAACGTTGAGAGAATACTCTTCGAAAACGTTGCCCAAATAAAAGTAGCTGTTTTCCATAAGACTGTATAGTATGTGTTATAGTCTATTAATTAATCGTTTCAGTACTCAAGGTCCCTAAAGCTATTAATCCGACCCCGGATTATGCTGATGGTGCTAAAATTTGGCAGATGTGTGTCTAATTCACGGATAATATCGGAATATGTATTTCCTAGAGATTACTCAATGTAGTTTTAATTTCATAGAAATGGAGCATTTCGCGTTACATATTTAGCTGTTGAATTTAGTATCAATCGACGTAGCTGAAGGTATACCTATTCTTAATTTAAGAGTATCGTCCTGTGTTTTAAGAGTATCAATCGACGTAGCTGAAAGTATACCTATACTTAATTTATGAGTATCGTCCTGTATTTTAAGAGTATCAATAGACCCACCTGAATGTATACCTATTCTTAGTTTAAGAGTATCGTCCTGTCGATGTCTAATGCTGAATGTTTTAATACCATCTAATAAAGCTAGAGACATACGACATATCTCTACAGCATGTTGTTCACCATTCCTGATAGGTAAACCAGACGCAACCATATAGGCATCACCTATTGTCTCTACCTGCAATACAAATAATATACTACTTAACATTTAAAACACATGGGGTGGTGATTCATTGAAAACAGAGTCCCATACAAATTTCCATCGGGTAATAACACCACACCCCAGCCCCCTCCAACTCCTTTGCCACCCTCAACCATCCCTTGAAATTCAGAGTTGTTCGATCGCAAGTCACCGAGTTATTTGATCGTTTATGTTATGATTATTTAAATTAGTGAATTCCAAACACAGTCAAAGTTCTCAAAGATCAGAATTTAGTATATCTCTATCACAGTAGAAGAATGGTGTTAAAATTCAATTAATTTCCATCACAGTCGCCCCCACCCGGCCACCCCCTCCAGTCGACCGCATACTGAGTTTGAAGTTAAATAGAGCACTTCTTCAAATGAGCAAGATGCCTTCCATTTCCAAGTGTTTTGAAGTCTAAGAATTTAAAACAATACTCACTTTATATACATCAAAGTTATCAATAACGCCATCAAACAGTGAATACAGATCATTTAAAAAATTCACAATCTGAAAAGTATAAACATAGTCCATTAAATTATCAAATGAAGAGCCCCGAGGAAGAACAATCTAAGTCACTTTTTCAACGAACCCCAGTTAATGGTGCTATCTGGTAGCATGTTGTATACGCTTTCTGTGGAACAATCAATTTCTGGTAAAAACAATTGGAGTCACATCCATCTGAAATGGCCTCCCGGAGAAATACAAGTCCATCGTATTTATTTGACCTTAATTTGGCTGAAAAGTGGAAGTCCGTTGTTGTACTGGTAATTATGATTCGTATTAAACATCATTTTGAAGTTGTAATTAAACCCACTCGTTGTTCTGTTCGCGTCAAGCCTTCTCGTCCAAAAGTCTGTTTTGCCCTTTATGCAAAAAGACAAAAATGTGACTTAGATCTTTCCTCCCCTGTACTCTTCAAATATCATCTTGTACACAACAAAGAATTATTAATAAGGAAATTATCAGACGAATCTCTTTTATTCAAAATAGATGATAGAAATACATGTTTATCTAATATTGCTTTGATATATCAGACATCAGTAAGAACAGTAATATATTGTATCATCACGCAATATTTTTTTTTCTTTAAAAAAGATTATTGAAACGTCTAGCTTTTCTTGGCTAATGGGGCTAATGAATGTGGGTCTTGTTTATGCCATCTGAACGATTAGACGCTGACAAGGGGAAACCTGGTTTAGAAACACCGAGGATACTTCTTGTTCAACACACTTTTTGTACTGCTAGTTTTGAATTCTTAGCCCTAGTGGCTCAGCGAGTAACATGTTGGCTAGCTAACTTGGGGGCCCCGTGTTCGATCCCGGTATTGGCCGAGAAAATTCATCTGGGTTTTCAGGCGTGGTTCCCCTGTGCCAGTGGTGTGGGACTGAAGGGCCTGGCAAGGGACAACGTATAGTCGTTAGGATTTTGACGAAAACCCGTGTACACATTGGCGTGCACGTAAAAGAACCCTTGACAGTTCAAATTCGATATAAAAGTAGGCCATAGCGCCGCATTTGGGGCACAATAATTTCGCTCGTAGCACAATGTATGGCTTATGTCCGTCTTCATTATCCCATTCGAAGCAGAAAAGTTGGAAGTTAAACCCTATTTCATTTCTTACCTCCATAGGTGAACTTTGAGAGGACATGGCAGTAAAACCAACAATATCACTAAAATAAATAGTTACAGATTCATACGTTTCTGGTACAACTGCTTTTCCTTGTTTTAACTGATCGGCTACTGACCTTTAAAACACAATACAAATCAAATATAATATATTTTTTTAAAAATGGTCCTTTTTTAAAAAATAATTTTGCACTTGTAAAGAAATATGGTTATTCATGAATCCAAAATGAAGGTTATTGTGACATTTTCCCGACCACACCTTCTATAATCATGCTATGATCATTTTGATAATAACGAGTTTCTGTTATTACATAACAAGCCTAAATTTAATGTTCTTGTCCGTAAATTTAGAAGTGATGTTGACTGTCTATACTCTTTCTACATCCGTAAAAGACCCATACGCGCAAGCGAATTAATGAAATAATACTGAACCAAATGTTAGTCCCAAAATGACCTAGTTTGTGTCGAGTGGGCATTAAACACCATTTCTTTCTCCATCCGTAAGAATTCAAATTTCACACTGGTTCCCTTTCCCATTGATTTTTGTCCCATTGAGAGGACTGGATTACGGTTGTTGGAATTTTGTAATACGGCTAAACCACTTAACTTACTTGGGAAGTATTTGATATAGTAACGCTTCAGATTTTTTCTTTTCGGCTATAAGTTGTTCAGTTCGATCTGCAACAATATCTTCAAGGTTACTGGCATAATCTTCTAAACGATTTACTAAAGCCTCAACCAGACTTTCATTTTTATTACTGGAAAAGAGATTCATTCACCGTTATCAGCAGTGCTATATACCCGCAACGTCTTCGGTATTCCAATAGATGCAAAAAGGGAAGACGTTTAACCTCACTTCATTTATTCATTAAGATCAACAGTGACAAGTTTACTTCCGGTTACATGCTACTAAGTATATGGGGGTGACGATGGCTAAGTGGGTAAGACGCGGACTCGCTAGCATGGAGGTCGGTTGTTCGATCCCTGCACTGGCCGAGAAAGTTCATCCAGATTTTTCGGTGTCGTTCCCCCCTTATTAGTGATGCAGGACAGAGCGCCTGACAGGAACAGCTGTCTAGTCGTTCGTATGGGACGAAAAATCGAGGTACCGCGTACACATTGGCGTGCACGTAAAAGATCCCTTGCCGTAGTGTTGCTGTTTGGGCAAAATTTCCCTCATAGCATACGGTATGGCGTATGCCCGTCTTCATTAGCCCAGTAGGGCGTTAAACCCCATTTCATTTCATTTCTACAGTATATGGAGGAAGGGTATACATTTCAATTAATGTCAAGTTTTTCAACCAGTTTTAATATGCTGTAAACTGTAATGGTCATTAATTTCTGAATTGTTTGTCTTTCATTCATTCAATATTTCATTCGCTCGGGGGGGGGGGGGGGATGGTTAGCACGTGCGTGCTGTATCATAAAGCCTGTCATTGAGTTAACTGGCGTGGTTTCGAATCCCCGGTTGTACGTGACAAGGAGTAGGGTCGCCTGTCCAACCTCGTGGGCTTTCTCCGGGTCCTCCGGTTTCCTCCCACTGCTAAAGACCCCTACGCGCAAGCGAATTATTGAAATAAAAAAAATAAACCATATGTTAGTCCCGAAATGACCTAGTTTGTGTCGAGTGGACGTTAAACCCCATCTCTCTCTCTCTCTCTCTCTCTCTCTCTCTCTCTCATTCGCTCGGGTTTTTATATTTTAGTTATTTAACCTGATGAGATTTCTAAGTCCTTCATTTCTAAGCAAAGAGCTAATAATCTATGACAGAAATGAAATGAAATGTACAGTGTTATTTTACGTGCCTACCAAGGTGTACACGGGGTGGGGGTGGTGGGGGCACGCCAGAAAATCACGAAGAACGTTCTCGATTAACATCGGGATCGAACACGGGATCTCTAGGTTAGCGTCTTACTCGCTAAATAAGTCACCGCGGCTCCGAAACTATGACAGACATTGCTTTTAACAACTGTTTTATGGGGCTTTTGTTATACATACATTCAAGGTGTATGTATATTCTATAGTTTTACGGTATACCTTTTCCAGGACACAGTTATTCTGCTAGGTAGACGTGCTGTTCTACGGATCTGATATTAATTGTTTTCTGGTGCTAAGTTGTTTGAAGAAGAACTCCAGCGTGCATTTATAACTGGAGAATTAGATTTTAAAAAACGCAATATTCAGTGTGGTATTAAAATATAACGTTATAACGCAATATTCAATGTGGTATTATTATATAACGTTATAACGCAATATTCAGTATAATATAAAGTTGTAACGCAATAATCAGTGTGGTATTATAATATAACGTTATAAAGCAATATTTAGTGCGGTATTATAATATAACGTTAATAATTCTCACCCCTGTAATTCTTTTAACTGTTTGCAGATTGCTTCAAAGTTTGGCCTTTGTTCGAGATCTTCATTCCAGCATTTTGCCATAAGATCTATATACCCCGGTGGCGCTAGACTTGGCGGAACTTTCGGTCGGAAATATGGCGGACTGTTATTTTTCACTTTGTCTATTATATCTGAAAATAATTATGATATAAGTTACACTACGACCGGGATTAGGGTGAACATGTTGAGACGAGTTGTCTCCCCATTTGATCAAATCCGTTCTTCTTAATTTTACCCATTTAATTAGGTTCATCTTGGCATAATATGACGGCGTGGTTCCCCCTTGTCAGTGATGCAGGACGGAGGGGCTGACAAGGACAGCTGTCTAGTCATTCGGATGAGACGAAAAACCGAGGTCCAGTGTGTACATTGGAATGCACGTAAAAGATCCCTTGGCAGTTGGAATTCGATATAAGGGTAGACGATAGTGCCGCTGCCCGGGCAAAATTTCCCTCATAGCACACTGTATGGCGTATGCCCGTCTTCATTAGCCCAGTATAGGAGCAGAACAGTAGGACGTTAAACCCCATTTCATTTCATTCCATTGCATAATATGATTCAAGTTTATGACGTAGATAAACTAAACCTGTCCTCAAATTTTTGGTGGGTTAGTATTGCTTTTCTGTACCAACCGGGACAATGAAATGAAATGAAATGAAATAGGGTTTAACTTCCTACTGTTCTGTCCCGACTGGGATAATGAAGGCGGGCATACACCATACAGTCTGCAATGAGAGAAATTTTGCCCAGACAGCGGCGCTACGGCCTACTCTTATATCGGATTCCAACTGCCAAGGGATCTTTTACGTGTACGCCAATAAGTACACGGGACCTAGGTTTTTCGTCCCATCCGTACGACTAGACAGATGTCCTTGTCAGGCCCTCCGTCCTGCACCACGGACAAGGAGAAACCACGCCGTAAAATCCTGAAGGAATAATTCGGCCAACACCGGGAGAGAACCCGCGACCTCCAACCGGGATAATGAAGACGGGCATACGTAATGTGGGGTGTTATGACGGAAATTTGGCCCAGACATTTTGTCAGTTCTTTCATCAAATCCCAACTATTAAAGGTTCTTTTACAGGGGATCTTGTTGCGTCGTTCCTTCCAAACCACTAGGCGACGGATCGTTGCCATGTTTCCCGTCCCGCACCACTGTTAATAGTGGCGGTGGGGGGGGGGCAACTTTCGAAGAACTTTTTTAGTCAACACCAGGTTCGATTACACAAGTAGCGTTAATTCTCTAACTAATAAGAATAGAAAAGATACTAACCAATTGGATCCATTAAACCCCGATAAGCATCAAAAGGAACGGACCTCATTATTACTTCTTCCATTATTATACCAAAACTATAAACATCACCTTTCTGTGATGACCATTTTACTTTACTTCTTAAATGTTCGGGTGCCATCCATAATAGCTCTAAAAAAACAGTGATAAAGTTTATATTTAATAGTAACTACAGGAGGACCACACTACACACAAACAAAATCCATTAGACAAACATGCGGACACAAAAATTACATAGCCATTGCGAGAAATAAACAACAACTATGTATATCAAATCGAGTGAATGGATCCAGGGACCAGTCGTAAGCGTCATCTGCGTTGTAAATGAAATGAAATGGGGTTTAACGTCCTACTGTTCTGCTCCTAAACTGGGCTAATGAAGATGGGCATACGCCATACAGTGTGCTATGGGGGAAATTTTGCCCGGCCAGCGGTGCTACGGCCTACTCTTATATCGAATTCCAATATGTACACGGGACCTCGGATTTCGTCCCATCCGAACGACTAGACAGCTCTCCTTGTCAGGCCCTCCGTCCTGCATCACTGACAAGGGGAAACCACGCCGGAAAATCTGGATGAACTTCCTCGGCCAATGCAGGGATCGAACACCCCACGGCGTTGTACATTCCCGGTCCTGTAACGATACAGGCTTCACTCAAAATGAAAAACAAGCTCAGAATAAAATAGAGAAAAACTTAGCAATGAATACATAACATATCACAAATGCAAAAGCAGGAAACAGGCGAACAAAAGAAACATTATACAATGGATGTTGTCGTAAAATTTTCCGGCACAATAAACGGTTATTGGTCAACTGACTTCGCCCACGTTATAACCATCGACATTTGACCAATTTTAGTGGTCCACCGTGTCATTTCCCAGGTCACGAAATCTTTTTTCTGTTTGTTATTTCTGTCCAATAGATTACTGGTTTACTTGTGGATTCGAAATGATTGTTATTTTAGGAAGTATTTTGGCCATTTTGTTAAGTGACTAATGAAGACGGACATACGCCATGCAGTGTGCCATTGGTGGGGGGGGGGGCATTTTGCCAGTGTAGCGACGGGACTGTTACTACATGGAATAGGTAGGTTTATGGGTTATATCCTAGTTAAAATCAGGAATAGGGAATTAAGTTCCTATTAACCTAATGGGTGTACGGAATTTTGCTTGCAAAGAGCTCCGATAACAGTCCAAGCTTCAGCTCCCGTCCCCACCCCGAATTTAAGTCATTCAATACTAAACATTGACTGCATAATGAATAATTTTAATGTATAATTCGACTTCCTGTTTCGCCTTACTTTCTATGTTAGTCTTCTCTGTCTTTCTTCTCAGATCTATAAATGTCGGCAAACCAAAGTCGGTGATTTTCAGTACAAATTTACCATCAACAACACAGTTCGATGAGCAAAGATAACCATGCGTTTTAAGAACTGTTCTATGAATGAAAGCCATGCCCTAGAAGTAACAAAAGGTACACCGTATAAATTTGAACGCAACAGAAGTGACACTCCAACAATACACAGTTTTGTGGTAAGCATAGGGTGCCGGGGGTATCATGTAACGATATGCTAGCCCTCAAATACAGCAATATCTAAAGAAGTGGATTGGACAACATTTTGAGCACATAATTCGTGGATGACAAATTCTGGTGTATCATTAAATCCATATAGTACTAGGCACTTCCAGTTTAACATTTTGACAGTATATAAAACTAATAAAACAAATGATCCTAACTAGAAGATAATAGTACGAAGGCCCATTAGTGCCAAACAACAACAAAAATAATCCGTTTGAACGAGTTAGTATATCGTTTGAATGAGTTAGTATCTCGTTTGAACGAGTTAGTATCTTGTTTCAACGAATTAATTATCTCGTTTGAACGAATTAGTATCTCGTTTGAAAGAATTAATATCTCGTTTGAACGCATTAATTATCTCGTTTGAACTAATTAATATCGGGTTTGAAGGAATTAATTATCTCGTTTGAACGAATTAATTATCTCGTTTGAACGGATTAATATACTAACTGTTCAAACAAGATACTAGCCCGTTCAAACGGGATACTAACTCGTTCAAACGAGATACTAACTTGTTCAAGCGGATTAATATTTTTTGTGTATGGCACTAATGGACCTTCGTACAGAAGACAAATCTGGTAAACGAATTTAACAAAACAGAAATATGTGTCGTAGTCCGCGGTCACTAAAAATGAAATAGGATTTTTTAGCGAGGTGGGAAGACATATTCTAAGATCTAAGATGGCCCGATCCATTCCACCCGCCACTGCTATTGTGATTCATTAAAACATCTAATGTTCCAATTTACATCACACTATAATAACGAAAACCTACCTTGGCTACATCCCGCAACATGGACAGACGAAACATCATATCTAACTTTAGATTATCATTTTCGAGAACATCCTGAAATTACATGTAACAGGAGGAAAATAAAGGAAATTAAATGTAATATGAGAGTAATGAAGGAAATAACATGTAATAGGGAGGTAATGAAGGAAATTAAAGGAAATTACATCGAATATGTGTTGATTAGTTTAAGAATTGTCCCGGGGAACCGCCCCCCAGAATCCTAGTTTGCTGACAGGTCCCGCAATGGGAATTTCGTTCCGGGGTGTGTAGATAGGATCATACAATACAGTCTGTGATATGTAATTAATTGTATATTATTACCTGTAAGCTGCCTTTATTACAGTATTCGAATAAAACAAAATTATGTCCTGGTTCAATACAAGCCCCAACAAAACTCACCAGATTTTCATGATGTATATCTCGCACCTATAAATATACAATATAACTATTACTCAAAATTATACAATAAAATTATTACTCAGAATATACAATAATAATATTAATCAAAATATGCAATAAATCTACTACTAAAAAATATACAATAAAATGATTACTAAAAAATATACAATAAAATTATTACTAGAAATTATACAATAAACTTATTACTCAAAATATACAATAAACTTATTACTCAAAATATAAAATAAAATTATTACTCAAAATTATACAATAAAAACTATTACTCAAAATTAAACCTAGGCCCCCGATAACTCAAAATATACACTTAAAGTATTACTCAAAAATATACAATAAACAAATATTACTTAAAATTAATCAAATATCAATTCAAATTGTCGAAATAACAACCAGGTTTGCCGTGATGATTATCGTTGCACTTAGTGACTTCCAGTGTAATTTACGTCTGACTGGTTACTTCGTAGATCTTCCGGAGAGATCGACAGAATTAATAACAATTGGGTTTTTAAAAATGTGTTACCAAAAGATAATTAGTGGAAGCGAGGGTCTAATCTATTTAGAAACAAATTTTTATAGAGAGAGAGAGGAAGAGAGAGAGAGAGAGAGGAGAGAGAGAGAGAGAGAGATTGGGTTTAACGTCCACTCGACAGAAACTAGGTCATTTCGGGACTAACATATGGTTTAATTTTATTTCAATAATTCGCTTGCGCGTAGGGGTCTTTAGCAGTGGGAGGAAACCGGAGGTCCCGGAGAAAACCCACGAGGTTGGACAGGCGACTCTACTCCTTGTCACGTACAACCGGGGATTGGAAACCACGCCAGTCGACTCAATGACAGACTTTACGATACAGCGCGCGCACGCTAACCATTCAGCCATCCAGCCCCCCTCAAATTGTTATACAACATAGTACACAAGAAATCTAAAACACTTTTTAGTAAATGATGACTGCAGGCAAATTACTAACTACTATCAAAATGTATTTGTA